TTCTGCGGCACCGTTCATCCAGGAGTTCTGAGGAGCCATAGAGGCAGTATCTTCTGCGGCACCGTTCATCCAGGAGTCCTGGGGATCCATGAAGGCAGAATCTTCCCCGACACCGTCCATCCAGGAGTCCTGGGTAGGCGTGAAGACAGGATCTTCCCCGGTACCACCGGCACCAGAGAGGGTCTGATCGGCCGACGTGTTTGCACCGTTCTGACCAACGTATTCGTCAACGTCGAAGATGTCAGACATCTGGACCGTGCCGGTGTTGGAGAGATCCCTAGACGGACAACAGGGGAGACAGCCACCACAAGTCAGCCGTTATGCTCGTTAGCATGGCACCAATGGGCTCTACATTCAAAGACGAGGAAGGCAGCCCTGCGACAAGGCAAGCAGAATGGATGCAAATCATATCGGTAGGCTCGCGGTGCACCAGCATCCAATGCTGATTCACCGCGGCCAAACGGGCTTTAGACCCTGGGAAGGACAAGAAGACAGCAAGCACAGACAAGACAATTCTCGAAACAGGAGGAAAGCATGGCGAAACCAAGGAATGCTTAAGAAAAGCTACGCGGAGAGGCACGCAGGCGTGCAGAAACTCCGGCGCGGAGCATCCGCGAAGCAACGGACGAGACTGCAGCCATGGTCAGGACACTTACATTTTTTCTACAAGAATGGTTGAAGATGCTGCACCTGAGCGCAAGTAGCACCACTGGACGAATGGCAGGCGGATGGATGTCAGTTTGACAGCACACAAGGCAGCAGTGCGGGCGTACCAAGCTACTACTCACCTGCACAGAGCGGTCGAACTTTGTAAGAATAAGCAAGATAGAACCACTCAAAGATGAGTGGAGCAGGCGGATGTAAGTGAGAGAGTGAGTAAGGTGAGTGAGTGAGGGTGGTGGGTGGTATCGGGAGCATAGAGGGGAGAATGGTGCCCGTCATCCTTGTAAAGGAGATATCGGAGGCTCTCTAGTGGCTGCCGTCAGCCAAGTTGGGGCGGGAAGGGGGGGAAAGGGGACCCTACAGCCACCTCTGAGACCGTGAAGAGGAGGAGCAGGGCAGGCCAAGGGCAATGACGGCGGCGAGCAGGGAGGGAGGGCCAGGTTGGCAAGCCCACGCATGGCATGATCACGGATCAAAGACACGCTCACCGAGTGCACCCTTTCGCTCCTGAACAGTACACCAAGTTTTTGCGCACACCATTCTCGGTCATTCTTTGGCGTTTTGGCATAGTCCTATCGACAAGTCCGTACGGTGGGCCAAGCTAGGTCGAGCCTGGTACACCAAGCCAGTACGAGCAAGAGCATGCTTGCTCCCTATCGAGGATTGCTAGAGGGGGGCATGGACGCGGGTGGTACGGGGAGCGGATGCATTTTCTCTCTTCGAGGCCATCAGAACGTCAAGTACTTCAACTGCCGCCAGGGCCACGCGCCCGCCTCGCCCCGCCTCGCCCGGCCCGCTGCAGGCTCACCCTGCCGCCCACACCGCCAATGCCTCCTCCAGCTTGCAGGCTCCACCAGTACCATGCATGCTCTGTCTCATGAGTCACTGGAGGACGAATCAGTAGAGATCAGTGCCAACGTCGAATCAGTGCGCGAAAGGCTCGTGGTCGCTTTACACGCCTTCTGGCAGGCAATGGAGAAAGCACGCTGCTTCCTGCTGCCCGCGCTCGCGGCTGAGGGGAAGTGCCCGCCTGCCCCCTCCTCCCTCGTGCTGCTCTGCCCCACCTGGCCTGGGCTGTGCTCGCGCACTGCGAGGAGTACATTCGTACAGTGCGCTGTTTCACCCTGGAATGGGCTGTGCCCAGGCCTGCTAGCGCAAAGATTACCAGATCTTCATCCCAAGGAGCGGAAGGATCGGGCGTGTCCGAGAGGGACCCTCCTTCCTGCTGCTGGTACGAAAAAGAGCGAATGGCACACTGGAGTCCGGGACAGAGCCATTATCTGCTAGGTGGATGGCGAGGGTGGCCATGACGTACGTCTGGGCGCTATGGCACTAGGGAAGATTCTAGGACAATGCTCACACCTGCTGGCTGGGCAGTCGAGTACGCTGTGCTACTCCTCGAGCTCTCGTCTTCCTACGACAGGATGCTCCTGGGTAGGTGTAGCCTGTGCGAGAAGCCGTAGTCTGGCACGAGGCGGAGGGCGCTGTTTTATTTGGGTAGAGGTTATCGTGGATGGGTGGATAGCGAGGACGATCACACCATACGGATGGCCCTCGTAGCAATGTCAAATATTGAATGCAATTACAGTACGTCTGATACGCTGGTATAGTGAGAGGCGACGATGAGGACAGCACAAAAGCGCCTGTGCCTGGCAAATGGATGCTCGGCGCGGTGGGCGGCAGGATATTCGTACGCGGGCGTCATTGGTAGCGAGGTTGGACTGGCCATCCACCATCCCTCCTCCTCTCCCCTCACCTTCTCCGTCACAAGAGCTACGATTTCGTTCTCCCCGTCACCATCTCCTCTCTGCCATTCGCACTTCTCCTGTCCCCTCTGTTCGTGCCCCGTCAATCTGGCGAGGGATACATCATTTCATTCAGCACCTCAACAAAGTCCTTTGCTACCTTTCCAGCCTCGATGCACTTCGTCTTGAAGTCGCCCGGCTTCTTCGGATCATCATTTGTCACCTCAAGATCGGTGAAGTTGACAGAGATGCACATGCTCTTCAGTCTCAGGTAGTGGATCTCTGGATGGCTCTTGTCTACGCCCTTGGGAGCACTCTTGAGCTGGTCTCGTGAGCCCCAGAGGGAACCCTGCACTCCTTTCTTGGGATCAGGCTTGGGAGCACCGAACGTACGCACAAACTCCTTGGTGCTCAAGACTTGCTTGAGTCTCCTGAACTCCTGGGTGTCGTTTTTGATGTGCTCGCGGATCTGATTGACCAGAGGAGCTGGAGGATCCCACAAGCCAGCATGGAAGCCCGTCTGACCATTGGCTCGAACGACAAGATGGTAGCCGGCATAAGGACCCTTGCGGCCTCCCCTCGAGAAGGTAGCCATTAACGTACGCTTGTAGGGCGTCTTGTCATTCGAGAAGCGGATATCTCGATGGATGCGATACACCATGTCCTTCGCTGGCAAGAATGGGACTGTCTCATCCACATCGTCCATAAGGGTCTCGAGGAAGTTGCTCACAAAGGAATCCCAGTCTGAAAGGCGGCAAGAGTTGGTGGGAGTGACATGGTGAATCTGAGAGTGAGTGATTTGCTGTGTGCTCTCTGGACTCGCTCAATTCTCACCTTCCTTGACCCATTTCCAGACCTTCTCGTGGGCGTGGAACCACTCCCGATCATTGTAGACGGGATTCGCCAGGTGAGCCAGGAAGTCAATGACGGGAAAGCCAACCTTTCCAGCTTCTGCGAGAGAACGGAATCCATTTGGGTATCGAGGTCAGCTGCTACTCTGGGAGGCAAAACAAGCCCGAAGGCTCTCTGTGCAGACAAGACGGCCAGCCACTCACGATGCTTTTGACTGGGCGCAGGAGCTAGCTTGGTCACCTGCAGTACACCGTCTCCGTCCACCGAACTACCGTCCTCCTCTTCCTCCTCATCTGAGTCCTGTTTGCGCTTCAGGGCGCCGCTTCGCCCTTTGCCATTCGATCCGACCAGGCCAGGGGCCGCTTTCATCCTCTTGACAGGCGTAGCAGTCTGTGACGAGGTACTCCTTCCTCCCGCACTCTTCCTGCCACCGACTGCAGCTCCTCTCTTCCGCTTTGCGGCTGGTGGGGTATCCTCCTCATCCTCGTCAGCGCCCTCGGACGACGCCCCTAGCTCTTCATCTTCTTCTTCTGCATCCTCTCCCTCCTCGGTATACGCTGAGTGGGATGCGCTTGACTCTCCACTGTCGCTCTCAGCTCCTTCGCTCGGGTCGCTGTCAGTTTCAGCCTCGGCGAAGCGCCGCTTCGCCTGCGCAGCCGCGGCTCTACGAGGAGGCATGGCACTGGCAGAGACTTCAGAGACTGTGTACCTTGTCTATGTAGTCGGTGTGTTGCCCGTACGAAGCTCTCTGTGATGCTGTGAGTGTTGAGGTCAGCCCTGGCGGAAGGACCGACATCGATTGTCTCCGCCTCCACCTTCGGGGCAGCTGCGACGTCTCCGATGCGCCGGCGAGGTGTGGGCCTGTGCACAAATCTCATGGTTTCACCTTGACTGTACTCCCGACTAAAGGACAGATACGAGGAGGCTGTGCTCCTCGGCATCCCCCCCAGCGAGTACGACGAGGCTTTGGGGCTCGCCGGCCCGAGTGTATGCTACACCATCGTACAGGCTCCTCACGAAGGACGACGCTGCTGCTGACCTTGCTCCTCTTCATCAGCACCGCCGTCCTCTTCTATATTCGTGCGCGCTGGTCAAGGCCAATCCCAGCACATCCCTTCCCAGCATCTGCCATTCTCGATCAGAATACGGTGACATCAAGCACCGGTGGCGCAATAAGCTGTAACTGTACAGCACCGAAGATGCCCGATCCAGGCATCTTCCCAGGCGGCAAGGCTCAGTCCAAAGAGGGCTGGAATGTCCTGCCAGCTGTAGATGGAGCAAAACTCGATACGACGACTTTCCGGGTGGGCAGTGGGACGCTGGTGAGTGTTTTTAGGGTCTCACAGACATACAACAGCGCAGCCAGCTGATACATTGCACTCTCATTCTCATGCCTTCGCAGACGACGTACATCACCTCATCCTACGACCCCCGACGCATCAAGCGAGTCGTAGTCATGATCCACGGCCTCTCTCGGACTTCATGGAACCAGCAGCTCTACACTTCTCTGGCCCTCGACAAAGCTACCCAGAGCGGCGCAGTCTCCCGAGACGAAGTCGTGGTACTGGCCCCACACTTCTTCACCGGCAAAGACGCCGGTGCTTTCCCGGCTGATGCGCATGGCAAGCCTCTTAACGATGTACTGGTCTGGAAGGGAACCGAGTGGGCAGATGGAACGCCTTCGAAGTATCCGAAGGGATCCAGTGTAGGAGCTTTTGACGTCCTGGACGCCGTCATCGACCACTTCCTCGACCTCAGAAAGTATCCAAATCTAGGTACAATCGTCATCGGTGGATTCTCTCTCGGGGCCCAGCTCGTCACCCGCTACTCGACCTTCCGCCCTTCTAACGCTGAGCAGGACAGTCGGATCAGCTACTGGGTAGGGGCTCCCAATTCGTTCTTGTACTTGGACCGTTCCCGTCCTTACCCGACGGAAAGGTATCCGGACTTCAACGAGTACAAGTACGGTCTGGAGGGCTCGCTACCGCCCTACTTGGCTGCCAAGAGGGTCGTGCCTTCTCTGCAGGCCTTGGCGCCGAATCTTCTCAACCGGCGGATCAGCTACTGCGTGGGGTTAGGAGACCTTTCGGCGGGATCTGACGTTGGGCCTGCTGCAGTACAGGGCTCCCACCATGTCTCCAAGGTGCAGCACTGGGTCTCAGACTACCTGCCCTTCCTTCCTGGATCGACCGGCTCTAGAGGTGTCCTGCCTCCTCGGTCAACGGTGGACTACATAGATGGTGCTTCGCATCAGGACTGGAAGGTGCTTCAGAGCGAGTGCACAATCAAGCGGCTTTTCTTGGAGAATCCGAGGAGGTGAAACGTCTTTTCCCCAGCTTCTGTGTTTTGTGAATGGTATATATTGTACATTGCACCCGAGCGCTCGCAGCGACTACCATCTAGGTCCTCCCATGCCTGCTCCTACCCCCATCTCTGCGCTATACCCACCTCCACTGCCTTCCCTGCCCATACCCGGCCCACCGGTGGCAGAAGGAGCGTCCATGTTCTTCCTGTACTCAATCTTCTCCACTTTTACCTCGCCGTTGATGAGTTGGTAGACGTAGGACATGATTGTCGGCCCTTGAATGTCCAGAAGCACGAATGAAGGGATGGGATCTGGGTATGCCTTTGCCGGCTTCGTCGGCGCAGAAGCAGGGGTCTTGTCCTTTGAGGCAGTCGAGTCTTGAGTCTCCTTGTCGGTCCTACCATTGGCCTTTGCCTCCTTGCTCTGCTCGCCCTTCTTCTGCTGGTCCTCACCACCGCTACCCTCCTTCTCAGGGCCACTCACTCCTTCCGTCTCCTTCTCCTCTGTTGCCTCTCCTCCCACCACCCCCTCTTCCTTCTCCTCGTCCTCCACCACAGGCCAAACACTACACCAGGCCCCAGTCGCACTTCCCGGATCTACAAAGAACTTTCCTCCACTCTCAAATGCCTTGAACTTGTGAGTGGAGCCAGAGACGAGGACGTCTACGTCCATTGTCGTCGCTAGAGAATAGAGGAGATCACTGTCCCCAATGGGAAGGATTTGATGACCGTGGATTATGCCGAGTCGGAGGGGTGGGTGGTTGACGATGAGGGTTGGCGGGAGGTGGGGTGACTGGCGAGGGGTTTGGGAAGGGAAAGAGCGAGAAGCATTGTCAATCTCAACGTCGTTCAGAGAACACTCGCTGCCCTTATCTAATCTACTCACCTCATCAAAGTCTCCCCGCACTCCTCTGACATCGGGCGCAACTGTCCTGAGGTAGTCCCACGTCTCCCGGTCACAGACGTTGCCAGTGCAGATGATCTGTTGGATCTTGCCCGGTACGAGAAGCTTGCGGAATTTCAGTGGAAGAGAAGAGGCTCTGAGAGGGAGATGTAGATCCCCCAGTAGTAGGACCAGCATCGTATTAGAGATAACAGGGGAGGGCGGGAGACGACGACGACGACGAAGATGATGGTGAGGGCGAGGTGCAAGTGTCACTCGCGTTGGTTGCCTGCATGGGCCAACGGGGCGCAAGCCACCCAATGGTCGCCTTGGGTGTGCATTGCTGGATACGCCTGGTGCTCCCCCCGATACTCATTCACGGATCCACACCTCGCACGATCCTCGGATCAATACAGCCTCGACAGAAGAACGTGCTTTCACCATTCTCATCTGTGGTACCGGACCTCGTCGCATCTCACCACTGCCAATCCTGCCCGCAAGACTCTTCTGGAAGCGGCCACCTCTGCCCAAGCTCAACAAAACAAGGCGAGGCGTTTCATTTTCCGACCCGGTCAAAGGGAGCGAGCAATCGAAGCCATTCAAATTAACCTCAACACATCGCTACCTGCCATTGGTATCCCTCCGTCCTCAAGCATTACCTGGATCGCACCCCTCGTCCCTCCCATCTTCGTCTCATCTTGACGATCCCCCACAGTGACCTCGTCGAGCGCAGGCAGCTTCACATAGACACGTCACCTCCCTGTCACACGAGCTGGCTTAACCTTTCCTCTTCTGGCCTGCCCTCCCGCATTCATCTTGCAATCCAGTCTCTGACCAAGGACTTGTCCATCTAATACCCTCTCTAGAGCATTAGTCTCGACATTGCATAGGAATCATGACTTCGCGGCGGCATCGATCCGCTCTCGGCAGCGCTAGCCTAGCGGCAGTGTTGCTCCCCATTCTTGCCACGGCACTCTCTCTAGCATCCTCAGCTGCAGCATCACCCACAACAATAGCCCCTTCACTCGCCGAGAGGGGGCCTTATCCGACTGCCTCTCCCCTCGCCTCACCGGCGGGATTCACCGGAATCACAACAATGGGCACGCAGAAGCTCATCGGACTCACACTCGCCATTGGCTCCTCATTGGCCATTGGCACTTCCTTTATCATCACAAAGCGAGGGCTCATGGATGCAGCAGAGCGAGGGGGGCTAAGCAATGCCTCTGACGCTCATGCCTACCTGCAAAACCCCATTTGGTGGGCAGGAATGGTGACCATGATCGTGGGAGAGGTGGCCAACTTTGCCGCATACACCTTCGCGCCTCCCATCCTGGTCACTCCGCTAGGTGCATTGAGTGTGCTGATTGGAGCCATTCTGGCCAGCTTCATTCTGAAGGAGGAGCTGGGTAGATTGGGAAGGGTAGGCTGTACGCTCTGCCTAGTGGGGACTGTCATCATCGTCGTCAATGCCCCCGAGGACAAGGATGTACAGACGGTAGATGAGATTCTCAACTATGCCCTGCAAACGCCCTTCCTCGTCTACTGCCTCTTTACATTTGGCTACTGCACCTGGATGATCTGGCGCATCGTACCAAAGTATGGCAAGCGATCTCCCCTCGTGTACCTGAGCATCTGCTCATTGGCCGGATCCATCTCCGTCATGAGCGTCAAGGGCTTTGGAGTCGCATTGAAGCTCACTTTTGAGGGCAACAATCAGTTCACACATCCATCGACTTACTGCTTCATGATCGTCGTCATCGTGTGCATCCTAGTGCAGATGAACTACTTCAACAAGGCCTTGGACCAGTTCAGTACCAACGTGTAAGTACTGAGGGAGAGCACCAGTGCGCGCAGTGCAGTGATTGACAGAACTCTTGCCTCTCTCCTGCCCTTAGCGTGAATCCCATCTACTACGTGATGTTCACTACGTCGACAATCTTTGCTTCGTTCCTGCTGTTCCAAGGCTTCAACACAAACGGAGCGGCACCGGCGGTATCCCTCCTAGGAGGCTTCGTAGTCATCTTCATGGGCGTCTACCTGCTCAACATGAACGTGAGTATTCGGGGTTCCACCCCCAGACAATTCTCAAATCAGCAAGAGCGGTGTGTCTGACCCTCCCCCTCTCTCCTTCTCCTGTTGCTCTCAGCGCCTTGTGGATCCCGTCACCCAACAGCCTCGTATGTCCTTTGTCACCGGCGAGGGAATCTCCGGCACAGGTCGCCTATCAGAATCTCGAGAGAGGCTCATGAACGGCATGCACGGGCGGAGAGGCTCTTCCATCCCTCCACGAGCCTCCAGCAGCGGTCTAGGCCGAGACAATGAGTACTGGGCAGCTGCTGCCACCGAGGGGAGTGGTAGTGGTAGAGGCCACGAACGGACAGGCTCGAATGGCCATGTCCTCTTCAGCGCCTATGATGGAGCGGATGACGATAGTGCCGAGTCTGGCAGTGGGATTGGGCTTGCACACATGGGCGGCGGTAGCGGCGGTAGCAAAGGCAAGACGACTTCGTCACTGCTGAGAGGGGATGAAGATGAAGACTCGGAAGACGGCATGGACTCATTGCCCTCTTACACCAGCCATGGAGCTGGCGGTGGTAGCAATGGCAGGCGGATTCTCCCAGGGAGTGTAGGGGGTGCACAGCACAAGAGGAGTGCTAGTCTAAAGAGTGTTGTGGGTACCAATGGGAAAGTGATGAGTGGGGCAGCGGCTAGTAATGGTGGTGGGGCATTGGGAGCCGTCAAGACTGGGGGCAGTGGGTCGAGGTAGACGTTGCAGTAGATGGGGACATTCTCCTTATACGGGAAATGCATACTCTGTGGCAGCCTGGAAGTAGTGCGACAAGACGGAGTGGGCTACTAATGGGTTGGATGACAGGCAAGGATCTCCACTCTCTTCCCTCTTCTCCTCCTCCTCCTCCATCACACTATACTCTTCGGATCAAGGATCCGGTAGTAGAGCGACAAGGGCGGTCGAAGGGCGAATTCCTACCTCGTCTACCCCTTGCACGTCTAGCCTCTCATCATGTATCTTAGCACGCCTTCGCTGTTTCCTCCTTGTCCAAGCAATTCATCGTCATACATTGCTGAATACCCAAGAATGGCATCAACGGTGCATGGAATAGTCTTCATTGTGGTATCCTGTACAAAAGCAACCATTTGTCTTTGGGGGTGGGAGGAGATTTCCTCTAGTCGTAGTCCTCATCCTCGTCCAGACTTCTCTTTACGCCTCTGCTATCTATAGCTGCACCACCACCACCAGCGCCAGCTGCATCTTCCATTGTCGCATCTTCAGGTAGAGGTCCGTCTTCTGCGTCTTCTTCTCCCACCTCGTCTCTTCCTCCTCCAGCGCCTTGCCCTTGCCCTTGCCCTTGCCGTGAGTCCCCTGCCTTGGCACTTCCTTCCACTTCCTCTCCTTCCTCGTCCTCCTCGTCATCATCATCATCATCATCCAACTCATCCGGTACGATACCAAAATTGACTCCCGTGAGACAATGCTCCCTCGGCGGTAGTCTCAAACCATACCGATCGCTCACCGGCGGCAGGGGGTAAGCATTGAGCGTTGTAGCCAGTGAGAGGAGGGTAGTCTTGGCTGGTTGTTGGATGAGGGAGTGGGAAAGGTTGGATTGAACGGATAGGAGGAGGTCTGCGAGGGAGATTTGAGGATTGGAGGAAGAGGAGGAAGAGGAGGAATGGGCGTGCGAGGAATAGACGAGGGCGTCGGAGAGGATCGTGTGGATGTAGCCTGTGGGAGGAGAGGAAACAGCAGACGGTCGGTCAGTAGGCACACCCACTGTAGTGTCGGTGGTCGAGCAACCTTTGACTCTCATTCCGATATCTGATACTCACGATTGGCCCACTCGAGGAGCATCATCTCCACCCCGGGCTCAATGTCTTGGATTCCCATCGAGGCGATGATGAGGGAGATCAAGCGCGCGTCCTGTGGCATCTGTGAGAAGCGAGCAGCAGCGGCTGCGCGACTTGCGCCTTGTGCTGCTGAAGTGGAGCCATTGGGGGCAGCCATGATCAGAGGTGATGGTGGTGAGTAGGAGTCAGTATAGGTTGCCAGGCGAGGGATGGTTGGGTAGCGAGTGGTAGGTGGGTGGCCTGCGTGCGTGCCTGTGCCATTTGTGCTTCCGCTCTCTGTGCGGCGCATCAAAAGTCGCTTGATCCGAGCCCCCCACCAAAGAAGCGGCATTGCATTGGAATGAACAATCGTACACTTCACCATCATCACTCGTCGCTACCATCCATTGCCATACACCCGGAGGGAGGACAGTAGAGTACCTCGTCGTCTGTACAAGACACCTTCCCGGTCTCTGTATGATGCAGTGAGCCATCGCCGTAGCCGCCCACCCTCCCGTCATGTCCTCAATCCCTCGTCGGATGCGACCGGGCAACAACTTCAACTTCGACTCGTCCACCACTTCCTCCAATGCCGCCTCCATACCACCCACACCAGATGGAGCCACCTTTCGGGATCTCCTCATCTTCGAGGAGCGTCTAAAGCAGAATGCTGCACGGCTGCAGCGCCGCAAGCACAAGTATCAGGGGATCCTCCTCCTCCTCTGCGCTGCTATCCTACTCCTATCCTACCATGTCCTCCTCTTCCCCAAACCTCAACACACCCTTGTGCACTATGCTCAGCTCGTATCACTCGTGGTGTGCGGCACTACTGTATTCCTCTTCTTTGCAAGTGGAATGTATGCAGAGAGAATCGTCGCCGCAAATCGATTTGTACCTCAAGCCAACAGGGCGCTCAGGCCTTTCAACATGTACCTCAACACCCGCAGACCGCCGGCAGGGGACAGCTGGCTCTCCTCTCTGCCCTTCATCAAGTCAAACGGCTCAGCAGTGGTAGCGGACAGTACATCCGCAAGCTCAAGTTCATTAGCAGCATCCAAGTCTTCACACTTCCCCGCCTCGCCCTCCTCTACCTCCCTACCCGGAGGCCCCACTACCCGCCTCGTACGAGATGCCCCCGATCCAGCAAATCCCACCGCTCTTCCTCCTTTGCGTCGCCTGCAGATTCAGCCCATTCCCCCTTCCTCAAACCCACGCGGAGAAATGATCTTCTCCTCCAAAGTCTCCCTAGCCTTTCGCGAAGGGTACGAACGCTATCGGAACGTCTTTGAGAGGAGGAGAAAGGAGAAGTTGGACGCGGCAGATATGGAGAGTAGAATGAGGTGGAGGTGGCGCAGGTGGTTGTTTGCGCTACGAGGGGGTGGAAGAGGAGGTATAGCTGATTCCCGGCAATTTGCTGGCGAGAAGGGGCTGGAGGCAGGAGCAGGAGGTGGTGGTAGTGGACTTGGCGCACCCACCAGCACTCGCAGGGCCGGCGGTGGTCCAGGGGAGAAAAGTAGCGCGACTGGTGGAACGACCACGACTTCTTCAGGCCGGACAAGGGGTGCTTCCTCGAGCTCCGGACAGGGCAGTGGCCACAAGAAGAGCGCAAGTAGGCACCATCCGCACCGTTCCCGCACGAATTCCTCGGCATCAATCGCTTCGTCCACCGCTAGCTCTACACAGTCCTCTGCACATGGGCATGGGAGCGACTCTCCCTCCTCCATTTCCACCAAACATGCCGGCCTTTCGGACAATGTCGGCAGTGGGAATGGCGATGGAAGCGGGCGAGCTGCCTCTGCCTCGACGTCGACGAAGCGCAAGTCAAGTCCAAGGAGAAAACACCGCGATGCGCCTCCTGCCGGCTCCTCTTCTCTCAGAAGGAGCAATCGTGCTGTGGATGTTGCAGACGAGCAGGATGAGGAGGTAGCAGAGGTAGCAGAGGGATCGGAAGGTAGAAGAGGAGGAGAGGGAGAGGGCCAGGGCGAGTCAGCTATAGAGCCAGACCCTACCAAGGTGGCGGACGAGGGTGATGATAGGGGTGATGCCGAGGCGACACTGCGGGAACCTGCTCCTGCTCCTGCTCCTGCTCCTACTTCTGCTGTCCTTGCTACGACTGCTGGTGCCAGTGCAAGTACACAAGACGAGCACGGTCAGCAGCAGTCCACCTCCTCTTCAACTTCATCTTCATCCTCGGATGAGGAGGAGGATGACGAGGACGAGGAGGTTCTAGTCGATCGCTCCCTCGTAGACCTCGACCTGGATCTAGGGAGCGCATCCCTCCTCTCCACTGCTTCCCTCCAGGAGTCAAGCGACGCAGCCCCAGGTGCAGTCGAGGAGAAGGACATGGCAGCACCTACACCACTGAGGAAGGATGGACTCCTCAGTGCGGACAGGGACTCTACGGTCAGCGCCAGTGAGGGGAAAGAGGGTGAAGGGTGGGTCGAGGTGAGACGGACGGGGAGTAGTCGAAGAGGGGCCGCAACAGTTGGGAATGGCAGTGGTAGTAGCACGAGCTAGCACGAGACGTGGGACGTGCCTGTGGCTACAAGACGAGACCAGCTAGAGTGGCAATCACATGTGCACATGCGTAGATTCGAGATGTGCGATGCGATGCGATGCGAGTAAGGAAGGATGGCCGGTCGATCGATCGGTCTGATGCGATGCTTCCTTACACGCAACGTGAGGTGGACTTTTTCTGAGCCGCTTCTACAAGTCCCCCGACCTTTGACCTTTTCCCTCCTACCTCTGCCGCTCCATCCTTGCCTCTCTTGCTTCTATCCTTCTATTCTCCCTTCTTTCCCTTCTCCCCCTTCCTCTCCCTTCTCACGTCAATCCCCTCCTAACCCTCTCAATTTCATCCGCAACCATCATCGCCTGCTGCGGCGTAGTGATCATCCCATACCTCCTCTCTCTCAAGTACCTCCACAAGATCAAGACAATCTTTTCCGCCGGATAAGCCCTAAGTGTAGGTTCATGGGAAGAGGCAAGCGCCCGTGCCATCATTCCTGCCACGAGTGTGCCTGTACGCCCGATTCCCGCAGAGCAGTGTACCCAAATGGGAGGAACGGGGGAGCTAGAGGCGGGACAGAGACGTCGTTGGGTATCCTGTACTAGGTCTACCAGTCGACAAAAGTTCAGGCTAGAGTCTGCACCCCCATCTGCCCAGGCGTCGACGTGCAGCAGAGTCACGGGCCAGCCTGACCCGTCTGGATTTGCCCGATTGACTGCAGTGGGAGAGTGGTGTGGACCGGTGCCTGTGCAATCGTAGAGGGCATCGACGTAGGATGCGAGTGGTGCTGGTTCCCACTTTTGAGGAGGACGGATAAGGAGATCCCGACGGACAATAGTCCAGTCCTTGTCTGGCTGATGGCTACTTTGATGGGAGCTCCGTCTACTATCGCTACCACTACCGCTTGAACTACTACTGCCAGTGGCATGCCCCGAATTCTTGGTAGTGCTACCGCTACCGCTGCCGCTGCCACTAGCACCAATGGCTCGATCCATCAATCTAGCCGCAGGCGGCGCAGTAGTCCGAGCCTCTACTTCGGACTGCGTGTCCGAATCAGGCTTGGTCCGTGTGGTATGCTTCGTCTGCCTCACTAGCTCCACTTCCCATCCATCTCCAGCATCAAAGGGCTGCTTACGATGATCAGGCCAGTACTGGTGAGACTTGCGTACCTTTGTCATCCCATATGCATCGTATACTGGTGTGAGGTTAACGACGAGGCGGGCGCCAGAAGAGAGAAAGTGGTGCCAAAAAGTGGAAAAAGTATTTGGGAGGGGAGCTTGAGAGGCTACAAAGGGTTGTAGGGTCTTGATGTCTTTCTGAGGAGCCCAGGCTAGTGGTGGAATTGTAGAGGCATTGAGGTAGGGCTCGGGGAGCATTGCGTGGTCCCCTAATGTATGGCGTCGCAGAAGAGATTGCATCGAGGCGTCAGATCACCAGACTCTGGGTTGACCAGAGAGCAAGTCTGAGATATTCGTGTCCGGCTGTACTCACAAGGTCTGACATTAGCCCACCTGTTGTGTTCCCCTCCTGCATCACCCTTCTGATAGGACCACTCCCTATCTACCTCTCCCTGCATCCTCTCCTGTCCAATCCCCGCCCCAGCCAGTCCAAGCGTGGCAAGCAACTCCTTTGCCTCCTGTTTAGCCGCCTGCGCCTGCTTCTTCTCACCACGCCGTTGCAGCTCCCAGTAGGATTCTCGAAGCGAATCACATTCGTCAAAGACTTGACGGGCATGCTTGAAGAGGGTTTGCGCATCCGAATTGGGCGGTGGAGCCGAAAAGGCGGCTGAAGAGGAATGACGGGGTGTCATCCTGCTCCTTGCCCTTGCCCTGGCGCGAACTTGGGCCTGCGACTCGGCTTCGGCTTTGGCTTTGGCTTCGACTGCGCTGAGCCTAGCCTGATGAGAGGTGAGGGGGAGCGATACGAAGGTCCGGTGCTGAGTGGGACGTTGGAATGCCTTTGAGGTACGGAGCAAAAGGGACAGCTTTATACGAGAGGACCACCTAGGTCGGGGTATAGCTACCAATGTCGGACTACGGTAAACGTGAGCAATGAGTGGAAAGGGGGACACGAGCACTGGTGAAGAGGATAGACAAGGCAAAGGAATAAACGGGCAGGGGCGAGAGGTTTCGGACACGGGAGGGAGAGGGGCTAATCCTTCTTGTTGTCTTCCCCCCCTTTACCAGTCTGGCTGTCCTCTGATGTGAGCACTCAATGGCAATGGCATTTGCAGTTGCAGTAATTGGATTGGGCGTAGCGTCATTGCCATTCGAGTGATTCGGCGTGTGTGAGTTAAGCGATGCCGTCAGTCAGAGAGAGGGACACTACAGAGGAGGAAAGATAACCTCCAGCCAACGCACCACAGGAACTAAGGGACGACGAGGGTGGGAAGCGAGGTGCAGGTGGCGGGTAAGGCGGAGCAAAGGTGGAGTGAGGGACGTCTGCGATCAGGGCCACTGCTCGCGCTTCCCGACGTCGGAGTGGCTGAGTGGGATGCGCGTGGCATCCCTACGCAGCTTCGTCTAGATGCCGAGGGACAGAGTACCAAGGAACGCCTGCTGTTACTCACTGTCCTCCTCTGCCCTGCCCACCTCGCCCACCTCCTCCCCGATCACTCCCAGCTCAGATTCGCCACCCACAAAACGCCCAAATCCCGGCCGGCCATTTTATCTGTGGACATCTGCTGAGTATGCCTCCACGTGGAATTCCACAAGCGAGCTTCGCGATGACCTCAGGATCAGATCCACATGGGCACATCGCAGCGAACAGGTAAGCTCCAAAAGGACCGAGGGGTACACATGTAATTGCCGAAGACGGAGTCGGGAGTTACATGGTGGGAGATATATGCAGGAGGTGTGAATTGCGAGGACATGTGGCAAAGGGCGTAGCACCTGATTCGGCATGCAAACCACAGAAGACTAAAGCACAGCAGGGGAAATGTCCACTCCGCACAACGGTAGATGAAGAAGGGGTGGGGGAGTGATTGGAAACCTCAGCATTCAACCCAGACAGAAGCAACATGCAATCTCCGAAGCTGGACTCCAATCTGGACCGGAAAAGCCGCGACAGAAGACACCGCTTTACCTGGGCATCAGGGGCGATGATGACTCCCTTGCTGTTGTTGCTGCTGATGACGAGCAGCAGCAGCAGCGCCAAGGGCCAAGACGGTCCGGCGAGCATCCTGTCCATTGGGACCCAGCCTACCGTTTGCGGCAGGAGCACCTGCAGCTGATGCTGCTGCAGGTCCGGAGCGAGCAGGTAGTCGATAGCCCGGCCCTCCGATGTTCATCCTCTCATTGTACGAGTCAATTTCCCACTGCTTCAGACCGTCTGCTCCGCTCCAATTTGCACTAGAGCTCCTGGGCCTGCCTATGCGAGCTCTAGCAGCAGCCGACTCTGGGGGCATCAGCGTCTCCAGATCAACTGTGCCCTGAGGAATACCAAAAATTAGGTCCGCGTCCACTGCTTGCTGCGCCGCTAGAGCCTGCTGCAGAGCATCACCCTTGGTCCACACTGCAGCTCGTGCACGACGGGCCTGAGTCGCTTCATCCTCGGAGTCCGAGTACTCCGAGACGATACTCGGCAACGACAGGTCGTCATCATCCAGCTGTTGTGGCAAAGGCGACGGTGGGACCGGCTGCACTCGGTGCTGCTGCTGCTGGGCAGATGCAGCTGGTCGAGCAGGCTGTTGCGAGGGGCCTGCGCCGCCAGGTCTCTGTGACTGTTGGAAGGGATTCTGCTGGGAGAAGTTCGAGTTTTGATGAGCCATTCCTGGACGCGAGGGTCCGGTCTGCTGTTGAGGGCGAGTCGGGCCATTCATCGCTGGCTTCAATGGCCGAGGCTGACCGTTTTGAGCAACAGAAGAGGACACGCTGCTGATTGGTCGGATACTCGAATTACCCGATACGCCCTTTGCAGCTCCGTTGAGGGTCGAGGCAGCCTGTTGCCTTGGCAAAGTCCCTTCGTCCCTCTCCTTCGACAGACGGCGCTTCTTGCCGTCAGCATCGCCAGGAACGCCCCCATTCGCGTTTGTTGGAGCCACCGAGCTCTTGAGCTTCGCGCTAGGGGCAGATCCAGCATTGGTCGAGGCAGCCCCATACTGGCCCATCAGACGAGCCTTTGCAGGCTGACCCAGAGTGCTACCTCCTCCTTGCTGCTGCTGTCCTGGTCGCTGAGTCTGGGATGAGGAAGCCTTGGAAGCCCGCTCCTCTTCTTCCCTCGACCGCTTCTTCCTCTCCTTCTCGCGCTCTTCTTCAAGCTTCGCCTTCTGCGCAGCGGCTCTATTCGCCATTGCCTGTTTGCGCTTCTCTTCCTGCTCTTTTAGCCGGCGCTCCGCTTCCTCTGCTTCCTTGCGGCGAAGTTGGTCAGCGCGTATGACGCTTGCCGGCTTGCCTACCCCTCCGCCAAGGGTGGAGGCTCCCAGTGCAGGAGCAGCATGTGGTTCTCGAGGTGCTGTGGAAATAGTGACGTCTTTCTGTGCTGACACAGAGCCAGACAGAGTACGGCTCGTCTTAGGTTGGAAACCAGTGCCTGGTGTGGGACCACTGGCACCGATCACGCCAGGTAGAGCGGCACCGTTGATATTGAACAAGGACTTGAGCTTGTGACCCCATTGCGACGCTCCTGGAGCACCTTCGCCTGCCTTGGCTGCATTGGGCGCCGCCGTGGTACCAGTAGCAGGCTTGATGACTGCTGTCGAGGCAGCAGACGAGGTTGCTGATGCCGCGCCTGGCGCCTTTTTGCCCTCCAGCTCCTCGAGCGTGAATTCGTCATCATCGCCGTACGTATCTCCAGAGTCGTTGTTGCCGCTGAAGTAGATTGCGCTCTTTGTATTCTGAGCTGAATTGCCCTCTGAGCTCGTTGCACGGCTCTGAGAATGTGTCGTCTGAGCAGCAGCGCTCAAAGGTCGCATGACTTTGGTCGTCTTGCCGTCCTCGTCTTTGTCGTCTGACTCATCGTCGGCATCACCCTCGTCGTCCTTCAGGAGCGAAGTCTCATCGTCATCCTCGTCGGCTGCCAGCTGTGACAGCTTAGGAGAAGAAAGTACGTCTTTGGCTGCTGAAGATGGGGATGCTATACCAAGCTGAGCTTCGACCGCCTTGTCCTCATCGACAAGCGCCTTCGTTCGGGTCTGTTCCTCCGTCACGCCAGGCATTCCAGAAGAGGCAGCAGGCGCGGCTTTGCGATTTTCTTTGACAGGAGAGTTGAGCGGAGTCGTGGAAGCAGGGGGAGGGTTGCTCTGGCTCTCTGGGGGATTTGACTTCCTGGGCGATGTGCGAGTCGGCTGAGCCTTGGCTTCCCACTGTCCGCGAAGTGAGGCAACGCTTGGCCCACTGGGGCGAGGAGGCTTAGCAGCGCTCGTTGCAGGAGAGGAAACGGCAGCTGCCTCCGCAGGAGCAGCAAATGATGGGGCAGCAGCTCGGCCAAGGATGGGGCTCGAGAGGCCCCTTGCTCCGAGTCCTACCACGCTCGTGTTTGTTGATTTCTGGAGGCGAGCAGACTCGAGCTTTGTACGGAGAAGATTTGAAGTCGTAGGGAGCTTCGCTGGCTGAGTCTTTGAGGCCGATGCGTTTGTGGTCTTGGCAAAGCCGGAAGCCTGGGTCAGGTCCTTCTCGCTGCGGTCTGACAAGGTGCGGGCAAGCTTCGGCGCGGGCGGTCGCGTTGCCGCTTCGGCCTGGCCCGCCTCATCTCCATCTTGGTTCATCTCCTCACTCTTGCGCTTCGAGCCGGCAGAACGCTCTGGCAAGGCAGCGCTCACTGATGGCTTTGCCGCAAGTGGTTTCGCAACCTCTCTTTGCGAGGGCGCCTTGACTCCAAGCATTGCAGCTGCATTGGCTTCAGTATTCGCCTTGGTGCCGACCATCGAGTCGTCCTCGTCGCTATCTTCCTCTTCACCCTCGACACCGTTGCTGCCCGATGATCCTGTGGTCTGGGCTTTGCGCAGACTCTTGTTCAGGAAGCTACTCTTGAAGCCAGCATTTGCTGGGGTGCTCGAATTATGAGACTGTAGTCCGTAGCCGAGTGACTTTTTGGAGCCGCCAAAAGATGCTAGCGTTCTCTTTTGCTTAGGAGGAGGGGCAGGCGTGGGTGCAGTTGTAGTAGCACCTACGCTGCTGCCGCTATTGGACGATGACAGCAAAGAACCTGAGCTTCCGTCTCTTGTCGACTGGGTCATCTCTATTGTCTTTGTGACACTCTCTGCGGGAGGCGCGTCCTTGTTCTCTTCCGCCGAAGAGTAGCTCTCATCGGAATCCTGCTCGTCATCTTGAATCGGTGCAATGCCTTCCTCTGCCAGCATCCTGTCTAGCAGCTTGCCAGTGTTCTTCTTCCCGGTAGGAGTCGAGGCTCGAGGCTGCTCGGTCATTGGGCCCTCGGCAAAGGTCATGTCCACCTGCATACTCTCGTCCGCTACAATGGGAGAAGGTGGTGATGACGGAAGCGGTGCAGCTTCCGCTGTCGCTGCAGGCTCGGGCACGACCTCCGCCTCTACCACCTTTGCCTTCGCTTTCGCCTTGCCTCTGCCCTTTGGTTGTGTCGCAGGAGGGCTTTGGTCAGACTCCTTTTCACTTGCGCTCGTCTTCGAGGCAGCAGCGACTTCCTTCTTCTTCTGCTCCGCCAGCTGCTTCTTCGTCAACTTAGGAGGCGCTTTCGCTTTCTCCTTGCTCTTGACTTGTGGGGCGGGTTCAGCTTCGATCTTAGCAGCAGCCAATTCGACTTCATGGGCTGCTTTCGATTCGGGCAAGGCAGGAGGAGTTGTTTCGACAGCTTCACGCGACTGTTCTGCCTTTGCCTTCGCCTGCAGTAGTTTAGTCTGGAAGGGATTGGGCAGCTTTGCGATCTGCGCCTTGTCGGCACGACTACGCGTACCTCTGGCCGCGCCTACGCTATGGCTCGAGGCATCGGCCACTGGCTCAGCCGGGGCGGAGGCCTTGACGTGTTGGACAGAAGCATTTTCCTTGTTTTCAGCATCATTGAATGGATCAGAGGCAATTTCTTTCGGCAGCTTGCGCGACACTGCCCGACCCTGAGCGCGTACATTGGCGGCTCGCTTTCGTGAGGGTGTTTTGAGCATCTCACCAGCGATCCTGGCGGCTTGAGCGCCTCGCTGATCGCGGCTGCTAGCAATGTATTCGGTACTGGTGAGGGAAAACACAGTCTGGAGAGGTCAGCCACCTTTCACTACCTCTCATGTTGTCTCGGGCTCAACTCACGACCACTGTCTCCGGATGTCCTTGGCTTGGGCTAGCATTCCCTCCATCCAGTCTGCCCCCGTCGACTGCGCGAAGATGTCAAATGCGACGAAATTGGGTACTTGTCTGATGCCATTGATGTGCTGTAGGAGATTCAGCTCCATGAGTGGATTGATGGTCGACTTTGAGGTCGATGCTTGTGAATTGGACGAGGAGGCGACGGCCGTACTGGCCGCGGCGCCCCGTCCTCCGCTAGCGGATCTTGGAGCCATGTGTGAGCGATGAAGGGGCAAAGGAAGGTGGGAAAGAGGGGTTGATGACGATGTGGTGGACGGATCGCGGCCGTGTTGGGTATAATATGTCCGTGTCAGACTTCCGACATGTAAAAATTCGTATCCAGAGTGGTGCGAGGTGAGTCGATGATGATATCGGTGATGGCTACGAAGTCGACTGTCTCGGACTGGTTTCGCCTGGATGATTGCTTCGATGCTTGATTCGTTCGTCCGTCCGTCCGTCGTGCGCCTGGAAAACAACACCTGCCGCGCCAGACGAGGCGAGGCGCGTCTGCCCACATGTCACTCGCTCACCCGCCCTCGCAAGCCACGCGGCAATGAATGGCCTCCCCCGCATGGCCTTCCGCATGGATGCCGGACCGGCTCTCGCACCACCCGGATACGATACTCACCCTGCCTCCTCCTTCTCACTGTCTTCCTCGAGCAATTCGTTCGTCTCGTTCGGTCCCCATCCTCTTTTTCCGCAACCCATTCCCTACCAGCCATGAAAGTCGCCAACAAGCTCTTCTTCATCTTCGGCGGAGCATCCGGTCTGGGTGAAGCCACGGCCCGCCTCCTGCATTCCCAAGGTGCCTACGTTGCTATTCTCGACCTCAACGAGGACCTAGCTCAGTCGGTCGCCTCCTCCCTCAATACCAATCAAGAAGCCACAAAGATGTCTTCTGGAATGGGACCGACAGAGAGAGCCTTGCATGCAGCGGTGGACATCTGTGATACCGAGAGCATAGAGGCGGCTTTTGCGCTGTGTGATGAAAAGTGGAAGGACGTAGAGGTCGGCGGAGCAGTGGTGGCTTCCGGAATCGGCATGGTGGGCAAGACGTTGGAGAGGGACGGCTCACCACACAATCTCGACGTATTTGAGCAAGTCATCAAGATCAACCTCACAGGAAACTTCAATGCATGCAGAATGGTTGCTGCTCGGTTGGTTAGGGATGTGCCTAAGCCGATCCCAGCACCGACCGAGGAGACGCCTTGCAGGGGAGTCATTGTGACTGTCGCTTCGCAGGCCGGACTGGAAGGACAGGCAGGTCAAGTAGCGTACGCCACGAGTAAAGGAGCCATTGTCAGCATGACATTACCAATGGCCAGGTGAGAGTTCGCCCGATAGCATTTCCTCCCACTTGCACCTGTATTGCTGACTCTTCTCCGAACCTGTTCCATGCTCCACGTCCATTCAGAGATCTAGCCTGGTACTCCATCCGGACCTGCTCCATCTGTCCCTCCATCTTCGAGACGCCCATGTCCGTGCAAATGCCCCAACGCGCCCGCAAGAAGACGCTCGCCACCACCGAATACCCTGCTAGATTTGGTAGGCCAGATGAGTTTGCGCATGCGGCTGTGAGCATCATCGAGAATGACATGATGAATGGGATGAATCTGAGATTGGATGGAGCTACGAGGCTGGCGAAGCTCTAAGTGAGACAGGAAGAAGCGGGTGGCTCTCCCGACGTGTCTTTTCGAGCCCTGCTTTAAGCAACCCCTCGAATGTATATTACGCCATGACAAGCTCATCACGACTGTTGTGAAGGTCAGAACCTCAGAGCTGTATATACATTATTCCATTTGTTCGCAAGAGTGTGGGATGAAGTGCAGATAGTAGTGCTCAGCTCTCTGCTCCCCTCTACCCTCATCTGACCTTCACCACTGAGACGGACGGGCAAGCGACCCTCTCGCACCCTGCAGGTACCTCCTCTTCTCCCGATCATAACTCCCCGAGGCGCCACCATCAGCTGCCGAGCCGGAAGACGATACGGAGGCCGAGGTAGACCCAGCAGGTTGCTGTACTCCACTGTTGCTATCTCTAGGACGAGCGCGCAGCGTAGCGTACTCTAGGTTGAGGTCCATGAAGCTGTCGATGTTGCGGAACTGAGAGGTATCCGAAGAAGGCGAGGAGCGATGCAGATGCCTGTCCCTGCGAGTTGGCGAAGATGTAGAGTCGGCGGGTGCAGCACTCGCAGAGGAGGACGACGAGGGGAGACTGCTCGACGAGGAGACACGAGTCAGGCCTTCTTGACTAGACTCGCCTGCAGTGCCTGTGGTCTCAGGCTGCCCCTCTGCCCGAGCCTCTGTCTTTACCTCTACTTCTGTCTGGGGCTCTGGTTCCGAGGCTGCTGTCTCTATGGCCTGTCCAGGCAGACAGAGCGTGCTCTCTTCGATGACACAATAAGACCCTGTCCCTCCCTCTCCACCGAAGCTTCCAAGCCCGCGGCTGTCAGACTGGTCGTATTTGCACTCAGCGGCCTCTTGGGGCTGCATCTCGCGCGTCTTGCCTTTGGGGTCCTTATGCTTGGGCAAAGGAGAGCGGTCAAGACCCTTGCCAAGAGCAATCTCCGAGCCGGTGCTGGTTGTCGCCAGGTCGCTAGTTCTCACGCGAGAGCTTTTGGCGGGCTGACTGTTGCTGGAACGACACTTCATCTCGCTGATGATCCTCCTCGAGTCTTCCGCAGCCTTCTTGGCAGCTCTCTGCGCCGCCAATGCCACTCGCTGACTGGGCGATAGCTCAAAACCTGAGCTTGCTGGGAGATGTGGCTTGCTTGTTAAGGCTGACTGAGTGGGGACTGATGTGGGGCATACGAGTGGACTTGGCTGTGGGGAAGCAGTAGCCTCAGTCCCCGATGGGATGACAGGGACGGGTTGTGGAGCAGACCTCGATGGACCTGCCACATTCGGACGTTCTGCAACATCGACTTCACTAGCTTTGAGGTAGTCACTCAGAACCTGCTCCTCATCAACATCACTATCGACCAAAATTGCCAGACGCTGGTTGAGCAATTGAGCTTCCATAAACCCCCACTGGTCCTCCAAAGCCGGCAGAGCGACTCTTGCACAGACACTCATTGCGTACCAAAAGCACTGCATCAGCGCTGTTAGCTGATACTGAAGTGCCAGGAAGCATTCCAGCATCTGCCAGTAATCCGGGTTGAAGGGCATAGCGGGGTGCAGAGTCAAGGCTCTCCGGAGCAGGATGCGGGACGGTGCCCAGGCGAGTCTTACGAGGTTCCTGAGGCCATAGTATAATCCGGCACGAGTGATGAGGCTAAAGGTCGCTGCTTGCCGGGCTTCAGCCAGCGACTTCGCCTTCTGCGCAGGCGTGACAGGAACGTGCTTCACCTCCTTGCGTGTCTTTGCAAGGTACCAAGCTTGGAAGTTGCGACGAAGCGGCAGCCTCCACGAGTCTCCTAGAGCCGTCACGGCGAGACAGGCAAAAGGAGCCCAGACGCTGCCGAACCCGTGGAATATTGGTTTGACAGGGTGCGCCACACCCTTCAGGGGAGCAGGACCGCTCACAGCTACGATGCCCAGCATGAAGTGTGTAGCTGGAAGTACCGAGGCTGCGATCACCGAGGAGACGAGCCAGAGTGCCAGATTGGGGAGCATTGTCACGAGCTCGTTTGCGATGTACCGCGGCAGCTTGCGGGCGAAGGCAGCGAGTGTCCGCTTCCCTCGTTGCACGAGAGAGAGCTGCATTAGATTCGGAACTCTCTGTAGTGAGCTATTCGCCAGAGGCACCAGAGGCGCAATGGCTAAAGTCAGACCGACGGCCATGGCCGTGGGAGGCACACGCCGGTACGATGCTTTTGTCGCCGCTGCCACGGTCAGGCACAAGATTACGGCGCCGGGATCTATGAGCTGTCGTGCCTTGGGTGGAGCCATGTGGTCTTTGCTTGACTTGGTCATCGCGAAGCTGGCTGAACAAGGGGAGAGTAGAGGGCGAGGGCGAAGCTTAAGATGTGTGGGACACGAGCCAGGAGCGTGCAACGTAGCAATTATCTTCGAATTTTGTCCTTCTCTATATGAGCTGCTCAGAGCAGCGCACCGATCCCTCCCTCATCTCTTTGCAAACCAGCCTACCGCTCCATAAGTGTGCGGGCCCGTTCCGACGCGCATCGTCTTGGGCAAAAAGGAACAAGGGCCGGAATGATAGACGGATGAGCTCTCGACACCGCTTTCCTCTCCACTGTTCCTCTGCTCCCCTCACATCCTCCCCACGAGGTCATGTTGCTCCTCTCTTTCGGCCCGAGCGTGATGAAGCGGGCGCAAATCAGCGAGGTGAACAAGGCGCGACACGATTGGGGACGCAGGCGCGGACAAGGTATCGATCGACTCGACTTCCGACGTCCAGCCTTGTGCATAGGCGCGGGAGGCCCGAGCTCAGCTCAGCTCAGCGCGCCGTGGAGGACGACGCTTGCAGCTCCAAGACTTGCCTTGCTTCTGCTCTTTTGAAACAAAAGCCAAAGAGACAGACAGGCAGTCGAACAAACAAACAAACAAATACTCGGCAGAGAGGCAGACGCAAGTGGAGCAAAGCAGATGAAAGAGAAAGTCTGAGGTCTCTCTTCGAGTTGAGTATTGATGAGAACGAAGACGAAGACGAAGGGGAGTATGCGTTACAAAAAAAAGGGGGTCCCAGGCCAACCAAATGGCCAGCCGGCCGGTCTGCCAGCCGGTCTCTCTCCTCCTTCCATCTTGTCCTCAATCCAGCCTCTTCCACCCAGCATCACCTTCGCCATTACCGTCGCCATCCTCGTTCGGCTCGTCCCCCTCAGGCTCCTCACGCTCCGCCCGCTGCTGCAAGAAGCGATTCTTCCACCTCTGATCGATTCCCCCACCAGAGCCCGGAGCTCCTTCGAACCAGCTGGATCGCTTATTGACCTTGACGTCTCCAGCCGCGGCATCATGGTCACTACTGATCCCGCTGTTTCCTTGATCGCTAGTGTTTCTATGACCACCGGCACTGCGCACCGAGAAGCTCGCGGCTCGACCTAGGTTGACTCGATGCGCTCCGGCGGAGGCGCTACCGCTCCCACTCCGCGACAGGCCCGGGCTCGCACTCGAGGAGACCCTCGCCTCCATCTGCGAGGCTCTGCGAGCTACATAGCCGCTGGGCCGACGAGCAATGGGCGCGGTCGTGCTGGGTGGCATGCCTGTCGAGGCAGAACGGCGGGGAGGCGGAGGTGGAGTGATCCTAGACCGTTCGGGCGAGCCTTGACCGGGTGTCGGAGTAGGCGTATCGGAAGTGTCCGTCACTGCAGTGCTATGAGCAGCATTGCCTCCATCGTGATCTGCATGGTAGGTATCGTCGGGCATGGGCGCATCGTCCCAGCGCTCGGCCTCGTCTTCGTCCTCACCATCCTCACGCCAGGGACCATTGCTGCCCTTAGACTGGTGGAGCCGGATACTGTCCTGACTCTCGCCACCTCGCCCTTCCTCCTCTTCGGGGTCCTCGCGCAACAGACTCTCCTCGCCACGGCGATTGATCCAGCCTTTCCTCTCCGCTAGCCTGATCGCGTCCCTCTTCAGCTCATCAATCGGACGAGAGCCATTGGGCGGGCCATCCTGCAGCTTGAGGAAATCGGAAACCTTCTCCTTGAGAGAGAAGCTGCCGCCATTAGGCCCTGCACGTGACTTGGTGTTGCTCGAATTAGACACTCTCCGCTCCACGCTCTGAGCTAGCTCTTGCACACTCGTGGGGTTGGTCGAGTTGAGGCTCGTCTCGCCGCTGTCCTCATCTCCTCTGTGACTGGCAGCCGCAGCTCCAGAGCTCCTGTCTGAGATGCTCAGTGCACTCGAGCCGCGATGCAGAGCTGGACGTCTTGTCTCCTCCCCAGCGCGGAGACCTACATCTGCCTTCGCAGAGGGGGGCATGAGACGCAGTCCACCCTGACTTGTCCGGCCAAAGCCAGCATAAGTACCCGAATTGAACGTCGCAGGGAAGGACTCGAGGCGCTTTCGAGAGTTGGCTCCGTGCGAGGGAGGTGGCGGCGGCGGTCCCTTGCCATGAAGAGTCTTCGATCTACCAAGCGGTCGGTTCAACTCGGGAGAGCGGGAGCGAGCGCTGCCGCCATGCTCGCCGTCTCGCTCCGCCTCCCTCTGCCTTTCCTTCAGCCTCTCCCTCTCCAAGTGGTGCTGATGTTGTCTCAGCAGAGGCTGTAGTCTCAACTTTTCGGCTTCTGCCTGTGAGGAGCGATGCAGGAAGGGATTGTGAGGACGATCAATGCTTGCGGCTCGGCTAGCTTGCTCGCTGAGCTCAGTAGGGAAGACGTCGAATTCCTCGTCCAGAACGGTAGGCTCATGTCTGCTCCGCTCAAAGTTGAGTATAAAGTCCTTTCGCTGTTGCTCCTCTGACGGGTGTTGAGAATGCCGCCCATGCTCTGGTGGCGGAGAGAGAGGTCTGCCTTCAGCAAGAGCTGACCGTTGTAGCTCCTCTTGCTCCCTCAGCCAAGATGGCAGTGTCGGCGGCTTCGTCCGTGAGAACCCACCACCATCCGCATACTGTGCTTTCGGGGCCGCAACGCTCGCTTGGTGAAGAGAGCCGTCCCCGCCGCTTGCGCTCTCACTTCCTCGTCCCTTCAGATGATGCCGCGAGTGACTCGGCCGAGAGGGCTTGGGCGCTGCGATGACCGTTGCAGTGTGGCTAGCAGCCCTCTGTGGTCCCTCGTTGCCATCATCGCTGCCTGCCCTGCGCAGCCCGATCAGCCCACTTGTAGCCTCCGACACAGATCTCTTCGTCTCATGCAGGGAGACTTTCCGCTTCGCATGGTGAGTCGGGGGCGGCGGTAGCTCCGCCACCACATTCGGCGGGGCACTCTCTCCAGTCAGTAGCCTGGCCTCTGGCTTTGACCGCGACGTAGACGATTGCAAGACGGTGAAGGTCTTCGGGGGAAGGGCGCCTTTCTGCTGCCGCACTTGCTTGCTGGCCTGCAGACCTGCCTGAATCAATGGCGAGATGTGAGCACGCGGCGGTAGAGGCGGCGGAGGCTTCTCGGTATCCGCAGGCCTCGGAGGCAGGGCAGGGAAGGTTCCATCGTCTATGCTCTTTACGCTGCGAGCTGACAAGCCCGAAGCGCCCCCAACGTGTGTTGGCGCGCCATGCACGGAAGGATCTGCAGCAGATGTGACGGGGTTCGGTTGGCCTGCTGTAGCAACGATCGGCGTCGGACGAACGACTTTAGGCTTCACCGGCTTGACGAGGATTGGTGCAGGGTCAAAGCCTGCCAGAGGATCTGCACTGCCAGGAGTTGCTAATGAAGTGGAGCGATGATGCCGCTCTTTGAATGGATTGACAGGACCCACTGACCGCGAAGGCTTCGATGCCTCTGGAGGGACGGGAGGGGGCAGCATGGACGATGACACTGCCCTCTGCACAGGTTCATTCGGTGTACCTGCTGCAGTACTGGGCACGGCGGGTACGAGAGGAAGTGGTAATTGTGAGGACGAGGGGCTGGCGAATGCTGATAGGGCCGGCGGGGGGACCTTGCTACTGGGAGTCGAAACGGATGGCTGCTGTGGCTGAGAAGTGAGAGCAGCAGGCGTACGACTACCCGAACCACTGCCAACCTTGTTGTTCGATGGGCTCAGAAGGTCTTTCGAAGAGCCAATGGACTTCCGTAGCTCATGCGGCCGTCGGGGTGTGTCTGCAGCTGCTGTATCGGCTGTGTTCGCTAGAGGGAAAGTGGTACCTGCAGGCAGTCCTGTGGCTGGAGGCGCTGTCTGGGTGAAGATCAGCGACCGGGCTGGACTTCTGCCTTGTTGGATCCAAGCGGTAATGCGCAGAAGAGCAAAGAAGTGCCCAGGTTCAAGGCCTAGTGGATACCTCTCGAAGAGAGACAGCATCTGCGTGACGTTGCATTTGGGTCAGCACATGGGACGCCCTGCGCCGCGACTACAACGACTCTTTCTATCCGCCAATGTACATTGGACTGCAACTCACCTTTACTTCGTCCACCCTCCCTACGGCGCACTCTTTTCTCAACCATGCCAGCGCGTCCTGCTCATCCAACAGTCCCTCGACGCCGCTGGGGCTCTTTGCTATCTTGGTCAGCCAGCTGGTGTACTGTGGGTACTCCAAGGGTGAAAGGCCCGACACGTCGACTTTGGGCGGACGTGCATCATCGCTCGAGGAAGAGGGTGGTGCGGCAGCTGTGGATGCAGAAGCTGACATCGCACTGGATATGGCCGCGGGGCACAGAGGGGATGAAGGGCTTTGATAGCCCGGCAAGGTGTCGTGCGCCTCTCTCCCCGGTCGTTTGACTTTCGGAGAGCGTGACCAAGGATGCGACCAAAGGGAAAGGCTGATGCGCGGGCTTGTTCGCTCACTTCGACGTATGCTCTGAAACGAGGTGAAGCGGTATATGCGTGTAGGCTGGTCGAAGTCAAGCAAGCCGGAAAAGGGACGTACGAGCTGCTTCGCGAGCGCCGCGCCAGATGTTGCGATTGCGAAGCTTAAGAGGCGAGTGCGTGATGCAGAGGTGACGGCGCGAGGATCGCCAGAGGATATGCGGTAGAGATAGTAAGATGGGACGTCGCCGCCGAAAAGGATACGATATGCTGACGGGGCCGCAGGGGAAGAATTAGGTATGGTCTGACGGTTGCCTGCCTGGGTGAGGGCGATCCGAGGCGGTAGAGGATGGAAGGGGCTGGCTTGCGGGCGATGCGATGCGATGCGAGGGAGGATGGTGGAGAAGTGAGGGAGCAAGCAGCGAGTCGAGGGGGGCGCGTGCCCTGCCTGCCTGACCCTGGACGGAGCGGGTGCTCAGTGCCGGGCGGGCGGGCGGGCAGGCCAGGGCGTCTGTCTGTCTCTGCTTGGCTGCGCGTCCACACAACTCAAAACGTCACGCCGCCTGACGCCCCACGCCACGACGCCTGGCGCCCAGAGCCGCCCTTCCGCCCTGCGCCTGTCACACCACTTCCGAAAAGTGAGATCCGGTACAACGGAAAAAGCAACTTCTGATTCGTGCCGGACAAGTTCCGCATCATAGTGCACATAGACCGCCAACACCTTCGCTACGAAGCTACCATCTCAGCCGACGCCAATGTGATATCCACACCCCTAGGGAAGAAGTCCCACTTGCCCTCCTTGGCCGGAGTCCGCATGCTGCGCGTCACTGCCCAGATCGTGCCAGCTCCATCACACCCCTTTGACGCCCTGCCGACGGTCACTGCAGCGCTCCTGAGCTCGTCGTGCTGTCGGGCATCCAAGCTTGCTAGGTATAGAGGAAAAGTCACCAGCTGCCACAGGATCTCGTCTGGGAAGCGTGGCCCTTGCGACAGTATCAGCGGAGCCAAGGCTCGCAGTGAGGTAAGGAGCAGCTTATACAGCGGCGTGGATGGATCGAACCGCTTGTGGGTTTCGGTCGCGCGGACCACACCCCGCTGTTGCTCGACTGCAGCCATATGCACTTTCTCGCCGCTCTTCAGGAGCCTTGTGGTCTTGGGTCCTGCTGCACCTCCCCTCGCAGCAGTGCCCCCGCCTTCCTCGGCCTCCTCTTCCGCTTCAAGGAGGAGACGAATTCTCGGCCAAGCGTCCTTCGTGATCCGGTCGCTCATGAACTCGGGTATATGGATCGCGAATGTCTCCAGCAGGTTCAAAGCCTCCAGATGCACGAAGGTTTCATGCTCCGTCGCCGTCTGTCTGCCTTTGCCTTTGCGTGACGAGGGAAGAGGGCGTGTGAGGTCCCACCCCAAACGAGCGACAATGAGCGGCCAAGCTCGATTGATCAGAGGCAGAAGTTCGTCCTCCTTGCGCGTCCACTTCTTGTTGCCCCCTGACCCCGCTGTCGGTCCTTCTACCGGAGCAAGTAGTTGCGTCCCTGCGCCGAGCAGTCTCAATACCCTCGCTCGGACAACGGGCGAGGAATGGGACAGGAACGGCATAGACTTGGACAGGATGGCCACCAGGAGCTTCTGCGAGCGTGAAGAGGACGTCGGAGGAGCGACTGCTGTCGAGGTTGCATCATTGTGCTTGGATGGCACCTCTGATTCGACAGCGTCGAAAGCAGAGGGCAGATCAAGGGGCGGCTGTAGGTGCTCCTTCTTCCTTCGCTTCACCAGCCACTCTGTCAGGTCGTCTAACGAGCTGTCAGCGGCTTTTTTGAGACCCTTCCTAGTGCTTGCATTCAGCTCAGGAGCCAGAGTAGACGGTATTGAGGCCTCAGTTGTCTCGCCACTCATGACCTCAAGCAGACGATCTAGGACTCCGAGCAGAGCATCACAGACGTCATCGTATCCATGAAAGCGGTCCAGAGCATCGAGGACCTCATCGATCGAGTCCTCAATCAGGTGTAGCGAAGACGGTCCAAGCAAGCGCATGACCTCCGTCAGTACAAGCGGAGGTGTCCTTGCCGACAGGAGCGGTGCCGGCTGCAAAGAAGATGCGGAGACAACCGACAGCGTCGACTGCTCTCCTGCAGCGATGTGTCTCTGCGCTCGGTCTCTTTGGATCGTCATTGCCTCCAGCTCCTTGCCCAAACCGGACACGAGACGCCAAGAAGCTTCCCCGAGGACGTAGTCGACGTTCTCCCTTACGCAGCTTAGCAAGTCTGCGTACCCAGTCGCAAAGGAGATCGCCTCGAGTGATCTGCTAGCTGCTCGTGAGATGACTTGTGAGGGATGAGTGAGTGCGGAGATCATCGGATAGAGAGTGGGTAATAGGTGACGCTGGTAGGAAGGCCCCAAGAGCAAAGCGGCTAGCGCTAGCATCTCTAGCTGCATAGACCTTTGAACCTCGATATGCTTCGCGATCAATATCTGGCGAGCTTCGGGCGTCGAGGCTCTTGTAGCCGAGACAGCGGCGCTCGCATTGTCGCTGAGAGTCGCAGCTGAGACAAAAGACAAGTTCAGAGCAGGACCAAAGTTGGTAGGTCTGGAAGGTAGGTCTTCTTGATGCGCCATGGCCGGGAGGCCTCTCATCTGCTCAGCAACGGCTTCTTCCCCTGTCTCACCCGCCTTCAGTAATTCTTGTCGCGCTTCTTGAGTCTTCTCTGCCTGGCCGCCGGCAGGCTGTAACGAGACTACTTCCATGAGTGCTTGCGACTCCTCCTGCCAGCATTCCATTACATCCTGCACAAGATCCTCCGCAAAGCGATGAGCTTCCTTTCTGCTTCTCTTGCCTGCTCTGCCTGCTTTAAGACTGAGCTTCGAATCTTCGAGGACGGTCGCCAGGCCCCTTGTCATTTCTCTGACCACAAGTAAAGCAGAAGAGGTTTGCGACAGCGCCTCCAATGCAGTCTCGCCACCTTGACGTGGCCGTTGAGCGGCGAACAGACGTCTGTACTGCCTTGCGTGCTCCATGAAGTACGCAATCAGATCAGTCGCAGCCTTTTTCTCTCGCGCTCTCTTCCTGAATTCACTCTTGGCGGGTTCATTGCTGTCTTTATATGTCTCTTGCGCTTGTGCCAATATCAGCATTGCGCAGACCCGACCCCACTGGCGCAGCATGCCAGCTACTGCTCTGCCTTCCTCTATACTCAGACTGAGCAGAGGTGAGGAGGGCAGATCGAGTAGCGACAATGCTGGGCGATCGTCTGTCAATGCATTAGAGTTGACTGCGACTTGCAGACTCTGAATCAGCTTTGCGCCCCATCTTTCCGTCTCTTTGCGCGATTGAAGGGAAGCGGCGATGCTTGACAGGAGTGTGTGCCTGCTATAATTGCCTTGCTCTGCATCTTGGGTAGCAAGCTGCAGAATGCTGCTCATTCGCTCGCAAAGGTGGGCGGCTCTGGCTCCGCGCTGCGAGACCAACGCTGATGGCAGCTCTCTGAGGCATTGCATGCTCTCTTGCGCAGCTAAGAGGGCGTAGCTCTCTGTCTTGGCTGCACCTGCATCATCGAAGAGTTGCCGTAAATGCTCGCGAGCCAAATAGGTCGTCTTCATCGATGACCGAGACTCAGAGGCAAGATCAAAAAGCCATCGCAACAGCAGCGAGCTGAGTGAGACGTCTTCATCCTCGCTGCTTTGTGTGCCGTCCGATGTTTCTTTCTCGTACCAAAGTGTAGCCTCTCGACAATCTCTTAACAGCGTCGCTGCCAGCTCAACGACCGCTTGTTGCGCGAGAGGATGAGCGTGAGCAGTGATGCTATCATCCTCTTCACTGAAGATTGGGACCTTCTTTTGACCGACAATTGGCGCGGTACTAGAACCCCGACCGTCGAGAGACAGCATAGCAAGTCTGAAATTCTGTACTGTCATCTTGAGAGTATTGTAGGCGCTAGAGGCTTCAGTGGCTTTAGTGCCACCCGCCGATGCGGCTTGAGGATCATCCTGGAGCTGAGCGTCTTGAAGATCTACAGCGTTCATGACCTCTTCCAGCGTTGTTGCTGCTCGGACCTCTGCAAAAGGCTTTTCCTTTGCTGCCTGCATTCGTAGCTTAGCCGTGTTGCCATCGCTGAGCGCCGGACCCACCACTTCCTTGAGAAGCATGATGCCTCTAGCAACCAGTGGGCCAGATACGTGCTTTGGTGAGCTCCGCTTAGATGTTGAGGCCTGAGGCGTGCTCGTCAGGAGTCTGACGACCTTGCTGACTACGCCCGGCATAATGGGTGTCAGCTTCTCCCCTATCCGAGGAGCTGGTGTAGTGGCGGGGAGCCAAGTGGTTGCAATGACTCGCGCGACTTCTGTGGCAGTCGAACGCAGCTCGAGAGTTGATGAATCGGGTACAGCGCTGACGGCCAGATCCAGAGCGGCAGTGAGAGCATGGAGGAGGGGTGACTTGAACCCGGGGCTTTCCGCCAATTTGAGATGTCCGACAGTCGGATAGATGACACGAGTTGAATTCTCGTCAGACGCAGCAGAAGTAGCAAGTGTGGGCTTCTCGCGCTTGGGCTGCTCAAAGTCAAACCGGTCTGCATCGTCCAGGGAGGGCAGATCCGACTCGCCGTCCCACTCCCATTCCTTTGCGGCTGATGAAGGCTGAATCGGTCGGACAGCTGCCATGTTGACTTTGCGTGGGCAGAGTAGAGCGTGTAATAGTCTCACGATCTCTAGAGAAGTTTCGGGGCTATTGGCTGCCGTAGGAGCCCGCTCCTTTTGGGCGGCTTGTCCCGGAGAAGGCTTGGCTGGCGGTGGCCCGGTGAGAGCGATGGCTGCCAGAATCAGAAGCTGCCGCCAGGTCTGTCCATCCTCTTCCGACTTTCCACTGGGGTCAGCAGACTTGCCACTGACCTCGCCAATGGCCAACCACTGCTTCCACCAGTGGCCCACGAGGAGGTGAAGGCATGCAAAAGCCTCCTGTCTTGTCCTGTCAGGCAATTCAGAGGGTCCTCTGGGGCTCGCCTGGAAGAGTTGAGAAATAGGAAAGAATGCATAGTGCAAGACTGACCGCCCTATCACTGCCTGGTTCGAATCAGGCGTGATTGCGCAGCCGTCAAGAGGAGACGGCAGGGGAGCTACCTTGGACGCCTGGGCAAGATACGACCTCAGGGTAGCCAAATGATTCGGGAGCTCTGGCGAAGTGTGCGTTCCGGGCCGACTGAGAGTGAGGATACTCACGCATACTGGCTTGATCTGTAGTGGATGAAAGGCGAAAGGCGCTCAGTACGGGGGCGCTATGCCTTAGCAGGGTGGCCTGGCTGGCTGCTGCTCACCTTCAGGAAGAGGATGCGGTCAGTGGATCCGCCGGGTCCAGAGAAGGGACCGCTGTGACTGCCATTGCTGGTAGTCGAGGCTCTCAGCGGCAGATCTGTCACCATGAAAGGGGGCGATGTGGGCGTATCAAGCTCCTGCCGTTGCTCAGCTTGTATTGCAAGGGCGGTACTGGTGCAACCGGAGCGGAGCATTTCCATTTCTCGTTCGTCCTTCGGAAAGGGCGCCGCCGCGTGGAGTCGAGTCGAGCAGCCGACGTCCGCCGCTCGGCCGAGAGGTGGAAGTCAATCTGTCGCATGGCACGGAGGTTCACCCCGCGTTCCTTTCCGTGTGTGGCCCTTCTGAGGCCATTCTATACACAAGACTCCTCGACATTCCACTCTTACCGATCCTGATGAGCTCGAGGGGAGGCAGAAAAGAGAGGCCCAGTCAGGGCGGTGCAGGTGGCTCAGAAGGTATGCTAAGTTCACGCGATCTTTCACTGTGTTCACCAACGACCGCTGACCGTGTCTTGCTACACGTCCATACTGACCCACAGAGATTCAGCTATGGCATCAAGTCCGCTCCCAGCTGCGCATACTCGAGAAGGCGCGCATACAGGCCAAGTCCCTGGAGGACGACATCGAGGAGACCAAAGTGGAGCTCGAGAGCATCGCAGATGAGCACATTGAAGCCAAGCGGCAGGCCCTGAAGAGTGCTCTCGCTACCCTCCTGGCCAAGACAGTGGAGGAGCAGCAGTGGGTAGACCTGACCGAGAGAGAGTCTGCTGGCAGTCATGAAGGCACACTGACGCCCCATCCATTCACCTCGCTTTCTTCGCGGATAGAGCGGCTGACAAGGCTCTCGAAAGCCTTGGCATCTTAGCAGCGCTTCGTACAGCAACCTCGGACGAAAGCAGTAATGGTGAGACAGTGCTAGTGCTAGTCTTTGACCTCGAGCAGGCCAGCATACTCATTCACTCCGCCTTCATCCACACTAACAGACCTCACGAAGAGGAAAAGGCGGAGAGTGGGCAGCTCGCCGGGGCCCACGCCTTCGCCCGCCCCGCGAGCCAGCTCGCCCACGAACCGCGGCAATGCCGCTGACGCCAAGGAGCGTACGCTCACACCCGAGCCGGTGTCTGCCACGACGGCGACAAGACCAATTGCCAAGCGCAACAACAGCAGCACAAATACGTCTGCTGCCGCCGTAAAGCTCGAAAAGCCTCCCACGGCGCGCAGAAACACCACTTCATCGAGGGACAAAGAGGCAGCAACTGCTAGCAACTCCTTTGAGAAGATGGACCCAGCGAGAGCAAGAAGAGAAGCTCTCGCTCACCAGCTCCCACTGGCCAAAGGTCGTCGCGTTGCCTTTCGCCAGCCGAGCAAGAACAAGAGCGGCACAGTCACTCCTTCTGCAAACCAGAGCTCCTTTGGCGGCAGCGGCAGTGGTGGTAGTGGGCAGACGATTACGGGCGACGAAGAGGGCGAGACGTGGATCATGGCGGTCATCACCGAATGCATCAATAACGACCGCAACCGTTATGTGGTGCAGGACGTAGAGGACCCATCGACGCCCACGTTCAACACTACACTCAAAGCCATCGTGCCTCTGCCAGAACCGCCGGGAACGTTACCTGAGAAGGACTACCCGCCAGGAGCCCAAGTCATGGCCCTGTACCCCGACACGAGCTGCTTCTATCGGGCAATCGTCAAGGGCGGCGGGCCGAAAATGGACTCGCTGTCGAAGAAGCAGGTGCGTACGGAGCGGGGTAAAAGGCGTCCGCCTGCCAAGATTCCGATACTGACCTTCCTTTTTCTCTCCTTCTATTACGGCTCCCGGCGCAGAGAGAGAAGCGGCACGCCGAGCTGCTCAATGCGAACTACCAGCTTGAGTTCGACGACGATGGAGGCGATATCAAAAACATTCCAGCCTACCTCGTAGTGGAGCGACCATAGTGGAAGTCTTGCGCGAAGCTCTTTCCTTGTGCGATCCCAATCTGTAATCTGATACCAGCGTCCTACGTGCATCCTGCATTTCAGTCTTGTCTCGACTCGTGAGTATCGATATGATGCCTGCCCGAAGTGCCCGTCACAGTACTACACACAGTCAACCCTCGCATAGCATCAAGAGGAAGTGTAATCTAGCAGCGACCTGAAGCTATCGTAAACAGTTTCTTCCTCGTCATCTTGGCTCATTCGTGGCTCGCTTGTTTCTCAACTCAAATCCGGCTCCTCCATGACTCCCTTCCTGACATTCCTCAGCAGAGACGCTTGCCATCCCACTATCTTCTTTGTCCTGTCGTAGTCCTGGACGCGCTCATCCAGTCCATTGACGTCTCCAGCTTCGCAGGCCTCAAGGAGGGAGTGAAGGAAGCGACCTTCCATTGTAGTAGGGAAGGAGGGGTCGGAGGTGGCGTAGAAGCCCATGGCGTTGCCGCAGGCGACGTAGTCCTGTTGGAGAGCAGACAACGATACGGAGTCAGCTAGCTGGTAAGTCGGGCCGCCTGCGCCATTTGGGGGCAACTCACTGGGATGGCCAGATAACACATGCCGGCATTGAGATAGTAGTCCTTGACGCTGTATCGTGTCAGATTGCTATCCAAGCTCATCTGAGCCACTTGCTCCCACCGTTCAATGGCCCTCTTGTAGTCTGCAACGTCCGTCGCGAGCTGAGCTGCTTCCCTGTAGCAGCCTGATGCAGTGCTGTGAGATTGGCAAACAAGAAGCAGTACTTAATTAAAGGCTCCATCCGACTGAGTTCGACGAAATCTCATTTTCTAGAACTCACGCTGCTGCTCCCTCCTGGATATACCACTCGGCCGCCTGCTCATAGCTAGCGAGAGCCTTTTGTGGGTCATGGGCTTCACTCTTGTACAGCTCAGCAATGCTTTTTTCCCGATCGGCAGCTTGTCTGAAGCGACCTCGATCGATGAGGATCTGGCGACAGCGGGTGAGGGCAGTGACGGCCACTGCAGGAGTGGAAGGAGAGAAGCTTGAGTCAGTCGGCTAGCTCTTTGCCTCCCCATCGGTGGCGTATCCACTCACGCTCTGGCCTGGTCATTTTGAAAGACTTGCTAGCCTCAAAGAAGGTATTCGCAGCATAGTCTACCTCTCCAGCCTTGACCTCCGTCTCAGCTGCCTTCATGAATGCATGGCCAGCTTCATCAAATCTGTTGGCAGCACGGAACTTGTTGGCAGCAGCCTTGTAGAGCTCGGCTGCCTCTTCGAGTCGGGTGGAGCTGCTGGAGCCGAAGGAGAAGAAGCCCCCGGTGGAGGCGGCTCGCTTCTCGGCGGTCTTGAGGAGTTCTTCTGGTGAGGATGATGCCATGATTGGAGGGGAAGAGATGCAAGGAGCCGAATGTCAAGGTGTACGGTATCCAGGTGATGATGTCCGGCAAGCCAATTGCAGCGTTACCGTCGGCAGTGATGGTGGTTGGTGATGTTTGCGATCTAATCGTCGTGGCGCTGCTTCGCACGGACTGGGATGCCATGGCTGTGCGCGTGTCGAGGACGGAACGGAACCACTCGGCTCCCATGCACCTCCCTCCGTGCCAGGCCAGGCCAGGCCCCCGGCGGCCAGATGGAGTGACCGATATCCAGTTCCGAGCCGAATCACATTCCTACGTCCTTCCCTTCTCGACGTACGTCTGCCCACTGCTTGCCTCATCTACGCTCACAGTCAGTACTACAGATACCATGTCGCTGCCAAAGCGAATCATCAAGGTCAGTCATGCCGTGCAGAGGTGGTCTCCCCTTTCTTCTCAAAGAGGAGGAGCCTGCAGCGCCTCAGGTGGAGTATCAAGGTTGAGTCGCAGGGCAGACAGCTGATCTAGCTTCGATCTTCTCTACTCCTTCGCTGCTGCGTCTGTCCATCAGGAGACGGAAAGATTGGTCGCAGACCCGGCTCCGGGCATCGATGCTACCCCGCACGAGGACAATCTGAGGTACTTCGACGTGGTCATGGCCGGACCAGGAGGAAGCCCCTTCGAAGGTGAGATCATGCCTCCATAGCTCATCCAAGTCGAGAGCTGTAAAAGCTGAAAGATAATTCTTCTTCACTACTACTCTCTCCAGGCGGTAGATTCAAGCTGGAGCTGTTCCTGCCCGAGGAGTACCCAATGGCACCTCCCAAGGTGCGCTTCCTGACCAAGATCTACCACCCTAACATCGATAAGCTGGGCAGAATCTGCCTCGACATTCTCAAAGGTCAGTCACGATCTTTCCACTTTTCCTTGACTTGAAAGTGCGAAGCGTGTATGCTGATCAGCCTGCCTCGCCGCTCTCTGCCCGACCACTGCAGACAAGTGGTCCCCAGCTCTGCAAATCCGCACTGTGCTCCTCTCGATACAGGCACTCCTTTCTGCGCCCAACCCAGACGACCCGCTGGACAACGGAGTAGCAGAGCACTGGAAGCGTGATGAGAAGGGGTGAGTCATCACAGGGCGTAGCAGCTGCACTAGACAAGAGCAGGATTGCTGATGTGCATGCTTCTTCCGTCCTTCCCTCCTGTCAGAGCAATCCAAGTCAGCCGCGAGTGGACACAACAGTATGCAAAGTAGGTCATCTATGTCTCTGACAAGTCGGTCAATGAAGGCTCAGCAGAGTGCCTTGGATTTTGTCAGGGCAGGGCAAATTTGGGAAAGCAAGAGAGAGATATGGCTAATGAGAAGTCGATGCTGCAGTACGGGGAGCGTAGTCTCTTCGTTTGACCTGTGCTGTCATTACAAGACCCCGATTTGATGTACCAATAGACGCCCCATTTCCAATCGCCTGTGCGTCTGAGCAGTGACTTCGTCTGGCAGATTCGCTCCTTTCCGGCTGCAGACCAGCTTCGTATACATTCAGAATCGTGCCCTTCTCTTTGGCAGTGGCTGAACAAAGTGAGGAGGGCGAGGCTTGGTGATGTTGGGAGATGCTGTGCATCTGTGAAGGTGCGGGAAGGCGGGAGATGCAAGCGGGTCAAAGGCATACGCTGTCATGTGAAGACAAGGGGGCCCACCCTTGACATGATCTTCGGATGTATGCTATGCTAGGAGAGGTGGCAGAGAAGCAATCGTAGTTGTGCTCTGCTAGCTTAAATCTTCGTCGGCGACTGTCATGTAGCAGAAATTGATTTGCTCGATTCGAGGAAGTATCCTGGGCTTCAGAGACTTATCTGTCCTTGCTGCAGTGCACCAGTTCTTTCTGTGTTGTTGTGAACAGGTTCAGAAGGAAGGAGTGTCTCCAGTTCTTCATCCACGGGCCAGATAGGCGGTGGTAGCGAGTCGATATCGCCGATTGCCTTCTTGCGCTTTTTCGCATTTCTCTTCTTCTTGGGACCTTGCCTCGAGCGAACGTGGCGCTGGTCAGTCTCGTACAAGTCAGCGTGTCTCTTTCGACCGCCGGTAGCCGGAAGCTGCGAACCTGCGAATGGGGGAGGTGATGGACCTTGAGCCTTACGAGGCCTCAGCACTCTTCCAGCCCCTCGTTGGAAACGTTGCGGCACGAATGCCATTGGCAATTCGTCGTCGGTGCTCGTGACAGGAGAGTTTGAAGGCCCGTATGCAGTGTCTTGACAGTCCAGACAACATCGGCATATGTCCACTTCGTCCTCTTTGCTCTCAGAAATGGCAGCGGAGGGATCTTGGAGCATCAGTGGAGCAGCATCGTACGGCTCTTTTTGCGTCGCGAAGCGCAACACGGGGCTGACATGGCTGTCAAGAAGGTGCAAGAGGGAGAAGCCAGCCCTGTGAGCGTCCGGGCGATGCACGCGACAGCGGCGCTAAACTTGCTCACCTTTCTGACTCGCCATCGTGGGGTATCATCACCTGTTCAGGGCTCAGCAACGGAGTTGGGAAAGCTTCAAGATCGATTAGATGCTCGTTGCTTTCAGTCCCTGTCATCGTTCCTGTTGACTGTTCCAGAGCGCTTGCAGCTGCCGAGACCAGAGATAGCATCGTCAAAGCTGCATCGGGCGAGCAAGAGCAAGGAGGTCCGAGGTACTCCAGGCCTGAGCTGTTGCTGTCCGAGAGCCACTTGTTAGGTTGGATCCATGTACAAGTATCGGTAAGGTGGTCGTAGCATTGCATTTCGGACGTCAGCTCTGGCTGACTCAAATATTGCGGTAGGCAACAGGCGGCTGTGATCTCTTGAGTGCAGTCAACTTTGAACGGATCATGGGTGGACATCAAGTCGGGTGACGTCCATCGAGTAGAGCAAGAGAGAGTAGTTTCGAAAGGCCAATCGAAGGCGTACGCGTCAGAAAGGTGATCGCCAGTCGGGCTGGGCTCAGATAGATGGGTATATCCTTGCTGTTGGTAGTACCACTTGCTATCGATCGGATGATCAGCAGTGCAGTCCAGAGGCTGGCTGCTACATAAGCCTTTGAAGGGACACGGATGGGGGAAATAAGTGCTTTGAGCCAGCTCTGCACGTGAAGGACATTGCAGTGAGCCTTCGTCCTCCGTATGGGACAGTCGAAGCTCTGGGTGCAGCGTTGGAGAAAATGCTTTGGTCAGCGTTGTCATCATCGCCAGCTTCAGGAGGTTGAATAGGGAGAGCCATGGTCTGATGGGAAGGAAGCGACAGTCGACGAAGAGAGGAATAGACGCACTCCGGACGTCCGATGGTCGCGCCGCTGCAGCTACGGCAGCGACGTCCGTTCGATCGTGAAGCACGAGGCTCCGTCACACCCCATTGCGGCCACGTTCTCCGTTGTCCCGTTTCCAGATCATACTTTCCTATTCTCCCATGGTGGCCAATCAATGCCCGCATCGCCGCAAAGCCCGTCCCTAGTGTGAGCCAGGAGCAAAGAGCAACGGAGCAACGTACACTACCCTCACATCCACATCTGCCTGAGCCTTCCAGGTCGCTTTCTCCAAACCCCGCTCCGCTGCGCTCCGACTCGAACCGACGCCGATTTTGCCGTAGCCGATTCGCTTCGTCAGGGGGTCCACGCCAGAGTAAGTGACCCACGCAGGCAGATGTAAAGCTTTTGAGATTGCTTGCTGTTTCTATTGAAATGGCGGCGGAGCCGAGGCATGGGTTGAAGTTCGGATCTTGATGCTGAGCTGGAAACGTGGAATACAGAAGGGAGTGGTCAAGACAGGCTATCGACGGAGGGAAAGGGTAGAAGGGCAAATGGGATCGACAAGCAAGAAACATGGGAAAGAGCAGATAGAGATGGTGGTTCGCGGTGGCCAAGGCTGGTATGAAAGGTCTGTCTTGCCCTCAATTGTCCTCTAGGGCGCTCTCGTTGCTCTCTTCTTGTTGGCCTTCTGCAAGCTGAGCCAGGGCCACATCGTCCAGCGGTACGCTGACGGTGCTTCCGTCGCTGAGCTTCCTGATCAGCATACCGTCCTTCACCTCTGTGTCCTTGGAGGAGACACCTGGGCCCATTGGCTCTCCCTCATCCGCCGCTTGGGCGGCCGAAGGATCGGTGGATCCGGAACCAGCTGACGATGATGCTCGACGGCGGCCGACAGCAGGGAAACCAGCGCTTGATGAAGAGCCTCCTCCGCTGCTGCGACGTCGTTGGAGTGAAGCTGCAGTAGCTTGTGCGATGCGGTACGATGTGGCGTCGGAGAGATCGACGAAAGGATACTGCTCGTCGGAAGGGGATGACGCCTCGCCGTCCTCGTCCTCGCCGCCAGTGGCAGAGTCATCCAGGGCAGAACCGTCTCCAGGTGAGTCAGATCGATCAAAGGCAGAAGCAGCCCAGTCTGCAGATGTCAGAGGTTGACTTGCAGACGACTGGAAGTCGAATTTAGACGTTGAAGAGATGCCCCCTCCTTCAGAAGCAGAGAAGGGACCCCACTCGTCGTCGTCATCATCTTGGTCCTCATGAACCTTGGTCGTAGCTGTGACCGAAGCGTTGCTAGCTCCCCCTGGCTGAAAGGCGTCTGCAAAGCCGGAGCTCCTGGGATCTTGAGTGAGCCAGCTGGCTTCCTCATCTGAATCATCGTCGTCAGAGCTTGTACCACCCATTTGAGCAGAGAGGTAGTTGGCAAACGTCTCGTTGTCACCAGACTGGCCCACGCCAGCGCCATTCCTGCTTCCGTCGTCCTCGCTGCCGCTACCTTGATTGGCAGAGGAGCCTCCGAAGCCGAAGCCTCCTGTCATAGGCTTGCCTCCTGCCAGGGGAGCCGACTCCTTCTCACGATTCTCCTTGAGACTTTCATTGACAAAGTTGTCCCAGGCAGGCTGAGGGATCGAGCTGGACACAGCTTCTCCTATCTCCTGAGGGTACCGCTCTAGGAGCTTCACGGTCTCCTCAGCGATCAGGTTCAGATGACCCATGTATCCCAGCCTGATCCTGCGGGGGCCCTTTGTAGATTCATTGTTGCGTTGCTGACCCTCAAGGATCTTCTCGGGCAGGCGACCCTTTTCGAATACTGCAATCGTCAGCTTGCGATTCAGACCTGCATCCATTCTGCCATTGAAACATTGTTGGAGTATATCGTATACCACGTTGTGGAAGAAGTTGTTCCACGGGTACTCGAAGAACAGGGAGAGTATAGTTGGAATGACGTCGCAGTCGAGGAACTTCTTCTTGAGAAGATCGCCGACGACCTGCTCCGCCGAATCACTCATCGGAGACGGAGGCTCTGAGTGTTGCGGTGTCGTCAGGTTGGCCAGGGACATGGACGACAGAGCCGAACGAATGCTTTTGGCGTCTTCTGCCGATACCGCTGGCTCTTCAGCTTGCGGTGGATCTGACTCAGGCGTACTCTCGGGAGCTGACACCTCGTCTGCAAAAGGATCGCTGTCTGTCTGCTCAGACGCATTACCACTAGCAGCACCGTCTTCACTAGCTCCTGCTGTCGATGCTTGCCGAGCATGCCGGCCTTGTGGTGTAGCGGAAGGTGGCTTGCCATCGTTTACAGGTGTCGATGATTCACCATTGGTACCAGAAGACGGTGAAACCGATTCCTCTGCAGATGCGGCGACGGCACCTGGGGTGTCCGAAGTGTCGTCGGCATCGGCGCCTTGTAACGTCCTGGCAAGCACTTGCAACCCTTGAATCCCACCTTGCAGAACGCCGCTAGAGGAGTAGAGAGGTCCATCGCCAGCGGGACGATTTAGCAGTGCCATATTCGAGCAATGTAGCAGCTCAGCATACAGCTCAGCGATACGATAGCGCTCGAAAGACAGTGCATTGACTTTGCCCAGGGTCGTGAGAATCTGGTTCTGAGCTGTGCTCGGTCTCTCGATCAGAGCTTGGAACTCTGATAGACGCTCGCACAGAGCAGTCAGCATAGGGCCGAGATGGACTATGCCCAGCTTATCCGTCATCTCCAGCATCGCCTCCTCCATGCCCTCCATCTCCTCTTCCTCCTCGTCCTTTTCCTCCTCTGAAGACGCAGGTGCTCCGCTTTCTGATGCTGCACTGCTGTTTGTGGCTCCCGCCTCAGAACGGGCTTGAGCCTTCTTCGCGGCAATCTCTTGCTGGCGCTGCAGCAGATGGGACCGCAGGGCGTGGAAGAGATGCTGCTCAAAGTAGTCGCTATTGTTCTTCCGTATCAGCTCAATGAAGATGCCGATGCCAGTGATAAGCGACGAGGTGCTCGTCTCGCGTGAGATCGGATTTTGAGGTGCTGATACTGGGGGAAAGAAATTTGTCGGCCTAACAGTTGCAGTCGAGTCCCTATGTGCTGAACCATGAATGTCAAATGCTGGTGTCAAACTTGGGTTGAGAGGCTGCGGGTCCGTGTCGTCTGCATCGTCGATCGCTGAGCTCTCGTCCAGGGCTGGGGAGCCGCTCAGAACAGACTTTGTGGTCTTGGCTCCGAAAGTCAAGACATCATGCTCCTCCTCCTCGCCTGCATCTTCGCTCTTCTGATCGGACGCTGTCCGCTCGTCGGCGGCCGTCGAGAGCCTCCGCGTGAGCTCAGAACCATGGGCCGAGTCTAGCATAAACGATACCATCTTTCTGACCATCGGCTCGCTGGCGAGCTCCCGGACGAGTTTGTTTTGCACTCCCATAGCCTGCTCCTGGCCGCCAAAAGAAGTGGAGTTGCCATAGCCAAAGGCATCCTGACCTGAAGTCATACCCGCCGGCGAGGGAGCCGAAAGGGCGATGATGGCTTTGAGCAATTCAGATACTGTATTGTGCAGGTCTATTGAATACTTGGGGGAGAGGAGCTCCACCATCTTCGGTATGAGGTCATGACTAGACAGCCACTGGTAGAGGTCCAAGTAGCGAAGCAGAAATGTTATGTCAGTCATCGCGCCGAAACGTACATAATTCTATCGAATATATCATACTTACTTCTATCACGCCAGCGGCTGGAAGTGTCTGCTCGCAAGAGATAATCCGATATAGCAAATCGACTGCTGCTGGCGTCTCGAGGTGAGCAACAAATCGCTCTACTATCCGGGGTAGGTCGCGAATATATGCCAGCATTTCCCTAGGCTTCTTGTCTAGAAACACCCCGTTGACCTTCGCCCAATAACCCGCCAGGACACTCTTGCCCGGACCGTTGTCCGTAGCTCGAATCACAGTCGCGCTGTCTTCATGGTTCGAGTCTGCCAAAGAGGATGAAGAGGATGAGCTGCCGTCCCGGCCACCCGTCTTGAAGCCCGACTTGTCGGTGCTCTTCTCCCCTGGTAGCGGCTTGCCCGGAGGAATGGGAGAAGCAGACGGAGATCCGGCTAGGAGAGGATGAGAATGATGCGGCTGGGGAGGCTGGACATGACCCGGCTTAGAGTGCAGTATTGCGTTCCAAAAGGGGTCTAGCAGATCCTCGGGGTTGGCTAAGACAGTCTCCACAATCGCAAAGATTTCACTTGACAGGACTTCCGATGCAACGTAAGGGTATCTGTTGGGAGTGGGAGAAGTACAGATGTAGCCGCAGCTGGTCAGGATACGGCAGCTTACTGGGCTAGAGGCTCTGCGTTCCTTCAACGCTTCGTCACTCAGCCTCTGCTCAGCCCTCACCGGTCTTCCTTCGGTACTCACTTGAATCGAACCTTTTCCTCCCAGTCCTTGCCGCCTGATCCCGAGACTTCTGCGACTCCCACAACATGCTCGAATAGCCTCTTGATGATTCTCTTTTGAGACAAGAAGTCTACCAGCTTGCCGTTCTGAGCTTTGCATTCCTGCAGGAGGTCATCTTCGTCCAGCAGCTCCTCAATCGTGAGATTGGACTTTTCGAGGAGCGTATCGAGCGTCGAGGTCGATGCAAACCCGAAGCGCCAAAACATGGCGAGCAGATACCAAGGTTCAGGAGAGCCTCAGTCTAAGGCTTGTGGACCTCCTGATTGCTGTGCGATGCTGCGTTTGTATGCTGGGACCAGATCGAATAGGAGCGCTGTGAGGTGAAGTGTTCCGCTCGAGGCGACCAGCGAGCTCCGGCGGCGCGAAGAGGTCCAGGCGGAAAGAGCGGACGCGAGGTGAGTCTGGAATGGCCTTACTGATGGTTGGAAGCGCTGAGCCGGGGCAGTCAAGAACAGTGATGAGGTGGGTAGAACTTCGTGACGAGATGAATCACAGCCTCCACGAGCGGACGAAGGAAGATGGGCGAGATGGAGGGAAGCCAACGACGGCGAAAGGCCGATACGGCAACATGGAGTCCTGTGCGCGGAAGCAGACGTTGGGGCCACTTCCTTCCGTTCCCCGTACCACCTCCTTGGCCATGACAATGTGGGCGCCAAGGGGTCCCCACATGCGCTGATATCCGACAGGGCAGCATTTTCACTACGCAACGCTAGTTCTGAAGTTCTATCAATACTCCCCTTCTACCGGTCGAGTCAGGCGCGGAGGGCACCGGTCCTTTCAAAACGATGGCGGCTGGAAATACCATGCCCTCGGTGGGTACGCTGGGAATGTTCATCGTAGACACATTCAGATTCATCGATGAGGCAGGTATCAATCATGGAGATGGAGGCAGGGGCGAAGTGCTCGGAGGAGGTGGCCTGTACTGTGCCATTGGGGCGAGGATTTGGCTGCCACCTGCCGAGGTGCTAGCAGTCATCGACCGAGGGAACGATTTTGCCAATTCCGGCTACCAAGACAGGCTAGACCACTACGCACAGACGTCTACTCCTTCAACCTCATCGTCTCGGAGCGCACTTTGGAAATGGAGAGACCGCAAGGACGGGACAACAAAGGCAGTGAATGTCTACCGCGGTGAGCAGCGCGACTTTGAGTATCTGACACCCAAGCTGCGTCTCGATCCGATCGATCTGGCCAATGGCGAGACCGGACAGCTGCCACGGTATCTACATGCTGTCTGCTCGCCAGAACGTGCCTGGGTCATCTGTGATCAAGTAGACCAGCTAGACTTGAAGGCCTATGGGCGCAAAGGCGTCACGCAGGTATGCTGGGAACCCATACCAGACTCCGCGATACCTGAGAATCTCGACGAATGCTTGAAGGTCATGGCGAGAGTCGCAGTCCTGTCGTAAGTGGTGACATCTGATTATTCTGCTTCCCGGCACGGCTTGTGACGTCCATTTCAATTCATTCTTCTCGCAGGCCCAATCATGAAGAAGCGGCCTCGTTCCTGTCTATGGATCAAAACCTCGTCAGTGTGCCGGTAGCAGGCGTCTCACCGGAGCAATCGGCAGCTTGCAGAGCTTCTCACCTCCAGCATCTAGCACATGGATTCAGAGAACGCTTTTCAAGGACGGCAGGGGCACAAGCGGAGAATTGCCCGATCATCGTCATCCGAGGAGGCGCTGCTGGCGCCACAGCTCTTCAAAGTGAAGCAGGAGGTCAGACAATCACGGCTTCAATTCCCGCTTGGCACACGAACAGCGAAGTCAGTAAGGTCGTCGATGTCACAGGCGGCGGCAATTCTTTCTTTGGCGGGTTTATGGCCTGCCTGGCTATGACTCCTCTGGACTCTGCCAAGACAGTGGAAGAGAGACAGATCTCGCTGCGAGAAGCCCTCTGTCGAGGAGCAGTATCAGCATGTAAGTGACTCCCTCGCAGACCGTTTTGAGTTGTTGCTGACTCGTTGCGATGTTTCCACCTCGTACAGCCTTCATCATTGAGCAGCTGGGTCTTCCCACTCTCGATCACACTGCGATAGAGAGGTGGAACGGTCAATCAGCGCAAGAGCGCTTGGCCAGATACCAGCAAGTGCAGTAGAATTAGACTAGACGACTAGACAATGACATCTTTTGCTGAGATAACAGCACGCCATTTGTCATGCACCGCCAATGCTTTGCAGCCATTTCTCATAGTCGCCATCCGCAGCCTTCTTTGGCTGAGCGGATGCAGGCATCTGTGCCTTCAGGGCCTCAACGAGATTGACTCTACCCTGAGCAGGTGTTGCCTTGCTAACAGTGGAGCTTGCGGTAGCCTTTGCAGAAGGGCTTTCTTTCCGCTCCTGATTGTGGGAATCGGTCTCGTCCAGCTCAGAGCTGTCCTCATCGCCCGATCCCTCCTCATCGGAGTCGTAGTAACCAACAAGAGAGGGCATTACAGATGTCTTCTTCTCCGCTTTCAGCGGAGGAGAGAGTTCCTTGAGGGCTGCAGGGAGTCCCGGAGAGGCCTCTTGCACCGAAGGGACGTAAAGTTGGGCAGCCTCTAGAGAGACTTGGGGTTCTCTCCTCTCCTCTTCCTCCTCGTTCATCTCTGCTTCTTCATACCCATTATGCACTTCCTGCTGAGCCTGTTGCTCGGTCGAGATTTCTCCAGCAAAGGTGTGCTCGCTCTCGTCTTCGTCTCCGACGTCTGGATTGGCTCTGATTCCTCTGCTCAACCCGGCCATCTTCGCCTTCTGTTGCGCCTTTGACTTCTGCTTCCTCACAGAGGGCGGAAGGAATGTCACAGCCTCCTTCTTGAGGTCTCGGAGTTGCGGAGCTGAGCTGATGGTCGCTGAGGGAGCGGCAGGAGCAGTCTGACCTATCGAGGGTGCCGCAGATACCGATGTTGAGGTAGATGACCGAGCAGCGGAAGGCCCAAGCGGGGCGTCTGGAGGTGGGCGAGGCCGGGCCATGGAGGGAGGAGCGCCATTGGCCGGTCCAGCAGGATGGGCAAGGCCTGGCGGAACAGGAGGTCGAGCCTGGGTTCGAGCATAAGGATGACCCGGTCGTGGCGCTGGACGCATCATAGGACCTTGTGAGAGGTGAGAAGGATAGGGTGGACGATTCGTCATCGGCCCTGGTGCTGCACGGTGGGGACCTGGGTAGCCACCTACGGGGGGTGGTGGCGGAGGCCGAACACCATACGGAGGTGGACCACTGTAGATGCCCAAATGCGGCTGTATGGGCTGCTGTGGCTGGAATGGAGGTCTAGGAAGCAATGCGGCTGAAGGAGGAGGTCCAGATGGCATGACGATGTCGTCGTCGTCATCGTCATCTTCGCTGTCGTGGTCGGAAGTGTGCGTAGCTCCGTTTTGGGTCGCTTTTGGAGGTGGTGGCCCGGGAGGCATTGCAATGTCATCATCGTCGTCGCTATCGCCTGCTGGGTTGGGTAGTGAGCTGCCTACTGAAGGCGGCGGCGGCTGAGCCGGCAGCTGACTGCTCGAAGCCCACTCATGCGGAGGCTTCTCAGCGTATGGCATACCAGGAGGCGGCGCACCCCAAGGATTGAAGACAGGATGGTAGTAGACGCTTCTCTCCGGGAAGCGAGGCTTTCCATCGGGCCTAAAAAGTCCCCTCCCATGATCACCAGTCTCCTCGGCCTTTTGTTCCTGGGAATGCGGATAGATGAACTTTTTATGCTCGGGATGTTTCTCCAGGTATTTGTCTTTGGCTCCCTTTGCTTTCCGAAGCTCGCTCTTCAGATCTTCTAGCTCTGGACCCGTCTTGCCGGATCTCTCGAGCTGCCTGATCTCATTCTCGAGCGTGCTGGTGTCCTTCTTGACTAGAGCATGCTCTCGCACGGCTTCCCGATCCGCCTTGTTCTTCTTCAATTCCCTTTGACGAGCCGCTTTGCGAGCAGCATCTGCAGGATTAGAAGACAAGCTGTTCTTCTTTGCCATCGTTCCGCCGGAGATGTGACAGAGGGTGATCGTCGGTAGAACAGACGATAGGGTGCAAGGGTGGGAAGGTATGGAACGGAAGCGGCAAAATCGCGAAGCACTTCCGTGTACGCGGAAAGGGAGATCTTAGATTTCCCCCTGAGCCGAGCCTACCATGCTCCCTTGCCACTCGTCGCTGCTCCAGATCATAGACTCGGTGTCCACTGCTGTACCATCTGTCATCTCGCTTCTTGAAACATGTCGTCGAACTCGGAGCTGAGTCTGACTGACGCTTTCGCGCTTCTGAAGCTCCCCTCGACCGCGTCAGCCGGTGACATCCGCAAGTCCTACCGCACCCTCTCCCTCTTGTATCATCCCGACAAAGCAAAGGATGTATCGGCAGAAGTCGCGTCGGATCGCTTTCACAACCTACACAAGGCCTATGAGCTCCTCTCCGACCCAGTCGTCCGCGAGAAGCTTGCTAGACAGGCCGCAGAAGAGGACAAGCGGAAGGAGAGGGTCGGAAAGTTCGAGCAGGAGAGAAAGAAGATGAGCGAAGCCTTGGAGCAAAGAGAGCGAGAAGAGGCTCAGCGGAGGAGGAAGGAGCATGAGGCGTCAAGACAGAGAGAGCTGGATCTCGAGAGATTGAAGGAGGAGGGCCGGAAGATGAGGGAGGCCAAGAGCCAGGCGCGGACGAAGCAGCAGGAAGAAGAGGCGGTGAAGGTCAGATTGGCAAGACAACAAGCAGAGGACGCTAGTAGAGCCAGAGCAGCTGAGCGCTCAAGAGACGATCCATCGGAGCCTTCTCTTGGTCCCCTGGATACGACGGTCCGCCTGCTGTATCCGACCTCGCTTCATCAAGCGCTATCCACCTCTCTAGGCAACACTCTCACATCCCGCTTCGGCGGTCTCATCAACCTCCGATTGACAGTCCCTCAGGAGAGCGACGATATTCCAGCATCGAACAAGCGCAAGAGGCTCAACGAAGTGACCTGCTTAGCCACATTCGAAGAGATGTCTTCAGCTATCCGCCTCGTCGAGGGAGGCTCTGACTTTCGACTGGCTGAGGTAGTACAAGCAACGGGCAGCGCGGCAGAGCAGCTGGACCAGGTGTGGGTCGAATGGGCAGCCGCAAAAGACCTCGCGAGGAAGAGAAAAGAAGCGAGGAAACGGGGTACCGCCTCGACAGAATCCACAGAAGTCAAGCCTCCTGCCGGTGCAAAGCTAGGCGAGCCGGCGAGAGTCACTTGGTGGCGGTCGTATGTTCCCGAAAAGCTTGCGGATTATACCACAAATGGCGTCGCGGCTTATCACTCAGGACAAGTGTATGCAGAAAGTCCACAGAAGAGACAGTCATCTACGGCGGGGGCAGCCGACTTTGAGTCAGATGTCCTGCGTCGGGCGATGGAGGCAGCAGTAAGCAAGAAAGAGAGTGCAACAGACGGAGACGGAGAAGGAGACGTAGAAAGGACGGCGTAGTAGGGGGAAGTTCCATTTTTCTTCGTCACATCAGACTGTACTATACTATCAACCCAATGATACCCGCTCTGTTTCTCGCTGACTAAGCCTAAGCCGGTGATTCCCTTGCCGCGACAATTAATGACCAAGCGACACGGAAAGGGCGACGCGACTGGAGGGGGCGCGTCGCTCCTCCTCAGGCGCTCTTTGCTACTTACTGTGCGTCCGCCCCATCCCTCTCAAGACCACAGACCTCACCGCTCCCCCTTGACGACCTCTCATTGCTCCAAGTAAGACAAGCGTGGCGTCGAAGTCACGTATAGCTATTGCTGCCGTACAGCTCGGCTGAGCCGACCAGGTATTACAGAGTTCAAGCTACAGCTCTAGCCACCATGCCTCTCCTTCGCCTCGAGGTGGACAATTTCAAGTCCTACCGAGGACAGCAGATTATCGGACCCTTTCAGAGTTTCAGTGCCATCAGTGAGTGTTGTGAATTCTTTAACAATGCTGGCAGGGGACGTCGGTCTCACCACTGTCTCCCGACCCTCGCCTCACCCGTAGTTGGTCCCAATGGCAGTGGTAAATCCAATCTCATGGACGCCATTTCCTTCGTGCTCGGTGTCAAATCAGCACAGCTACGATCAAGTCAACTCAGAGATGTCATCTTCCGAGGAAGGAGGATGGATGGAGACGATGAAGTCTCAAGTGATGATGAAGGGGGACGAAGCTCGGCTGATGCTACGAAGGCTAGCGTGACTGCCGTCTACGAGGATACCAGCGGAAGGGAGTGGAGATTCCAGAGGAGGTGAGTCGTGCGATACTGCCACTCAACACGAAATTCCAGCAGCTCATGACCGTGTCTTTCTGCCTCGCAGCATCAACCTCAACGGAGCTTCCGAGTACCGGGTGAACGGCCGAGTCACGAGCTACAATTCCTACAATGCTACTCTTGAGAAGTTCAGGATTCTAGTCAAGGCCAAGAACTTCCTCGTCTTTCAGGGTGACGTCGAAGCTGTCGCCTCACAAAATTCCCGCGACTTGGCAAAGCTCGTAGATCAAATCTCTGGCTCATTGGAGCTCAAGGAAGAATACGAGCAAGCAAAGGAAAGGATGGAGAGGAGTCAAGAAGAGAGTGCCAGCGCTTTCCACAAGCGCAGAGGGATCAATGGAGAGCTGAAGACCTTCCGAGAGCAGAAGAATGAGGCAGAAAAGTGGGAGAGGATGCAGGAGGAGCGGGTGAGTGGCTTGCGACATGAGGAGCGGACATGCCTGGTCAAGGGACTGACGGTCTTTGTCACTCTCGTTCCGCTCAGGATGCCCACATTCTACAACTTCTCCTGTGGCAACTGTACCATATCGCGGAGAAGCTTCAGAGTGCCGAAAGGGGCATCCAAGAACAGAATGGAGAGCTGCCAAGTCTTCGTCGCCAGCAAGGCAGGAAGGAGAAGGATGTTGAGGCGCAACGCAAAGAAGCTGCTTCGGCTTTGCGAGAGGTCTCAAAGGCCGAACGAGACATCAAGGCCAAGGAGAAGGAGATCGAAGAAAAGCAGCCGACCTTGGACGCTATTGACGAGAGGACTGCTCACTCGCAGCGTAGGATTGCTGCTGCCACCACCATCATCACAGATGTTGAGAGAGATGTCGTGCGTTCTCGAGCAGATCTAGCGAAGATGGAACGAGACTATCAGAATGCAAGGGACGCTGCGCAACGAGCCGAAGATGCCGAGAGGGAACGAGGTGCAGGAATGAGCTTGAGTGAGGCAGACCTTGAAGAATATCACGACCTGCGGGCAGAAGCATCGACACGCAAGGCTTCGGAACGCCAACAGCTCGACACCTTGAAGAGGCAGCTTCGAGCCCAACAGACTACGCTTCAATCTCTCGAAGACAAGGCCAAGCAGCTGGAGCGCGCTCAGGATAAGCTCGAAGGCGAGACTGAAGTTGCCCAGGAGAAGAAAGCAGCTCTCGAGTCTAGGCGGACGGACCTTGAGAGCAAGCTGCAAGAGGCCCGAGCCCAGCTGAACACTCTGCAAGCGGAACGAACTCGTATCGGCAAGCGAGAGACCGAGCTCAACGATACATTGCAGACTTGCTACACCAAGCTTATTCAAGCAGGCAATGAAGCTCGCGAGTCGGAGCGAGAGGCGAAGATGAAGGAGACCTTTACGGCCCTCGCCAAGATCTTCCCTGGCGTCAAGGGTCGCCTCGTCGATCTGTGCAAACCAACACAGCACAAGTATGACATTGCCATCACTACCGTCCTCGGCCGTAACACTGATGCGATCATTGTCGAAAGAGAGAAGACGGCCATCGATTGCATCGAATATCTCCGCAACCAGCGCGCCGGACAAGCTACTTTCCTACCTTTGGACACCATCCAAGCCAAGCCCATCAATGATCGTCTTCGCTCGGTCGCAAAGGGAGCTCGATTGGCCATTGACGTCATTCAATTCGATGCCTCCCTGGAGAGGGCAATGCAGTACGTTTGTGGAAATGCTCTCGTGTGTGACTCGATGCAAGTGGCACGAGACATCAGCTACGAGAAAGCTGTCGACGCCAAGACCGTTACCCTGGACGGCACAATCATCCATCGCTCTGGTCTGATCACCGGTGGTCAATCCGATGACAGAGGTGGAAAGCGTTTCGAGGAGCGGGAAGTACAAGGCCTGCAGCGCCAGAAGCAACAATGCATGGACGAGCTCAAGGCTCTCGCAGTTGAGCGTCGGGCTCTGCTGACGGAAGAGTCACTAGTAGCTCGCATCGGAGAGTGCGAGACTCAACTCACGGCGCTGAATGACGACATCTCCGCCGCCACCAGTCGTCTCACTGGGCTCCAGACCGAGTTTGCCAATGTCAAGAAGCAAATCAGAGACAATCGTCCCAAAGTCGAGACGGCTCGATCTACCGCAGAGTCGACGCAGAGTCAGATGAATGCTCTTACCGAGACTGTCAATGCTGACGACGATGAGCTCTTCGCATCCTTCTGCGAGCGCATCGGCGTAGCTGACATTCGCGAGTATGAAGAGCGACAGCTGCAAGTCTTGGAACGTCAGAAGGACGCCCGCTTGGAATTTGAGACGCAGATGAAGAGGCTCGAGCATCAGATCAAGTTCATCAGGTCACAGATTACTGCTCAGGAGGAGCGCTTGTCCCAAAATCGTCGCGTAGTAGAGAAGGAGAGTGACCGACTGCAGAGAATCGCAGAAGAGAAGACGGAAGCACAGCAAGCCATCAACGAAATCAGGGCGGATATTGGCACGCAAGAGGGGCGACTGACTGCTCTCAGGACAACCTCGGATGAGAAAGCGCAGACCTTGTCAGATGCCAAGAAGGAATTGAGCAAGGCTTCCAAGGCCCTTGATGGAGTGATGAAGGAAGTCGCCACGCTCAATGATCAAATGGAGCGACTCGCAGCGCAGAGGACTGAAATCTACAGGAGATGTCGCTTGGAAGAGATCGACCTGCCTCTACTAAAGGGATCTTTGAGCAAAGTCTCGCTCGAAGACAACCCGGAAGCTGCCCCGATGGACATTGACGATGACGTCACTCAAAGGGCAATCAATGTGCCAGACTTTGGTCTTGACGTCGACTTCTCTGAATTGGAAGATGCCGCGAAAGAAGACGGAGGAGCCGGTATGGAAGCAGAGCTCAAGGATCAAATCGACAAGGTTGTCGGTCAGATTGAGAAGATGGCGCCCAACATGAAGGCCGCCGATCGCCTGGGTGACACCGAGGCTCGCTTCAAGGAGACTGAAAGGGAATTTGAGACCTCTCGAAAGGAATCCGTCGCCGCAAAGACTGCATTCAACGACATCAAGAAGAGGCGATGTGATCTGTTCAACAAGGCCTTCAACCACATCTCTGGCCGCATCGACTCCGTCTACAAGGACCTCACCAAGGGTAAAGCAGCGCCCGCTGGAGGTGTGGCCTATCTCAGCTTGGAAGACACCGAAGAGCCATACCTGTCTGGTGTCAAGTACCACGCGATGCCACCCATGAAGCGATTCCGAGACATGGACCAGCTCAGCGGCGGTGAAAAGACAATGGCTGCACTGGCTCTCCTCTTCTGCGTGGCGACCTTTGCCCCTCCGCCCTTTTTCGTCCTAGACGAAGTCGATGCCGCTCTCGACTCGCAAAACGTCGCCAAGGTCGCTGCCTACATCCGTAGTCGCGCCAGGCCTGAATTCCAGTTCATTGTCATTTCTCTCAAGGCTTCTCTGTACGAGAGGGCAGAGGGATTGGTGGGCGTCTATAGGAAGACTGAAGAAGACCAGAACTCTTCGGCTTCTCTGACGCTGGATCTGGAGAAGTATCAGTGAGCAGAAGCGACAAGGGCTGCGAGTGGGTGGCACAAGGTCTCTTTCTTTGAATTGGACCGCCTGGCTCGGCTTGCTGTCTCTGTTGGACCTTTTGCGCTGCTCCCGCCCGCTTGCTTGTTGTACTGTACCTTACGTGTCGCTGCGTCGAATCAAATTACCGTGCCAATGATCGTGGTGTGCCCGGGACCTTGCTCGCTAGGCAATGATTCAGTCGCAGCGAGCCGGTTTCGTTCTAGCGATATGGCGTGAGAGAGCAGCACTCTGTTGCCATGCATCCACGACCGGTGAGGTCGCGGAGGAGGCAGCGCCCTGAACGACCATGCCCTGGACTTCTCCGTCTCTGCCCTGAGCATGGGCGTTCCTGAAAGTTCTGCGGCCGCGCGTCCCCATTTGCCAGCTCAAAGAGCAGAGTGCAAAGGCAAACCTCCTCCCCACCCTTTTGCATCAACAACTTTCCCTTTTCACCACATCACACAATCACATCACCTGCCCATACCTCTACCCATGATCGCGATGTGACACCTGCCTCGCGCATGTCAGCCCACTGTCGAACAAGCACAAGCTGCAAGCTTTGCGCCGCCTCTACAGCAAGCAGGAGTCGCAGCAGTTCGAGGTGAGTCGAAGAAGGCTGCCCATACCCCGCCCAATGCTGTATGCAAGCAGCACCGTCCTCCACAATGGCTCACTCTACGACAACAGGTGATCTGACTGTATGAAACCGACTTGATGACAGAAACATCAGAAGCAGAATCACTCCGCATACAAAGGCATTGTCCATCAATACAAAGCCAAATTCCCATACGTACAGCCATTGTAACCTTCAAGCTTATCTCCACAAGGTCGTCATCTGGCAATCCCAGTCAACACTGCCACTGAGAAAGCGAGGCGTGGGAACTTGTCTACACGGTCTTGCTTCTCAACACTGAAGGTTTCCAAGGCCAACCGATCGAAGACATGAAGCAAAAGCAACGACGAGAGGAATCTGAATCTTTCCTGCAGCATCTCCAGCTTGGACATGCACGTGAGGGCACTGTCAGTCTCTGGGACGAGACAGGACGGCCATGAAGGACACTGTCTGGATGACGGCGTCATCGAAGACCAATCGCACGACCAACTCCAAGAGTTGTCTTCCACCTCCAACCTGTTGGCACCACACGGTACGATAGAGTCACTGACAACATCGGCCATGACCGCGCGTAAGGCATCAAAGACAAGACTGCTCCTCTGCTTGGCTCCTTGTATCACAAAACGCGACTACGAGGAGTGGTGTGAAGATGAGATCATGGATAGCGACTACGAAGACGAAGAGAAAGAGGAGCTCAATAAGAGTGAGTTTTCCGCACCTCGTGCTCTGACTCGTGCCGCAAGTGACCTGACTCGTGCACTCTTCTCGTGCTCTGAAAGAATCAATGAGGAGGTAGCGGAGCCTCAGGGGGTCGAGGAGGAAAAGACCGTACGGGTAAGTATCGTGCACCCAGAAGCCACATCATGGGACTCGGCTCATCAGCTGCATACGAGCCACCAAGCTCACTCTATACCGCGCGTTTATCCGCTGTCAATCGCAGACTTTTCGGCTACCATTAAAGAGGCGGCCACCGAGGACGCTGACCGTGGACAGATGATCCTTGATCTGGCTATCGCCCTCGGGTTCAGTCGGCGTCTGGACTGGGTAACCAAGTGCGAATTGACGAGCACTCTCTGGAACGAAGTGCATGCCGTCGACCTCGCAAGCCTTGTCGTCGGCTGGATGTCCGACGCGACCGTTGCCTATCTCCTCGGCACTGGAAGTATTGACAAGGTCGAAGCTGCCAAGACGCACCAAGCCGCGGGCATATACGCGCTGGTGCAGAGCTTCGATTCTCAGCGAGAAGGCGTCTATATCGGCAAATCAGACTCGAATGTGAGTCTGCGTATCAACAGCCACAGATGCGCCGCCAAGAAGAACGAGTCTACTCTCTATCGCGCCCTCAGAGCTTTCAAGGACGGGGAATTCCACGAGCTCTTGCTGGTCGCCATACCTACTTCGGACCCTGGCTGGTTTCATGCACTGTAGAGACAATCGTGCCCTGATACGGCAGCCGAACGGCGCAAGCCCTTAAGCGCAACGTCTGTGAGGGCCATTTTCGTCAGTCTGATCGAAGCGGCCTTCATCGCTCTGCGCGGTACCTACAGAAGGAGTGCCGAGTACAGCAGCGACGCCCACGCCGTCTTCGGAACTTCTGTGGGCACTGTGCCTTTGAACGGTACACCTGGTACGAAGACTCGGCAGCACGTGCAGTGGCACTCATCGGGAGCACCACTGGACATCGACCGTCAGTGGAAGTCCTGCGAAGCCATCTCTCAAATGAGCTCAAAGGCGAGAAGGGAGGTCTGCCTCGGCTCACGCTGAAGAGAGTTAGCAAGGGTAACACGAGCTGATGCTGGCGTCTGCCCAGAATGGCTGGCAGTCTGATTCTGACTCAGGAAGACGCGACAGTATTCGGTATGAGGTCGGATGCCCCCAATGGGAAGTACCAGCTGGAGCTGAGCGCAGAATACGAGACAGGGTTCCTGACCGTCGACCAGCTTACGTCAGAAGAGGTGACAGAATTCGAGGGTGTCAAGATTTGCTTCAAAATCTTTCGAGGAGAGGCAGCCCTCGAAGGATGGTATCCACTGAGAGCGCGCAAGCCCACAGGCGATCTCTGTTATCTCTTGCGCGAGGTGATGGCCGCGCTTCGCCACCTCGCTCTCGCTTCAGAGAAGGAGACGACCGATTGAACGCCACAAGGACCATATGTACAGGCGGACAGGATCTATACTCAGTCCAGCCTCGTTCTGCACAAAGGACCGACGGATCAAGAGAAATTCAAGACACGCATCAAATACTACTGCTTTCGTTGATCCTTCTCCCGTTGCCGCTCTCCTCCCAACCACCGTGTCTGCCGTTGTCAATGTGAGCGCTGAGAATCCCAGAAATGAGATCCATATCTTCCATCTATCAATGGACCCTGAATCTGAGTGTGAGGAAGAGTAGAAAGAAGGCCCCGAGAAACGAGAGAGATCGCAACAATGTAGTAGCCAGCATAATCGTCGATGTTCAATTGGCTCTGGTTCCGCATTGACGGGCCACCGTGAATGTACACTATCAGCTGACAGCTGGATGATGACCCCTTCTTTAGGCATGCAGTACCTCGATTGAGGCACCTTTCGCGGACGACATGTGGCAATATACGATTGAAAAGTCGCTGAAGTATGTCAAAGTTGCTAGAAAGTATCAAGCGGTGGGGCCACTTGATCGTAGTCGCATTGTTGGTCTCTATAGAGGTCATACAGGACGATACAAGAAGCCAAAGGCCAGTGAGCGACTACATGGGAGGGACTGAAAGTCACAAGAGAAATCTTATTACAGAAGAAAGACTTCAAAGTAGTCTCGTTTCTTGACAATGTTCGGAGTATTGAATTTGTATGCGAGGTGAGGAGGAAGATCTAAGAATGCGAGAACGACGGGATACAAACGGGCAGGAGACAAACAGCTTTTGCCAGACCTTCGTAGCCATCAACCTTTGCCTGCAGTGAAGGTCTCCCATTTCGTACAGGCACAGTCTGTGGCTTGCTTCTGCTTGCTAGTCTTAATGTCCAAGCTAGGCCAAATGGACGGATCCTCCACTCGAGCTACTTTGAGCACAGAAAGTGCCACAGGAATCGCTGGGAGCCGCTGACAAGTCGATGTCGGTCGCATTCTAAACCCAAGCCCGTGAAGACCTTGAAGCCCAGAACGACTTTGAGGCCCTCCAGCAACGCCACTAACCTCGTTCAGCGGATGGCTTCGAAGCACATCGACTGCCGGATGATCAACGTTGCCATGTCGATCGCGTGCACTTCTCCCCAAAGTCTGCTCGTCAGAGCACACCTTGGGACACAGGCCAGATTGCGGTTGAATTCGATGGTGACGGCCAAGTCGAGAATCATCTGATCTCGGCTCTCGTTCTGCTGTATGCCTCCAGCAGCAGCGAGGAACCAGTCTGCGGCCGAGATCGGACGAAAGATTTGCTATGTCGTCAGCTTGCGCCATTAGTGGATACTTCAAATGCTGAGGATCCTAGAGATACTCACCATCATCTTGCTTCTCTTCCCTATCGACTGAAGGCTCTGTAACGCGCCTACCCGAGTGCCCTCCACCAGTTGACGAAGGCCTGGGGGAGGGGCCAAAGATGCGTCCGTCGCGAGATCACAAAGGTGGATCTGATGACGGTTGAGGTTGTAGGCTCGGTCCATTTTGCTGGCAAAGATCCTGCCACAGCTTTCGAAACCAATCAGGTGCCGCAGAACGAACAGCCACGCGTAGCAATTGTTGGAACATTCGGGCTTGGCACGTCCGGAGATAGCCATTCAGCGTTAAGTCCTTCTTCTTGGATGTGTACTTGTGGCTTTTCAGCTTCGGCTGCGGGAGGCCGCCCGCCTTTCCACGGACCTCGTTCGTCAGATGACTTTGAAGACGATCGACTGCGGGATGCAGTCCGGCGCCGGCGTAGAATTGTCGGCCACCTCGGCTCTTGTTGACCGTGTCCTCGGTGCCTGGCGTCTCATTTAGTCCCTTGACTCCGGCGAGAGCTCCAAAAATAGCAGTACGTTCTTCGGTGTACTGCTCGTTCTTCGGGAAGCTCTGCCGCAGAGCGATGAAGCTCGCCTCTACCAGCGAAGTGAAGGTCTCTCTGATGTCCCCAGAGTCAAGGGGCTGCTCCCAACTGGCCGCAGTGATAGGGCATAGACGAGTCCAGAGGCGTCGGAACCAGTCAGGGTCACTGACTGGGAATCCGACGAGCAAAATCTCGTAAAATGGTCGACCTTGGAATGCCTTGAGAGCTTGATACAGCGTTGACTGCTTCGACTTTGCAACTGCTGCTCTGTGCGCATTTATTCGCTTGCTCACGCTGACGTTCGACTTGCCAACGTCGACGCCGCATCGCTCCGCGTCGAAGCTTTGCACCAGGCTGTAGACTCCAGCACTTTGATGCGATTTGGCGGCTTCCACTTGGGAAGCGTCGCCTGAGCCGAAGAGGTACTTGATGGCAGCTTCAGACATGTAGGCGACCACCATAGTGGCGAGGTCCAGAGGATGGGCCTCGTCCCACAGGCTGCTGGTGAGTGCGCACATGGCGACACACGTGAGCTGCCTGTTGAACTCGATGGCAGAGGCTATGTCCAGAGCCATCTGCCCTCGAAGTTCGTCCTCGATGGCAGTGCTGAGAGTAATGTCTGCTGCTGAAAGGTCGTTGTACAGAGTCGAGTCAAATGGTGTCTCGCGTGGTTTTCGAGATTTGGCTTTACTGTATCACATATCCATACTCACCTACTTTGCCCGTTGCGATTTCTACTCTGACCTCCCTGGTCTTCGCTTCACATTCTTCCTCCTCGTCCCTCAATTCTTTGGATGGCGAGGAGCATGATACTTTGCTTCCCAGTCAGGAGGCTTGTCATGCTCGACCACAGAGCCTGCAGATGCACGAATGTACGCGACAGTAGAATCCATCGTTCCCGATACGAAGCCCGATACGAAGGCAGTTGCTACGATGATACCGTGTGCTTGCCACGACAATACCGTGTGCTATTGCGACAGGCTGCCCGTGAGAGTAAATTGGGGGATGCAGTCGAGCGCTCTGCAGTGTGTAAGCCGAGGTCGCTCCAACGTCTATGCCAGATCGCTGCGAATCGAAGCTCTGCACTAGGCTGTAGAGGCCAGCACTGTTCCACGTCTTGGCTGCCTCAACGTTGGAGATGCTTCCGGAGCCCAGGACGTAGGCAACAGCCGCGTCTGACATTCAGGACACAACCATCGTGGCGAGGTCGATGGGATGGACTTCCGCCCAGAGCTTGCTTGTCAGCTGGCACTGCACCTTCTGACAGTCAAAGAGGGCAAAGAGCTCGTATGCAGTCAGATGTCTTGCCATGTCAACGACGATGATGAGATGTGGAGTCATGCACAGAGTCACTCACCTGGTACTACAGTCTTTGTTTCATCTGACCTATCGTTTTGGGGAGCATAGCCTTTTTCTTCGAACTATGTCGAGTGCTCACTCTTCTCTCAAGCGGCCGCTGGATATTGTGACCTCCTTGGCCCTGATGTCCAGCTTGATGAGCATTGAAGGGGATGTCAGAGATCTGACAAGATGCCTGAGCGTCCAACCCTCTAAGCGAGCACGGTTGAGGCGTGTAGAGCCTTCGTTGAACGGATCATCGAAGCTTGCACACTGTAGTGAAACACGCATTGTGTCTGAATCAGACTTCGGAACTATGGTGCTATCGAAAATTCTGCCGATGAACTCACGATGCACGCAGGATGAAAGCAAGATATGAGCTGCCCATCAGGCTGACAGGATCAGCATCCCTTCTCGATGAGACCTTGTAGCAGCGATGCGTCGTTGCAGAAGGGTTGAGTGGGGACTTGTATCATCCATTCCAGTGTGCTGATAGCCTGTAGGGCGTTGAAGCTCGACGCGCTGGGTAGACTGATGGGGAGTGTTGTGGTCAGTACCACAACAGGAGACGTCACAGAAGTTGCAAGCTGCGACTCACTTTGGTTCGCAGCATTTCGACTGCTGCAGATGTCATGCAGTGCTCGTCGTATACTGGTAGAGGGTGTCAGCCTATGCGACGATTGCAGGTAGGGTAGGATGAAGAGGTGCTCTGAGGAGCGTAAGAGGAAGAGGAAGAGGTGGAAGAAGGAGAGGATGTGGCAGCGAGAGAAGTGCTCAGCCCTTTTGAGATGGCAAGTGAAAAAGGGACTCGACAGCGCGCGACCGCAGAGGTTGCATTTCAGGAACGCACATCCGTAATGCTAGGCACAGGGCATAAAAGCGCCCTGACCAGGGCACAGCCGGGGAAAATCGGAACAGGGAGCATATCGGCTTCCGCTATCTCATAAGGCATAGCGTCACTACTCTGTGACACAGGAACGACATGCCTTTTCACCTCCAAGCAGTGCAGCTCGCAATGAAGACATCGTTGTGGAGTGATATAGGGAGAGTCCAGGCCCACCGTGGCTTGCGGATCGTTGGCCGTTTAGAATGTTCTGCAGAGCGCTGGAGCGTCAACGCAGAGTGTCATCCTTCCACTACACACTTGTACCACCCGTTTGATGAATACAATAGCTACCCGTGCATGTCCTTGCTGATACTCCTCGCTACGAAGCAGCGCTGATTTCGGGATTCGCAGTTTCCGATTGCGGGACGCGGGGAAGCATGCATGCACAGGCGTAGAGACGACGCAGATGCCGGAACGGGAGCCACGGTGGTCCGGGCGACTGTGCAGTCTCGGGTTCCGGCCCATATTGCAAGGATCCGACAAGACGATCAAGACAATGGCAAGAGCATACGACGATTCTTATTACATATTGCAAGGATGCGACAAGACGATGAGACCAAGACAATGACAAAGCACAATGGAAAACAATGGCAACAGCGGAAGAGGAAGAGCAAGCGCACCTAGGCATTGTAGGTCGCGGTGTGGGTCTGGGTCTGATTACCCTCCTCCTTCTCGTGGCCAGCGCTGCTGATCTTCTCAAGGGAGGAAGAAGCGTGGACAGGCTTGTCTTGCTGAGCGCCAAAGAGCTCCAAACGAGTGGTCCTGAACTTGCGGGCAGGCACTTTGGCCTCGAAGAGAGCATCGAGCTCGAGGTAAGTCCTTCCTGTTGGGTCTGGCAGCCTGAAGAAGCACCAGAGGAACCAGAGGCAAGCTGTACCAGCCCAGAAGAAGCCGCTCTTCGCGCCCCAGTTCCAGGCATCAGGATTGAGCATCCGAGGCGTAATAGCATTCGCAATCAGGCCGCCCAAATTGTAACTATTGCGGCTCAATGCGACTGACTTGGCTCGTAGCTGGGCGGAAGGTACTTCTGCCACCAGAGAATATGCCACAGGCCCCACGGTGAAATCGTAGAAGAAGGTAAAGAGGAGCAACATGGCACCAATAGCCCATTGACCACTAGGGGTGTCTCCGGCTGCGGCCCCAACGGCACCTGTCACCATCAAGATGACGACGGCGACCGCCAGGCCGAAGAGGAACATGAGACGACGATTGAACTTGCTCATGGCGAACCAAGAGAGCACAGTGCCCACAAAGCCCAAAGCAAAGAGGCCAATGGTCATATTGAAGGAATTGTTGACGGAGAAGCCAGCTTGCAAGAAGAAGTACGTCGAGTATCCCATCAGAGGAGCACCACCGAAGACCTGGGCAAGGTAGACCATGACACCGATTTCAGTACGTCGTAGGTTGGTGCCCTTGAAGCAATCGAAGTAGCGGGCACCAGCTCGAGTCTCGCGCTCGAGTTCGGTGGTGAGAATCATCTCATTGATCTTGGCCGTGGCTGCCTCGTGGGTAAACTCGGCGTGAGTACTTGCAAGCTTCCGGAGAGAGGTCTCAGCTTCTGCCAGTCTCTTCTGCCTGACAAGCCACCACGGAGATTCGGGTGCAAAGAGGCAGGCAACGATGATGATAGGGGGCCACACCCACTGCAGAGCGTAGGGAATCTTGTACGCCCAACGTCCGGGGGCATTGAGGCAGGCACGGAGGATTCCTGAGGCGAGGAGCTGACCCATGACCCAGCAGATGTTGTTGTAGGAGGTCAGGACACCACGCAGTTGGAGAGGAGCAATGTCCGCGGCGTAGGTAGTAGTGAGAGTCTGGAAGACGCCCCATGGCATGCCCTGAAGGATCTGCCCTACGAGTAGCACGGGGAGTGAAGTCGCGAAAAAGGGGATGAAGATGAAGGCCACCATCAAGGCGGAGGAGACCATCATGGTCTTCCTGTATCCAAAGCGCTCGCTGACAACACCAACGACTTGAAGACCGAGAATCTCGCCGACCAGAGCGCCGTTGTTGAGGCCCGATTGCCAGGGCGCAGAGATTTCACATACGCCCGCAGCGTTGCAAGTACCAAATCGCCGAGTGAAGGCCGGTTGAGCGTAGAACGAACTCAAGAGCATGAGGTCGTAGCCCTCTTGGACGAGTCCGAGGCCGAAGAGCATGACCCACATGATGGCGTAGGGGTGTCTTCTGATAGTCTCCCAGATGCCGACGCTTTGCTCCTCTTGGGTGACTTGAGCGGCATCGTGAAGCATAGCATCGTAATCCTCGATCTTAGAGGCGACCTTAGCTTGCGCCTTGTCATCGATCCTCGTGACCTCGGTGGCGTTAGCCAGATCGGCTTGAGCTGAAGACATGTCGACTAGACTCTGCTGCCAGAGAACTGAGATGTGGATGAGTGGCGAGGGAGGATGCCGTCGATGGCGAGACGAGGCTGCTTGATGAAGGAGGAGAACGGTATACAAGTCGTAATGTTGGCCTTCCTTTTGTACCTGTACTGGCCTGTGGCGTCTCCTTTGACAGCCTGCAGGTACCTACTGTATTGTTCGACAATCAAGTATGCGTGCGGGGACCCCACGTCGATTGTCTGTTGCCGCGATCGTGGCGTTCTCCTGAATGCTGTGTCCTTGAAGGTGGGCCGCAAAATCTCGCCGTCGGAAAGTCTTACTACAAGTTGTGAAGGTGCTCATACACATGGATTCGTGAAGGAAATGTACGTGTCTGACGGACGAGGCCACCTCGGTGTTCGGCATCTCTGCGTCCGCTGGACAGGGGTGTCGCCCCAACAGGAGGTCACCTGGTCGCCTGCCGGTGCGGCAACGTCGCGCAAATCTGGTGGCTTGACGAGCACACGCGGAGACGGGGAGAATACTCCCCCGCGGGCTAGACTTTCTGTCGCCGACGTGTCGGCGAGACTTTGATTTGCGCCACTCGGGGAGAGCAAGCGAGACCTCCGGCCTGCGATCGGAGGATCGATAATGTCGGCAAGACTACACTGAGTCTCGCCGAGGGGCTTCGCGCGAGAGACGGAGAGATTACCCCGCACTGTCGGGCTGTGGTGCGGCACAATCCCGCCCCGCAACAGGGTAATGCGGGGAGAAGCAAGGTGCGGCAGGCCGAGGTATTGAGCAGAGACTTGCTCAAGTCGAGTGGCAATCTGGGTCACGGGATGGTCGACGGAGAGTCTTCGGCAAGACTCCTGCTGTCTCCAATGTGTGTACGCGATCAGGGCAACGCTATTTGACGCCACAAATCCTCATCAATACTCTTCTTACTTCGCGACGCTGTATTTTACGGCCGGCAGAACAAGCACCGGAAGGTCTACTGGAAACGCCAAGTCTCCATCCCCGCAAACGTCCTCATTCGGGAAGTTCTGGATGTGGGGTAGATCGACCGAAGTAGAAGGCATGATCTTGCCGATGGACTCGCGCAGGAGCTCCAGCTTCGAGACGTGTCCGCCGTGAGCAGCGACCACATAGTCTTACCGCTGCCACTCATGTAGCGGCAGAGCCCGAACGGAGGCTGGAGGAAGAGCGTTCCATGTCCAGAGAGGCCAGTCTTGCCGGTCCGATGGGCCCGTCCAGGAGTCTCGCCGAGAAGACTTACCGAGGTCAACTCACCGTCGACCGGGAGTGGAGTGCACTGCAAGTCCAATAGGGGGTGTCTGATCGTGTTGTTCTGCAGACTCCGTCGTCAATTGCCTGCACCTTTCGCAGCGGAAGCACGTCGCTTGCATTACTTTCGTTCGGGGCCGAAGGAAGCGCGCCCGCGTGGCAGGGTGCGGTGGCCCCTGCACCGCTCCACATCTTCCGGCCCACCGGCGAGATTCGCCAGGGAGTTATCCGTGCCGATACGATCTCCCTCTGCCGTGGTGCCATTGTTGCTTAGGAAGCTTCCTTCCCCCTCTGTAGCTCATCTCTTGCAGGCTCAGCTGTCGTGATCGCGGTGGATTGGCTTCGACTTCCATGCCAAGAGATTATCACGCACCCAGCACACGTTGACTCCTATATAGCAGCACCTCTTCGGCTCATCCACTTTCTGCCCTCCTTTCACCTCCTCTGTTCCCCGGCGCTCGCTCTTGTCTTCTAATTCACTGATCGTGCAACCCAAGATGTCGGCCAAGCAGCCACTAATCACTAAAGGTCCACACAAATGGTGGATGGACGCCATCATCTACCAGATTTGGCCCGCGTCCTTTCAAGACAGCAACGGCGATGGAGTTGGGGATTTGCCGGGTATCCTCTCCCGCTTGGACTACATCAAGTCCACCGGAGCCACAGCCATTTGGATCTCTCCCTTCTACGATAGTCCTCAGCACGACATGGGCTATGACATTGCCAATTACGAAAAGATTGTGAGTATGAGCGGAAGCAGGACGCGAAAAGGCGCTCGCAGCACTCTGGGCGCAGCTTCTCATTCTTCCTCTGTCTGCACCCTTTCTTCGTAGCACGAGCCCTATGGAAACATGGAGGACATGGACGCCATCATCAAAGGTTGCCATGACCGCGGCATGAGAATCTTTTGCGATCTTGTCGTGAATCACACAAGCGACCAGCACGATTGGTTCAAGGCTTCGCGCTCCTCCAAGGACGACCCCAAGAGAGATTGGTACATCTGGAGGCCCGCCAAATACGATGCCGATGGAAACCGTCAGCCACCCAACAACTGGCGCTCTTGCTTCAATCAGTCGGCCTGGGAATGGGATGAGAAGACGCAGGAGTACTACCTACACTTGTTCGTCGTAGAGCAGCCGGACCTCAATTGGGAATGCAAGGCTGCCAGACAGGCCATCCTAGACAGTGCTGTTCGCTTCTGGCTCGACAAGGGCGTTGACGGTTTCCGAATTGACACTGCCAGTCTCTACTCGAAGCCAATGGACTTTCCGGACGCCGAAGTGACCGATCCTGGAGCTCCCCATCAGCCTGCCTTCCACCTCTTCTCCGATGGCCCCAACCTGGAAGGATACCTAAGGGTCCTAGGTAAAGTCTTCAACGAGTACGACAGTATGACCGTGGGGGAGTTTCCAAACGCTTCTTTCGAACGTTCGGTACGAGCGACGTCTGCGGCCGATCCGCAGATGTCGATGAACTTTCACTTTGCCCTGTGCGACTGGAAGCGCGATATGGCAAACGACCCATACCAGCTCACACAGACTGAGACGCTCTCGTCTTTCAAGAGAATTCTTTCGGCTCAACAGACGCACGTCGAAGGCACCGATAGCTGGCCGTCTTTCTTCCTGGAGAACCACGACATAGCGCGCTCGACGTCGCGTTACATCTCTGACGCGCCCGAGTGGCGCGTGGCCTCCGCAAAGGTCCTGGCCTGCTTGATGGCGACTGCGTCCGGCACGCTGTATATCTACCAAGGTCAGGAGCTTGGTCAGGTCAACTTCTCTCCGGAGTGGCCTCTGGAAGAGTACCTGGACGTTGGCTCCATCAACTACATTAAGCTGGTCAAGGAACGTGGTGGCGACCTCAAGCAGGCTCACAAGGGCCTTGCTGCGCTTGCTCGCGATCATGCTCGTACGCCAGTGCAGTGGAGCAGTGAAGCCAATGCAGGATTCAGCACAGCAAAGCCCTGGATGAGAGTCGCAGACGAATACAAGTCGATTAACATGGCTGACGAGGACAAGGATCCCAAGTCGGTGTTGAGCTTCTACCGCAAGGCGATCGCCCTGCGCAAGGAGCACCTCGATACCTTTGGCCACGGTCTCTTCAGGCTGACTGACGTGGAGAATGATGACACGATCATCTACTCCAAGCTGGGACCTGATGGCAAGGTTGCCGTCGTGGCGCTCAACTTCACCACCAAGCCCCAGAAGTTCGCGGTGCCGCCCGAGGCCAAGGGACGGAAGTTGCAGCTGCTTCTCTCCTCTCTCCACGATTCGGTGTCTGACGACTCGACTCTTGAGCCCATGGAGGGGAGAATTTACCTCGCTGTATGAAAAGGCGTGAGAATAGAGGGAGAAATTGACCCCTCCCTGACATTAGATTGGTGATGCGATTTGATTAGACGCGTGCAGGAGCCGCCACACAGCGGACGCAACTTGGTCCGCTCACGAACATAACCGACAATGAATAGAACTACACTTCCTCTGATGCGCGTGATGTGACTCATCTTCCTCTCGATGGATTCCCCTGCCTTTTGAACCTGTGTTCTACACTGCTCGATTCGTAGTGAACCAGTCGCCACGAGTACATCCGCTGAACTGTACGCGGCTCGGATGGCGCCGCGTGGGGTGGCCTGAGCTCAGACGGAAGTGGGAACCGGATCGGCAGAGACGATCAATGCGACCCAGTCCCGTGCTGCATCTTGCTCTTCCGGTCCTCACTGATAAGTACGTCCGTCCTTGACGCAATACTTTGTACCTCTATTGACGTACGAGGGAGTTCTCTCTAGTAGCATCGTACCTACGTTGCATTTTAGACTGCCGCTTCTCTGCACGCCATGCCTTCTTCACCCTCCTCTACCCCTCCAGCAGAGGAGACAACTGCGTCCAGCTCCGCCGTCTCCCCAGACACTACCGCTGCAGAGGCAAGACCTCGGCAAGTCGATCCTTCGGACCCCTCCCGAACAGTCGCCTACAAGAAAGCAAACACGCCTTTTCTCGCTCACGCACGCTTCAAGGCGCAGGAGGCGGAGCGACGCAGGGAGAAGAGGAGACAAAAAGGCCTGCCAGAGGACGGGGATGAGGAGGAAGAGCCCTTGGAGCTGCCTGGCCCTAGGACGGTGCTCAAGTGGATGCTACTGATTCTCATTGCGGTGCTGGCAATGGGACAATTCGTGACGGGCGACGTGCTGTATGGCTACAAGGGCAAGTGGAGGAACCCCAAGAAGTGGATCCCAGTGAGTAGGAGAGAGAGGGAGAGGGGAATGGTGGATTGTGAGACTGGGCGGTGAGAGCTAACGTATGCTCTCTTCTCCTCTTCGCATGCCCCGCAGGTGCGGCAAAGGGTATTCACACCGGCCGAGCTAGCCATGTACGATGGCACTGAGCCCTCACGGCCCATCTACGTGAGTCTTCCGGGCGTCGACTCAAGCGCTGCTCCGACCTTCCTGCTCACCTGCCCCTTCCACCCCACAGCTTGCGGTCATGGGCAATGTGTATGACGTGACCAAGGGCAGCAGCACCTACAAGCCTGGCGGAAGCTACTCATTCTTTGCAGGCAAAGACGCCTCGCGGGCATACACGACGGGGTGCTTCAAGACGCACCTGACGCATGACCTTAGGGGTCTGTCTGAGGATCAAGTCGAGGTGAGTGAGAGAGGAATAAAGCAGGGAGGTAATCGATCTGGATAGAGACCAGCGCTGACCCTAAGCTCTACTCCCCTGCACGCGCTACAGCAAGTGCGAGGGTGGGACACCTTCTTTGCCAACAACCCAAAATACTTTGTAAGTGGCAAGTGGCTTCCCAACTGCTTTCGCCGTACGCCTCGCTCACAAGCCTTCCCTTGCCTCATCTCGCCACAGAAAGTTGGCACTGTTCGAACACCTGCGATCAATCCCAGCGCCCCGATCCCGGAGCCATGTTGAGATGGATGGGTGTCCAGAGACCGTACCTTTGCACAGTCATAGTTGAAATTGCAAAGGACCAACATTGTGTCTTGTGATCTGCGCCCACTTCTGCTACACTGCTACTACGATACATCAATGTCTTCCATCTCCTCGTCGTCGTCCTCCTCTTCTTCCTCGAACTCCTCCTGCTCTTCCTCTGCTTGTTCGTCTCCACCAACCTCTTCTTGTCCTGCTGTACCATCCCCACCTACCCCACCCAGCTGACCGTTCAGGCCGCCCGACTCCTGACCCTCCCCACCCACCTCATCCTCAACGTCTGCGTCCACCTCACCAGCATCCTCATCTCCCAGCCGCATCTTAAAGTCGTACGTCTGACCATCCTCATCCGGTCGCCAACGAACGTGATGCCAGGCGCGGAGAGCTCGTCGGGCAAAGTGGTCGTGGTCCTGTAGAGTCTGTAGAATCTGTCGAAGTCGAGCGTCCCCCGCTTCCTCTTCTTGCTGTCCACTCGCACCCCCTTGCATTGCTTCCGGTACCGCCCTCGCTAGTTCGTCATGCTCCACCGCTTCACTGTGCGATTGCGCAACATACGGGTCGAGCTTCGTACGCAGTGCCTCTCCCAGTCGACCGGTCTTGTCCGCTGATGCCTCCAGAGGAACCACAGGTACAGCGACCAAGTGTGGGAGTGGGTTACGCGGATCCGTATATCGCACTCGGGGTACAGATCCTTCCGCTTCCGTCTCCCCTTCTTCCCCACCCCCTCCCGCTCCCGCCTCCCCACCATCTCCGTCTCCGTCTTCGTGGAGAAAGTAGTTGTCCTGCTTTGCTTGATCCTCGAGGGTGCGTTGTAGCTCGTCTAGCTGCGCGGGGAGAAAGGCGGAAGAGGTGGAGGTGAGAGAGGAGGAGAGGGAGTAGGTTTGAGAGACGAGCGTGCCGAAGCGGCTTAGGATCGTTGGCCTGGAGGGGGGAGATGGGAGAGAGTGAAGGGTCAGGAGCAGGGGGAGCATAAGAGCATGAAACGTACTGCATGCTATTGCAACCTCGCGGATCTGCTCACCAGTCGAGGGTCGGCGCCATGGCGACCTCCATCTGCAGCTGTCCAGTGGAGAGGACGAGGGCTTGCAGTCGCTTTTGGATCTGCTGCAATTGGTCCAGCGGTACAGTGGCCGGCGGAGGAAGGCCCGAGAATGGCTGGATGGCTTGAGCGCCCACACCACCAATCCTTCCCGATTCCACTGCTCTCCTCGACATCGTGCTGAGTGTTGTGATGAGATGTGATGGGTTGGTAGCTGGTGGACGATGACCTTCTCCGCACGGTCTTCCGCTCCTTCGACCTCGGAAGTGGGGGATGAACCCTCTGTCGAGCACCTCTGCTTCAAACCCCGCACTGTCAAAGAGGAGCGCGAGGCACGACGCGCTCGGAACCTCGCCTGGGAGACGCTTGGTTCCGTCGTGCGTGGGGCGAGCCAGATCCAATATCACATCCAACCAACCATCACACACATCGGCGAACACTGCTGGTATTCACACGACCCACAGGGACTAGCTCATCGGTTCGAGCCTGGAGTTATCCCGCCACATCGCTGTTCCTCCCGCCATGGCCTCGCCTCCGCTCCACGTGGACGACCTGTCCTTCTCAGACCTTGACCTCATCACAACACCCCCAGCCGGCGCAGCCTCTTCTTCCAACAAACACACCAAAACCTCAACGCGTCCCTCTTTCAAGCCCGCCGCTGCCGCACCACGCTCCTCAACAGCAGGCGCGGCCAACTTGAGACTACTACAAGGCGTGCCCAAGCCTCCTCCAATGGCGGCGGCCAATCGCGCCGCAGGGGGAGGCAACAAGAGGAGGACCAGCTTATTTGTCCCTTCGGCCCTGCCCAAGGCGAACAGCACCACCGCTGACGAGGCAGACGAGAGTGCAGCGGTGGAGCAAGGCGAGGGAGAGGGGGATGACTCGCTGCTAGAGGCCATGAAGAGCTCCAAGCCTCGTGAGCCTGCCCTCCCCACCCTTCCTGCCTCCTTCCATCAGCAGCGCCCGACTAGGAGTGCGAATGCTGCCGCAGATGAAGAAGCCGAGTCTGCTGGTGGAGAAGGTGAAAGTGAGACAAAGGAGCAGGTGCAGAGGCAGTTGGAGGATCTCAGCAAGATGAACAGCAGCTTCGAGGCATACGAGAGGATGCTGCAGGGGACCGTTGGACAGATTGACGTGAGTGTGGAGGAGTGAGAGCCGAGTCGAGTACGCCGCATTGCCTACTGACGGTCCCGCCCACCTCTCTCCCCTCTTTAGCTCTTCGGAAACCGTCTCGAAGCAACGTCCTCGCTCCTCTCTTCGTACATCGATCTCCTGCGGCGCTCCGCAAGCCACCAAAGCTTGCTCCTCAACCCCTCCTGGCAGGGGCAGACCGAGGACAAGATCCAGCACGCAGAAGCGATGCGCGATCTGGAAGAGCAAATGGAGAAGCGAAGGCGCCAGAGGGAGGAAGAAGAGGAGAGGGAAGAGCAAGAACGCCTGCGTAGGGAGCAGGCCATCGAGGAGGAAGAGTACAGAAGGTCCATGATGGCTACTTCTACTGCGAGGGGAGGTCGAGGTAGGGGGACCGGGGTGAGAGGAAGGCCGACGACGACTGGAGCTGGCACGGCAGGACGCGGAGGAGCATCCACAACAGCAACACGCGGGAGGGGCGCTCCCCCTCCCGCTCGAGGTGGACTCGCAGGTCGTCCCAGCGGTATCCCAGCTCCCACCACAGCCCGCAGCGCATCCGCCGGTGTGAGAGGTTCAACTCGCGGAAGGGGTACCAGTGCAAAGTGAAATGGTATGCAGAACTCGCGATGTCTATTTGTACAGTACTCTAGTCTCCCACTCTTGTAACACCTCCCTCGTAGACCCTGTCAACCCTCCATTGTCACGCCCAACCGAGCGCAAAGACTGTCATCCAACGATTACGAATCAGGACACCGCCATTCTCCTTTTTCTCCTCTTCTCTCTCCTCCAGCACAAAGGCCCTTCGTCGGCCGGTGAGGCGAGGCGCCCTTCCCGCATCTATCACCGTCGTCGTCGTCGTCGTCGGAGCGCCCGTGTCTCCCGCTGCCACTCCCGCCTCTGCCTCCTCTTCGTCCTCTGCAGCCAGCTCCAGCTCGCAGACGAAGCGTGGTGCATTCCAGAGCGGGTAAGCAGAGGCGGACGATGCCTCTCCCAGACGAGCTTGCTCCTGCTTGACAACGAGTTCCTCCTCAGCTGGAAGAGCAGGCAAGAGGGAGGAGCTTCCAGGCGCTTCTTGCAAGACCAAGCCAAAGCGGTGTGCTCGCCGAATAAAGGAGAGAAGCGTTTCCCTTCCCGTGTGGAAGCCCGAAACGAGAAGGACCAGAGGCGTTGAATGTGTTTCACCGCCCTTGCCTGTTTCCTGAGCTCGTGCAGGCTTGGCCAATAGCTGAGAGACAGACTTGAGCAGCACCTCGTGCGAGAGCGAGTCCCAGACGCAGTCCGCCAGCAGAATCCGATCGAACCTCCCACCACTGCTGCTCGCCTGGCTCTCCACACCTCGAGCGACACCAGCCCGCTTCTTCTCTCGGCGGATCGTGTCCATGGTATCCTCCAAGTCCTCAGTATTGGTGCCCCAGCTAAACCCCACAGCCCTTATCCCCGTCTTGATCTCTGCAGGCTCAAAGTTGGAAGCTACATTGAAACGCAGCGTCTCAATCAAGGGTGGAGCATCGTAGTCCGTGACCAGGGTGGAGGAGGCCCCACCCAGCCTGTGGGCTACCATGCCGGGAATGCCTGTCCCGCAGCCGAGCTCTAGCACGGTAAGACCTTGGACGTTCCATGGTGAGCTTGCAGAGGGGGAGGCCTCTACTGCTGCTGCTGCGAGGAGATCGGCGAGGATTAGCCCAGAGCGCCATTGACGGTGTGCGAAGATCAGAGGTACAGAGGCCGGAGGTATCCTGACTGAGAAGTCATGCTGTTGATGTCCGGCAGCTTCGACTCCGTTTGCTGGCTGACAGTGCTCCGCCGAGGGAAAAAGGGGACAGGGTCGATACACCAGCCGATCTTCTGGCAGACCAAGACTGGGATGAAAGGCGCGCTGTGTGGTCCGGGGGGCAGTGATCTCGACTTGTGCAGAGGCTACAGCTTCGACGATGGTCATCTTTTGAGCTCGACGGTCATCCTCAGCCTTCGTTGGATCATGTAGATTGGGGTTGAAAGCGTAAAGGCAGATCTTCTTTCCCCCCTCGTCCTTTTGAGGCGACCATGTTCTGCCTAAATTCCACTCCTCCTTCCGCCTCTTGTGCTTCTCCACAGCGGAGTCGAGGCGGAAGTGCCGGTGCAACGCAATGCCGACGGGATCAAAGCTCATTGTTCCCTCGACCTATTCGTGGCTCACATCTCCCTCCTTCCACACAGATACCCTGATACCCTGCGAGCTCTGCTCACTCTCCTCGACCTCCTCCCTGCACTACCTGCTGCGATACCCTCACAGCCTGCCATGGCCGCGGTCACCTTCCCTTATGCCGAGAGCAGCAGCTCCAGCAGCAGAGCAGGCACTGGCAGCGGTAGTGCAAGCACGGGCAGAAAGGCAAGCAGTAGCAGGTCCGAGACTTCGACGTCTGGATTCACTCCTCGTCTGAGACTCGATGCTCGCATATCGGCCCTCTCAACGGCTCCGGCTCCGGCTGAAGCGCCAGAGCCGCCGAAGCCCCAACACTGCTCCTTTGTGATGCTGGCAGAGTTTGACATTGATAGAGGTTCGACGCTGGCTCATGTTTGGCCCGATAGAGATGCAATTGGAGGACATGATGATCAGTGAGTAGGCAAGGGCTTGCGTATGTTGTCTGGGTCAACTCACAGCCGCGTCTTCCGGCTCAACTCGATCCCACTCGACTCCTCAGTACCCTAGCAGAGCTCATGTTACCCGATGGCGCACACGCTCGTTCAGAGGACTGGACAGTGTTCTTCCTCCCAGACGCCGAAGCGGGACCATCAAAGTCCTCCTCCAGCTCATCTCAGCCTGATCTCACATATGTGATTAATCTCGTCCGTACCAAGCACGACTCGAGCGTGCGGAGAGGAGCTTTGGTGAAAGCATTGGCCATTGGGACCAAGCATCCCTGCCTGCACGTCTTCAAGCCCGCCCTCGTCCTCGCCTTGGATGAGTACTTCTCAAGTGGAGGACATTCCTCCTTGGAGCAGCTCTATGAGGCCATAAATGCCATTGACTTGTCTCCCATGCCAAGATTCACCCGAGCTGAGAAAGTTGTTCTGCGAGCCAGTGAACGCAAGGACCTCTTCATCGATCGTTTCGTGACACCAGATTCAGGAGATCAGGGGGCTGCCCCGAACACTGCGAACGGCTACCAGCCCAGTCATGACTCGGCAAGCAAGACTGCGAGCCACCCCTCGGTAGACCATTCAGCGCGGCCGCCCTTGACGCCCATCGCGCCAGCTCAAATGTCTCGCAGACCATCAGCTGCGTCTTTACGCAGTGCAATGATGGCGACTAGAATCGGATCTTTCACTGCGAGCGCTCCAGCGCCACCTCCTACGCCCGCCGCGACCGGACCAGATAGTCCTACGATGCTGACGAATGCAGGTAAAGATACCCACTTTTGGGTCACTGGGCTACACTATGGGAAGGTTGACGTGCCGATACGGTGGCCTACGGATAATTGGGACGATGAAATTGGAGAAGTGAGTCAGATCAGTGTGGCCGAAGAAGAAGTGATATTCACGCTGTCTCTTCTCCCCGACAGTACTCCCTCTCATTGCTGTTCCAAACCTTCTCTTCGCAAACAGTCTCAGGACCAATACACGCTCAACTTCACACAAATGGTCCGCAAACCCACCCAATGCTGCTGCTCTTCAATGCCATCGTGACGTACAAGCGTGTTATATTCCTAGGACATAGTCTGCCTGCCGCTACTGTTGCTGGGCACGTATTGGCTGCTGCTGCTCTTGGCAGCGGATGCGGAGCCGTCATACCGGGAGTCAAGGAGAGGGTAAGCCCGTATGCGAATCTGATGAGTCTTGACGTGCTAGAGCGAACGTGAGTAATGGCGGGAGATCTACAGGCCTCTTCTTCCTTTGCCCTGTCTGAACCTCACCACTGTCTTCTTTCCAGACCTGGGTACATCGCTGGAGTCACCAACCCTAGATTCGAGGAGCTGAGATGCTGGGACCTGCTCTGCAACGTAGAGACGGGACGGATCACAGTTCACAAGGACATTGAGGTCGCTCCCCGTCTAGCCTTGACGCAGAACCAGATCAGTCCAGCCAGCACCGCTCTAGGAGGGGGCATCGCAAGCGCTAGCGGGTCCTATGGCTTGACCAATCACAAGACCACACTGTCGGGTGATGCCGCCTCGGATACTTCGATGGCATGGTCTGATGGGCCAGGCGCAGGTAGCGGAAGAAGTCGTGGCGCCAGTACGCTGGGTAAGAGTCGAGGTGCTGCTGTTGTTGGAGAGTTCGGAGCCCTGGCGGGTGGCATTGTTGGTGGCGCTGGTGATCCCAGGCTGGAGTCGGCGGACTCGACGTTCATGGATGAGGTGAGTCAGCTAGGAGGTATATTGCTGGGAGATACTGGTCATACTGACGGTCCGTAACGGTCGGCCATACTGCCTACTTTGTCTCTGCAGCTCCACAGCGCGATACAAAATCGCTGCTCCGAATCATACTTGCGCTCCAGAGTCACCGAGTATGTATCCACCTTTGCAAGACACATCACTCGCCACGACGATTACTTTCACGGCACAGCCGCACCCGAGCTACACAGGATCCCGCACCAGCCGTACCTCAACGGTCAGCTCGGCAGTGGAACAGCGTTCGGCGATCGAGAGGGGGAGGCAAGGGAGTTGATGGCCAATGCTCAGAGAGTGGAGGGTTTCAGGAGCTCCGCAGGCTACGAGTTGTGGTCAAAGGTGAGATGACGCTCGACTTGTTTTTGGCCCCTCGAATGGCTTTCCGACTTTACGCTCTTCTCCCTTTTGCGCAGGCCGATGCCATTTGCCGTCTCGATACCTCTTTAATACCGGGACTGGACCTGTGGCATCAAATCTGCCGACTCAGAGGACGTGGTAAAGCGATGCAGATAGCCGAAGCAGAGCTCGTCTTTGCAACCCTCGTTAAGAGTTTGAACAACGACGGTCAGGTCATCGAGGTGGGTTTGTCTGCGAGCCTTTTGATCCATCTTGGCCTACCGTATTGACCGGCGCTCTTTCCTTGTTCAGCTTCTTTCCGTTTGTCCCCCTCACTCTGGCGGTCTAGCGCCTATCGCGCTCGGTCTTTACCACCCTACACCCTCAGTGCGCCTGGCTGCATGCGAGATCCTCACAAGGATAACGAACCATCGCTTCGCCGGCTTGCAAGCAGTGCAGTCCCTCTCACTCTTCCACCGTCTAGCCTTCGCACGGGTGCAGAGCGAGAGACAGGACTGGATGAATCGCTCGGTGGTCCCGAGTGAAGGGAGAACAGAAGCGGGTACAGCGCCTCCCTCTGCATCGGTTCGGGCTAGCTACTATACTGGCGGCAATGGACGCGCTTCTCCCCCTACGTCACGGTCGGATCGAGATTCCTTTCATCCTGGACATGGCTCGAATCTCACAAATGAAAGCGCAGCGGGTGTACGTCGTGGCACAATGTCAGTAGGAGCTAATGGGCCACCAGGGTCGAGGATGTCCACTTTCGCTTCGTCTTCGAATGACTGAAGGAGGTGGAGGGTGGAGTGACGGACCTCAAACGTGTACTTTTACGGAGCCAGCACTCTCTGGGGCAGTAATGCGAATGCCTTCACGAATCTATGCAGGTCGAAGTAGTTCTCCTTCTTAGGCTCATGGACTATGATAACAACCGCACCAACGGGAGCAGCGTAGCGACAGGGTCTGCTTTTCTGATGGCCTTCAAGCTCGTCCTCTTTGCAAAGGTGGAGGAAAGAAGCAGGTGATTGCTGTGATGTGATGTGATGTGATATGGTAGCGTGTGGCTTGTGAGGGACCAGAGCAAAGCGTTCCTGACTATTGTCTGGGCGTGGGAAGGAGAGAGACCTTGATTGCTATTGCGCTCACGACTGCCAGGGTCAGAAGTCGACGGAAGAGCGTGGCGATCGACGATGACTAGGCACTGGCGGAGTGCGCTCGAGTAGCAATCGTCAGAGGTGGTCAGGGCCAGGGCGAAGCTGTATAGCTCAGGAGACACGGCGTGGGTATTCGGCCGAGGCTCATAGCAACTCGCAGCTCATGCAGAGGGGGGGACAGGGATCAGGGCGAGTTCGCTTGCAGCCGGCAAAATCAAGGTCGTGTTTACCTCGGCAATGCAATATCCTGCATTATCGGGCGTAAGCGGGGCCGCCGGCTCTAGTATCCCAGGCACAGCCAAAGTAAATTCTCAAAGGTATGAAGCTGCGCAGCACTGTATAAGAGGTACCATATTGCGAGCTGCAGCATTCGCACGTCCTCACAAGGAGACCACACTCGCTTCCCTCACATTGATCACACAACAGAGTCGCCTTCGGTCTCCTCTCACAGCGGAAGCATATATCCCTTGTCTCAGCTGCCGCTGGTCACAGAGCAAAGCCGCTTTTGACGCCACAATCGGACAATCGTACGGACGTAGAATTGCCAATCATCCAGACCATTTACCGCATCGTCCTCTGCACTCATCACATTCTGCCAAAATGGTCGTCCATCGTGCACGAACGCCAGCGTGCTTGTCGCTTCTCATCCCATCCCTGCTGCTCCTCTACATCTGTTTACCAACCGCAACAGCTATCAATTGGATGAGTACCCCCGAGCTCATCAAGGACCTCACCGTCTATCAGTCCTTTGTGGCTGCTACTGTTGGACTCCAGCTATGGTGAGACCAGTACCTGTCGACACTCATACGCAGCACGCAGCATACTGACTCGCCAACACTCGTACCTCCCTTGCGCGTCTCCACAGGGAATCTATCATCAGCTTTCCCTTTGAGTGGCGATACTTGACTCGACAGCGAAGATGGAAGCATGGTATGGCAGCCTACCTCATCATCCGCTACGGCACTTGGGTCCACCTCATCTGCGTACTCATCAACATCCACGCCACCCATCACATTGACTGTGAAGCAACCATGATCGTCTTGCTCGTATCCCTCAGTCTGGCCACCCTGGCCACTAGCCTCATCTTCGTCGTGAGGTGCATCGCAGTCTGGAAAAGGAACAAGTGCATCTCCTACGGTCTCGGTGCTCTCTGGCTCGCCACAGCCGCTGTCCACCTCTCCAGTCCTGCAAGACTCAAGTCGCTCTGGAGTCCAACAGGCTGTCAATCAGTCTTTGTCAGGCCTATGTGGGAGTACAATATGGCCTACGTCACCATCCAGATACTCGACACTACCACTTTCGGTCTCAGTGCATGGCGACTCAGGACCATGAGGACGCAAGGATTTGCCAAGGTCCTCTTCGCTCAGGCATGCGTCTTCATCGGCATCACCGCTACCCTCAACTGCGCATGTATGGTACTGGCCTACATCAGCCCCAACCCTGTCCTCACGTACTTCATCTCGCCCATTGCTCTGACTGTCTCTGGTGTACTAGGTGAGTCATGCGAATGCTGCGAGAAAGGAAGAGAGTCTGTGGAAGCTGATGGAGATACTATCTTTCATCATGTGCTTCGAAGCCTGTCGCTCTTTCCGAGACCTTCAAGCTCACGCACAGCGCGCCGGGACCATCGTCACTGGCTCAGGCCGAGCCTACACGGGAGGTGCCTCAATCCAGCCACCCAGTCCAGACAGCAGCGTCGCACCTTATTCTGCAAGCACAAAGGAAGCATTCGATCTCGATGCTGCGAAGGGACGGGCTCTTGGTAGGCGAAGACGATCGGACTGGCTCACGAGGACAGGCTTCGACGATGATGAGGATCCCATTGAGCTGCCTACCCTTCCCATGGCTGCGGCTCACGCTCCCGATAATGCTGATGGCATTACGCAGCACCCCGGTCGAACTTCAACCCGCCAGCGTCGTACCTCTGCCACTCCTCGAACTAGTTCCAACTTGGATGCCAAAGGCTCTACCACTGCATTCCACGGTTTCCTTTTGCCCGAAGAAGAAGAAGAACATCGCCTCGACGCCCTCGCCGCAAAGCACCAGCAAAGCCTTGCAGCACGACAGAATGCAGCTCGATCTATGACTTCCACTTCTCTGCCTCTTCCTGGGAATGACGAAAGCGACCACACGATTCGTGCCCGCAATGTCGTCGCTTCGGAGCAAACTCAACACGTACCTCAGTTGCAGAGCCCTAGAAAGCAAAACGGCCCACACACGTTCATCGACATGCGAGGGATGCGAACGGAGAACGACATTGGTCCCGGTCCTGTCCCTCGTCCTGGCACTCGAAAGGCACGCATCGATGATGGTACTCCCAGGAAGGAAAAGCGCACCGTTGATGGGACTCTCTTCACAGACGAGACGGTCACTACCGCTAGCAAGCCCAACAGTATCAAGACTCAGCATATCCGTGCTGCTGGAGAGTATGCCTCCCCCAATGCGGTGAGCGGATTCAGCTCTAAACGCAGCTCGGGCCTTTCTGGTGACTCGAGTGATGCGCACGCTATCGATATCGACAGCATCGAGGACGGAAAGGACTCTCGCTCAGTCGCTGTCGGCATCACCTGTCATAGAGAGGTACACATCGACGGCTGAGACTGGCCAACGTCGACCCTGCAGATCGATAGTTACAGCTGCTACGACTCGCTTCCCTTCTTCTCGCAGCAAGCAACACCCTAGTACCTCGCTTCCTGCTCTCTGCTCACTGCCCCGTGCTCTTTCTCTTCCTTTCCCACCTTGCTTCGTCCTTTCGTCCTGCTTCCTCCTCTCCGGCCCAAGCCGATTGCCGTCACCGTCATCCCCCAACCAGCAGCACCAGCAGCAGCAGCAGCAGTAGCTCGCGTCAGCTCTTGTCAACATCCCAACGTCACCCCACCCCAAATGTCATCCAAAGGCCAGAGAAGGGGTCGAAGCCCCTGTCCTCCTTCTCTCTCTCTCTTCTTGTCATGTTCATCCTTGCCTCTTCTTCTTTTGCATACATATATGCACCTGTCGCTTGGCTTGCTTGCTTGGCTTGCTTGGCTTGTTGCTCAGCAGCGATCCTGCTCTTTCTTTCGGCCTTGTTCTTTTTCTTTTCAAATGAATGAGAAAATAATGTCACCAGCACAGAGGCGATCATGACAATGGCACGACCGTTGCTATGGGTTGGACGTAGAAGCAAGCTGAGCTGAGGAGAGACAGTACAGACGTGACAATATGGTCTGCCCCTTGATCACGTACAGTCAACCCGTTTCCAGGGGAGTCCCACTCCTGGTCGTTGCTTTCCCACTGTCCCTTCCCTTCCCCGCCCACCGAATGGCAGAGGTCCTCTCTCACCTCCTCGAGCTCATCCCCGTCGAGCTCAATCCACTCTGGCTCCGCTTCGGGTCCTTGAATCTCAAGTGGGCCTCGTAAAAGCTCAACAGATGTTGTGGACACTTCTTCTTTGCTACTTGCAGCGGGTAGATTAGACAGACGCCGTCCGGACTGTGAAGAACGAAGGGGGAGGAGGTGAAATGAGTAAAGGCAGAAGGAGGAAGAGCGCCTAGGACTTACAAGTCTAGGTAGGCCTGCACGTCCCCATTGGGCTCTCTCTCGAGGGTGTTGACCTGGACAGCGATAGAGGCGAGCACTCGGTCAGGATTCGTAGTGCCATACGAGCGCATCTTGCCTCAGCCCACCGACTACTCACCCGTACCACGACGTCTTCCCAGCTGTCCATCGGATCATACTTGTCCTTCCACTCCTTCTCCATTGCAAGCCAAGTCGCATCATCCACATCATAGTCCAGCTCCTCTTCGTCCACTTGCTCCTCCTCTTCCTCCTCCTCCTCTTCTTCTTCTTCCTGCACCGGCACAGCTTCCGCTGCCCTCTTCTTTGCCGAAGCAGAAGAAGAGCTCGGTTGCGTTACAGGTTCCTTTGTCTTTGGCGAAGGGTGTCCTCCCCCTCTGAGGTTGAGATGTGCAGGAAGACTGGTAGGGGGAAGCGCCTTTGCTTTCTCCTTTACTATGGGGCTTTGAGACTTGGATGTAGAGGCGTGACCGCGCTTGGCTGCCTCGTGCTGCGCTTGTCTACCTGGTTGGCGGGCGTTGGGAAGGGATCGCCAGTAGCTTCGCACCGTCTCTGGTTGCATGTGGTCCTATGGTACGCAGAAGTAGATGGCCAAAGCATTAGCAGTCAGCGCGCCGCCTCAGTCAAATCCTCTGGGAGCGTCCGTGTTGCAGTCTGGGAATGTCGAGCTCAGAGCCCTCTCGTCCCAGGTCCAACCAACGCTCAGCTCCCAGTCCCTAGCCTCAAGTACGATACTCACCTCGGGCTCCCACGTATTCTCTGCATCATCATACCCCACCCACTTGACCAGGAACAACCACCCTCCTTTACTCTTCTTGTGATCCACAATTCCCTCAACTTCGTAATCCTCACCCTCCTCCTCCTCCTCGTCTCCAGAAGCAGAATCGACGGCCGTTGCAGGTTCTGCCTCTTCTGCTGCTGAATTGGAGCGGACGCGATTGCGTGAAGATGAGCCAGAGGCGGTGAGTTTGGTCTGGGTGACCATTGTTCGGAGGCGCTACGAGGGGATGAGCGGGTGTGTGCGAGTGGAATAGGGACGAGGAGGAAGAAGTCGGAGACGCGTCTCAGCCGAGTTGCGATAGGTAGCAAGGAGAACCTCTGTGAGCTCCAGAGCACGCCAGGATTGTTGGAGGGGACCGAGAAAGAGAAGCTAGCCTACCGCAGAGGGTGGGACTGCGACGTGTGGGTATACAGATGGTATCAGAAAGGGAAGATTCGAAGCGGAAGAAGTGAAGCTTGCCTTGTACGGAGTGGCTGCTGCAAGGTGCGAAGTGGACGCGAGGCGGAGCAACACGGCGCGCGTCTCTGAGCCAAAGAGGCTGGGCGAGTCTACTTCCGCCGTGCACAGATTGCTTGGCCTTGCAGACAAGGTGTTGATGAGAAAGGTATAGATTTAGCTCAGGAGATGTATGTACAACAAGTCGTTTCCGCTCTGACGGCCCAGGAAATGATCTTTCTCTCTTCGGCCCTGACGCCTTACGCTTAGCCCAGCTTGGCTCGCTTGTTCTGAGCATTAGCAGCGGCCGTCGCAACCATGCCTCCCCTGCCCGTCGCGCTCGACGACTGTCCCAGACCCGCGATCCCGCCGAGATGCCCGATACCGACTCCTCCAGACACCGAGTTGAGGTAGCCACTAGGCCCAACACTATTCGGCAGACTACCTCCCGACGCTGGAGCGGGAGCAGGGGCGGCAGGTCCAGGAAAGGCCATCGAGGTACCGCCTCCCAGCCCACCTCCGCCGCTATTGATCAGTGCTGGAGCTACCTGCGATGGGTCGACGTTCAGCACGGGGTCCGTCGTGTCGCTGTGCAGCCTCCTTGGAGGATAGATGGATACGCCAAGCGGCAGAGAGGCAAAGGCGTTGCGCGTAGGCACAGGCTCCTCTTTGAACCACGCATGCTCAAGAGCCCTCTCCGCCGTCACCCGCTTGCCTGGATCGTACATCAGGAGTCTCTCGAAGAGGCTGGCGCCGTGAGGAGGGCGCGAGCGGCTTGCGAACCAATTGGACAGCTTCGAAGAGTGCCTGTGGACAGAGGTAGTTTTGCACGTGTTAGTCAAATAGAGAGAACTACCTGTCGAGGGCGCTTTGCACCTACCCGTCGTCCGGTCCGAACCTCATTGCCGCGCAGTAGCCTCGCCACTCGGGCATCGTATCAATGGAAGGCCATCGCTCCTTGCTAGGTGGACCGAGTATGTCCACAATCTTTGCCATCTGGTCCGTCTGAAGAACAGCAGAGGGCTTGCCCTTACCCTCCATCTTCGCTTCTTCACCCTTAAATAACGGCCTCAGGCTGAGCAGCTCGCCCCAGATGCACCCCACGGCCCACATGTCAATGGCGGGCGTGTAATGACGGGCGCCCATGAGTAGCTCGGGAGCTCGGTACCAGATGGTGACGACAACCTTATCTCCGTTGTACAGGGGCTGTAGAGGCTGGGAATACAGTCTGGCTAGACCCAAATCTCCTATCTTGACGACACCAGAGTGAGTGAGTAGGATGTTTGCGGGCTTCAGATCTCGGTGCAGGACCCAATTGGAGTGGAGGTAATGCACCCCGGAGAGGAGCTGGAAGAGGAGCGATTTGAGCACAGTGGGCGAGATCCCCTCGCGAAGAACTGTAGAGTGGTGGTGGATCAGTTGCAGGAAGTCATGCGATGCATAGGAGAAGACCATGTCTGTAGCCAGAACATGTAAAGCATCTGAGTCAGTATCGTTCTTGGGCGAACGTGTAGGGATCCGCACGTCCTCCGTCTCTACGTACAGATGGCGCGGTCTTCCAGCATGACCTCTCTCAATGTGACAATGTTCTCATGCCGTAGCTCGCGATTGAGCTACCCAAGCAGTGACATTGAAGAGCAGGAGGTAGCTTCAGTACCACGTCAGTGCCGGGCTTCACCTCTTGTATCCACTCACAGCAATCTCCCTCATTGCGCTCTGACTGATGCCGGTGTAGCTTGGCGCCTCCGCCTCCTTGTCTGCCTTGAACTTCTTGATCGCATACACGCCTGCATCGGGCTCGTTCTCTCTTGCTTTCCCATTCTTCGCACCATTTGGACTCGGTACTCTGCTGCTGCTCCCACCTCTTTGACTTCCCTGCCGACTTGTTCGTTCGGGTGCCTCGGGATGCCGAAGACAAGCCTTGTACACCCTACCGTACGTGCCCGACGAGAGGAACCCCAAGACCTGATAGGTAGAGAGAATCGTTCGCCTTTTGTGGTCCCGATATTCCCGCCATGCCGTCATGGTATCCACAGTCGAAGAAGATACCGGCTTGAACTTGCGATAGGCTGCTACGGGGTGCTCGGGAGGCGGAGTGGGGGTGCTCGAGTCAGCGGGAGCCACCTTTGAGCTGGCCCCATCGCTTGTGAGAGGCGAGCGAGCCATAGTGGGTGATGACGCTGTCTGATCAGCTCAGGGGCTCAGCTTCAGACGCTTTCAACCTCCCATTTGGCTGCCCATCGGGTTGGGGAATGTGGTACGGTGGTGCTAGTCAAGCTTGGTACAGCGGAAAGGAGCCTCGCCTCGCCGTTCCGGCAGCGGAAGCTGGCTCGACCGCTCGGCGAGATTTTTGAGATTCTGCAGCACCTCGAAGTGCTTTCGATGTTGCCTCGGTACCCTGACTGCACATACCCTCATCACCTACGATGGCCGAATCATTGCCAAAGGCCAAGAAGCAAGGGAAGCTGCCTCCGGCTCCATCATCTGCCAAACTAGATGACAAGGCTGAGGAGTCTATGATGGCAGAGGGCGATGGCGGAGCCCCAAGTGATGATTCGGACGACGAGGTAGCAGATTTCCGCAATCTTCTCCCCCAGCTCCTTGCCGACAAGGGTGCCTCGGCAGGATCTGACAATGGCATTCAGAGCATCTCGATACCCAAGAGGGGAGAGAAAGACTTTGAGCCGACAGGCTTCAGGGGCCAAGAGAGGAAGCTGGAGGAGAGTCGGAGGGCAATGGAGATGGTCATTAGTCAGAGTAGGAGATGCGGCAGGTGAGTTCTGAGATACTACTCCCTATTCCTGTGAGTATCGATGCTGACATGATTGCTATCTCGTTCCCGTAGCAAAACTCTTTCAACGGCAATTTGGCGCCCAGATCTGAATAGAGCAATCGTCCAAGTGTCAAGGGGAACAACCATCGCCTCAATGGGAGTGACCGCGAGAACGCCTCTGACTGTGTCATCTCCAGACGACCTCCCTTCGACATCGTCGGATGTCATTGGCCCCAACAATCAAGTAGGCGTATGGAAAGCAGGAATCTTCTACCCTCGGTCGGTCACAAGGACGGAGCTGCTCCCGGAAGAGGCGCTCTTCCTGATTGAACGGGGTACACTCGACTGTACTACCTCGATTAGGCTACAAGATTCTGAAGAGGAAGTTCAGATCCCCTTGTCGCTTCAGCATGCCTTCAGTCTCATGCTGGGAAAAGACGGATGCACGCGAGAGCGATATCAGGCATACGCATATCTGAAGAGACTGGGCTACTATGTTCAAAGAGCCAGCGTAGCGGAGTCACTGAAAGAAGCAGCTGCTGCTGCAAGGAAAAGAGAATTGTTGGGGACAGACCACGACATAGCTACACCACAGGACAGGAAGCCGAGCTCACAAGGGGTCATCGCTGATCCCAAAAGGCCTCTGAAGCTCGTCACGCTATGGGACCTCTTGCTCTATATACCACGGCGTCTGGCTCAAGTCGGGACTACAGTCAGCTCTGCAATGATAGCATGGTTAAAGAGTGTTGCAAGCAAAGCCAGTCGGACATTATGGGGCGGAGGTCTCGGCAGTAGACCGTCTTACACGACAAGAGGCAGAGGTCTCCTGGGCCTCGGTGGCCAACAACTGGCGGATTATGACTCGATCTTCTCTGCCTTGCAGATCATACCCAGCGGTCATGACCTGCCGACCCCGCATGCTCGAAGCTCGCAGCCCTCCGACCCGCGCTTCCAGCCCTTCTTCTATGCCTGGCGCCCCGCAACGCGCTTTCGCAAGACGAATCCTCCCCTGCCAGAATATCGCATCGCAGCAATCTCAGCTCGCGACTCGAGTCTGCCAAAACTTCACGAGTTCCAGAGTATGTTCGAGTCTGTACCGCTCGAAAGGGACGCCTCTGCACGTGTTGCAGGAGAGGGAGGTGGGGAGGTAGATGAAGCGGAGGAAGAGGAGAGGATACGGGCCGCTGCTGAGAAGAAGCGGAACGATGAGAGTTACGGGAGGGGCTTCCTTGCAAAGAAGAGGAAGGAGGAGATCATGGCCGCCAGAGCCGCTAAGCGTAGTGGGCAGCCCGGGATAGGTTCCTCAGCCTTGGGGTCATGGCTTAGAGAGCGACTGGAGTCGTATCTCCCACCGCGAGTCCTCTCCGCCGCAGACAATTTGCTCTCGGGCACGTCGAGCCTCCTACTGGCGCTAGCAAAGGCATTCAGCCATCTGCCACCCGGGAACAGCCGATCTTCACCCTTCAATAATCGAAGGAGACAAGGACCACCGAGGCCTCACTTCCAGCAAAGCCAGCATCGTCGTCCTAACCCCTTCCCTGCTCTCAAGGCCGGACGGAGGGATGTCATTCTTGCTGTCACAGACCATGGTACCACGAGCATGCTGAGATTTGGAGAGGCTGAATTTGAGAAGTGGAGATTGATGGGTGCGCCGAATTGAGGGTGGTGTGGACACGGGGTCCACGTGGAAGGGAGGCTCTTCTTCGTCTCTCGTCCTCAGGGGACAAGTGTGTAATATAGGTCGCTTGCCTCGTCGCATCCTGTGCACCTCCCGCTCTACTTGCGTGCAACATCTGCCTCTACTTCCTCTTCAGAGCGGCGAATCTAGCCTCCAGATCGTTATAAGCGTTGCCTCCTCCTCCATTTGCACTCTTCTCCTCGTCCTTCTTTTTGGCAGCATCCACCTCTTCCGTCGCTTTCTTGCTCGCCAACGTCTTCTTTGGCTCCCCATCCGACTTGCCCCCGTCTTTAGCAACGGCGTTGCCGAGCTCAACGTTGTGCTGTGCGTCCGAATGAGTTGCAGCTGCTGCTTTGGCGTCTATCACGGGCACGGCGGCTGGCTGGGGCTGTGCACATAGCGATGAGAGGAACTGCAGTGGTCAGAGAGCATCTTGCTTGCGCTGCTGGGATGGCCAGACTTACGGTGCTACTAGTCTCTCCTTCTACTTCTGCTACCTCAGCCTCTTCCTTCTTCAGATGCGGGGATGTAAAGGGCACATCGTAGGCCTTGCAGACTGTCAGAAGAAAAGAGTGCCTGATCAGCTCATTGCTCACATGCGGCGCGGCGTAATCTCGACTCACTCTCTGAAATGTACCTGGCATTTCGGTTGAAGAAGAAGACGAGTCAGTGTCTCTGCCTCCTCACACCCCCGCATTCCGTCCTACGCCGACTCACATGTCCACCAGCTCCTCCCCCGGCGTCTGAGCTGCCATCCGACTGGTGATCCTCGTGCTCACTACCGATCCACCCTTGTTCTCCGTGGCCGCCTCTGCATACTCTCTACCATAGCGCGAGATGAGCATCTCGCGAAGGACGTGCAGCTCCCGTAGCTCTACGCGAGGAGCGGCGTGGATTATGGCGGCGCAGGCTTCTGCTATTGAGGGCTCAGGCTCTTTTCTGTAGGTCGAACAGAAAAAGAGAACGGTGAGGTGAGCGGGGTTCGTTTGCAATGAGGGCTCTGAGAGCTCTCTGGACTCACCCAAGGAGGTCTAGCAGGGCAAATCTGGCTAATAAGGTCTCGCAATAGAGCTCCAGGATTTCAAGCAGCTCGATGTGAATCTATTGGTAGGGAAGGATGCGATGAGTACACGTCAGTCTCTTGCAAACGGCACAATGGCATTCATTCTCTTTGTACTTACGTCCTCGGCAATGATGCCCTCGGTCTTTATCCTGGCCGTCTCCAGCTTCCCCCTCTCTACGAGGTTGGCAATATCTCTCCGATCCTTCTTTGCAATGGCCTCCTTTTTACTCTGCAGCATCTTCGTCCGCTCTACTGCAAGCTTGAGCTGGACTTTTGTCCGCGACAGATTGAAGGCCGGCATGCTCAATGAAGGTGATGGACTGTGATTTGAATGTCAGAATACGGGCAGTGAGAAGGTAGAGCGTGAGGCGGAAGTAGGTGACGATGCTCGGCTGTGAGCAACAGGGCGTGATGCTCCACCTTGGCGCCTGCAGTGTGCAGCGCCCGCGCCTCATTGCTTCACCCCGCTCCGAGTATCACCTGCAGCCTTTGCCTCTCCTTTGTCGAGAGCAGATCAGTCATGGTCTCCCATATCGGCCGCCTCGCCCGGATAACTCCAATGAGCTAGTCTGGCCCCCTTTGCAAGTTTCCTGCACATACTGCCGGTGAGGCGGCAGAGCGGCCATGGGGATAAGATGCCCCTGTAAGATCTCAGGGCCGTCCCTCGGATAAGGCGGAGCGGGGTTGCGATTGCCTCGAGGTACCCACGGCCATTAAGTACCGAGGCAGGCTGTGGGGCCCCTCGACCCCCCCAGCAAGGAACCTCAACCAAGTCATTACTCCTACTTCAAGACCTCCAGAGCATCTTATCAAAAAGCTGGACTTTCGCACCATAGCTCAAGATGGCGCAGTCTGACTCAGTCATCATCTCGACGTTCATGCGTCTTTATGCGCCCTTGGCCAACTTGCCAATCGCCTTGCAGATCTTCGTGTCCCTGCTGTTGGCAACAGTATCTTGGGTCGCATACAATTTCTTCCTGCGTCATAGGGGTATCCCAGGACCTCTGTATGCGCGATTGGGCATTCCTTACTACCTCGCTTGGCGCGCTCTGAAGCTCGACTGGGTAAGTCTGTGCTGAATGCCGTCGGCAGCCTCAGGATCGTCATTGACCAGGATGCCTACCTCCCCACCGCTTCATTTAGATCTGGCACGTTCAAGACCTACACAACAAGTACGGGCCTGTAGTCCGAATCACTCCGAACCAGATTGACATCTCGTCGCCGTCTGCCCTGCAGTCGATTTACTCCTTCTCCGCCTCCAACTACCTCAAGCCTCGACACTTTTACGACGGTTTTGTCCTCTTCAAGGGCAATCCCTCGATCTTCTCTGACTGCGATCCTCACTCCCATGCTGCTCGCCGAAGGGTTCTGTCAGGCGCCTACGCACTCAATTACCTTGTCAAGCTGGAAGAATGTGTGGACCCAATGATCGACCTCTTGATCAAGAGTATGCGCAGGAAGGTCAGAAATGGCGAGATCTCGCAGGACATGACACAGACGCTGCACATGTTCGCCATGGATGCCGTCGGCGAATTGGTGAGCTCAAAGGAGAATTAGATCTGGCGATGACCGAGCGTATCCTGAATGTACATCTCCCTCTCCCCTTCCTCCTCACAGGCCTTTGGCGAGCACTTTGGTTTACTGCAGAAGATGGCAGATCCCACACGATTCCTGCGAGGAGCCTCGAATCTTTCGCAGTGGGGTGGAGCCTTTGCCTACATGCCCCCTGGTGTCATGGGTCACGTACGCAACTTCCTGAAACGCTACTACAACGAGCCAGGACCCGAGGTCATTGGCATCCACACCAAGGCTCGCATCAACCGCCGTTTTGCTCTGTTGGCTGAAGGAAAGGAGGGTGAAAGGCCCGATATGCTCGCCAAATTCATCGACGCCAAGAATCCAGACGGGACTCGCTGCACTCCGATGCAGGTTACCTTTAACTCTTCTTCTGTCATTGCTGCCGGTTCGGATACCACCGCTTTGGCGTTGGCTGCCACTTTGCGCTACCTCGTCGCCAACCCACGCTGCTACGCTAGAGTTCAAGCAGAGGTCGATGAAGCCTTTGAGACTGGCAAGCTCAAGGAGCCATGCATGTACGGTACGGCAGTCAAACTCAATTACCTCCAAGCCTGTGCCAAGGAAGCCTTACGTCTGCATCCCCCCATCGGCATGTCCCTGCCCAGAGTAGTGCCAAAGGGAGGAGACGTCATCGACGGCCGCTTCTACCCCGGCGGCACCACCGTGTCCATCTCCGCCTATGTCCTCCACCGCGATCCCAAGATCTGGGGTGCCGATGCAAATGAGTATCGACCGGAGCGATGGACCGACGGCAAGGGCGGAGAAGAGGAGCGCAAGAACCTCGAGAGGAACTTCTTCACCTTTGGTGGGGGTTCGAGGATCTGCATTGGAAAGAACATCAGCTTGATGGAAATTACAAAGGCCCTTCCGAGGCTGCTGTGGCACTTTAACTTCAAGGCCAGTGCTCGACCCGAAGGTTGGGTGGGCAGGGACAGCGATGGGTCGACGGGACCGGATATTCCCTGGTATGTGACTTCTAGCTGGTTCCTCAATGCTGAGCATCTGCTCCTGGATGTCAACCTGCGACGGCCTGAGGAAGACTTTGACGATGATGACTAGCCAGGGAGGGGGGTTGATGGATTTGTCTGTCTTCTACAATGTCAATGTAATCTCTGTCCGCTTTGCCACGCTCCCGAAGAAGTGAGTCTAATGGCACTCACTGCGCGTGTGCCTCTCAATCAGTCTCTCCTGTCCAGGTACTCAGAACCCAGTACCACTGATTGTCAGTCTCTGCTTCCCTTGGCGCTTACAGGGATTACGTGGCTTCAGCTGTGAGCCTGTGTCGAGGTCACGATTTCCAGTCTCCAGTCTCCAGTCTCCGGTCTCGGGCCTTCGGTCTTCGGTCTCTTTGCTCTTTTGCCCAGCCCAGCCCAGCCCTTTGCGGGGTAAGGCGGGGTAAAAATTGCCCGAGGGTGGGACAGTAGGGGTCACCTGAGCAATGCGGGGTTACTACAGGCAAAGGGTTGGTCCCGTGGTCTGGTTCTGGTTCTGGTTCTGGTCCATCTGGCTCCTCCTTTCTCCTTGCCGCTCGCCTGCTTCGCCTCGCCTCGCCTCGCGAAAAGACTCCCTCACAACCTGCAAGGCGACTCTACCCACAAATGCACGAACCATGTCCTCGTGAGTGAGTGTGTGTGTGTCTGCTTTGAAATCCCAGCGGTGCTGAGCTCTCAGCGGACATGCAAAGGGGCAGATTGCGAGGGCGGGGGTGGGGCAGGCAAGATTGCCCTGGCTGGCCTGCCTTCACTTTCCCCTTGCGCACGCCCTCGACTCGCTTACTCCACACGGCGTGCGTGCGTGCACGGATGGAGAGAATTGTTGCCAAAAGACCCAAGAAGGACCAAATGCCGGCAGGGGACTTCGCCTCTGGTCGGCATGGCCATGGCGCACACGTCAGAAGACCGACAGGGATTGGTGGAGCTCAATCAAGGAGGGAGGGAGAGAGGATTGATAAAGGGGGCAGGGTAGCTAGTAGGCCCACTACCTTGAACTGTTTCCTCTCTTTTGATTTCTCGAAGGCTTTCCAGCTATCCCACTGCACATTCGCTCGAGTCGAAATCCCTCTACAGCTCCTACTAGCTTCCATTGCCACATCGACATCATGACTGCAGAAAAATACGTCCGCTGGGACGAGTCCGATGTAGAGTACGGTGCGGGCAAGGAGGAAGACGAGTTGATCAACGAGATCAGTCGTCAGATCAACACTGCCCAATCTGCCCACTGGGAGGAGCATCGTCATGCCTTTAGTGGTACCCATGTCAAGACGCACGCTATCGTCAAGGGTGAAATGGAAGTCTTGGCAGACTTGCCTCCCCAGCTCGCCCAAGGATTCTTTTCCCGCCCTGGGAAATACCCAATTGGACTGCGCCACTCGACGGAGACGACTGCGCTTATTGATGATCGAGTTCGTCAACCTCGTGGTTTGGGAATCAAAATCTTCAACGTTGAAGGACCCAAGTTGCGTCAGGATGGTAAAGATCCCAAGACGCAAGACTTTGAATTCAACTCTGCCCCTACTCTCGAGTTGGCAAATGCTCGCACTTGTAGGGATATCATCGGTCTACGTCTACAGCATGGTGGTTGTCCTGCAGATCTGGACGCAGCATTGAAAAAGCGAGACGACTATGAATCTCAAGATGCGCGAAACAGAATTCCCACTATTCCCCTCTTTTCACAGAGACAGTACTCCCAATCTGCCTTTCGCTATGGAGACTATATAGCTAAATTTGCCCTTATTCCAGCTACAGAGGTTGGAGGAGCTAAATGTCCCATGGCCCAAGTTCAGGACAAGGACAAGGAATTGACTGCTGCTGATGGACCGCATGCTTACAAGAGTTACACTACCGATTTTTACGCCCATCATGAAGCCCTCTATGACTTCCAAGTCCAACTACTCGAACGAGAATTCTTTGACTCGAATGGAAAAGGAGACTTGATTGAAGATGCTCGAATCGATTGGCCACAGGACAAGTATCCTTATATTACCGTAGCCAAAGTGAGAATTCCACCACAGGACGCTTTTAGTTTTAGAAGAGTGGCCTTTTGGGAAAATGAAATTCGAGTAGACCCTTGGCATGGACTTGTGGTTCATAAGCCATTGGGGTCCATCAACCGTGTCCGAAAAGGAGTCTATAAGGCGTCGAGCGCTTTTAGGAGAAAACTCAACAATACCCACGAGGTGACTGTATCCAGCGTGGATGATATCCCAGACTAATCGTGTCTGTGCGTACGATGCGGTAAGATCACGTGGTTCGACCTTTAGTTAGGCCTCTTTTCTTCTTCTTCGTTGCTCTGTCTTCGGAACGTCTGGATCGTGTGAAGCAATGTAACAATGTATAATCAATTATCCTACGTCGTGATGTCGCTTCGAGCGACCCAAAAAGCCAGTCCGCCAATGAGCAGCTATCTAGCTAGCTGACCGACTGACTGACTGACTGACTGACCGACCGACCGGCCGTTCAATCTATCCAAACATATCATCTCCCGGTCGCGAGTTCCCTCCCTGTCCACCCTGACCTCCCTGTCCAGCTCCGCCGGCCCCACCTGCTCCACCTGCTCCTCCCATAAATTGCCTCGCCATGGCCATCATCTGTGGATCTCTCATCATCTGTTGAATCTGGCTCATATCGGGCATCCCACCTCCTTGACCCATCCGATCTGCCATTCCCCGCAACATGGGGTTGTTGAGGAGCTGCTCCATGCCCCCGTTGGCCATCATGTTTTGGGCCATTTGTTGCATCATTGGGTTGTTCTGAGCGAAAGCAAAGAGATGGAGCGAAGACAAGGTCGTTGAGGATGTGATCGGTCAGTGTCATGGCTCTCTGAAGTCAGACGTCTATCCCGCTGTGCCTCTGTACTCACAAGCAGCGATCCAAGGTCAGGCATTCCACCACCCATACCAGGGAAACCTCCAGCACCTGCACCTGCACCAGCGCCAGCGCCAGCATCTCTGCTAACCGCTTCAGATCCCGTAGCACTAGCTCCCCGCGAGCTGTGCCCGCCTCCAGTCTTGGCCGCCTGTGCCTTGGCCGTCTCCAATCCAGTCTGCATCAGCTTGTTCTCCGGGTCCACCAACAATCCCTGCTGATACGCCTCCACCGCCTCTTCGTACTTTCCACTAGAGAATAATGCGTGTCCCAGTCGACTGTATGCTTTTCCAAACTTGGGATCGATACGAGCCGCCTCCCTCGCGTCCTCTACAGCTTTTTCATGCTGTCCTACTTGCGAATAAGCAGCAGCGCGATTAGAGTAGTAGATTGGGGAAGAGTGAAGATCAATCGCCTTGCTGTAGGAGGAAATGGCTGAACCGTAGTCCTTGGCTGACATGCTCTTGTTGCCGGCAGTCTTGTGAGCATCGGCGGCGGAGAGATCCTCAGGAGAAGGAGCAGCTGGAGCTGTAGCGCTGGAAGAAGAGGGAACAGCGTCTGTCGATCCCGATCCCGATGACGAAGAGGATGCAGCTGGGGGAGCAGCAGCAGCTCCTGCTGCTCCCATCTTCTGCTGAGTCTTGAGGAACACATCATAGATTGTCTGTAATCCCGCACTTGGAGGAGCCGGTTGTTGGTCCAGATTGAAAGCACTGCTAATGGCGTTAGCTGCCGATGTCAATTGGGCCTGCTTATCCGATGAGGACGAGGGGAGAGCGCTGGAAGAGGCAGGGTCCTTGAGCCAGGCAACGATGGCCTGCGCCAGCTGGGTACGAGTATCGACAGACATGGCGTGGGTGGGTCAAGTGAGGACAGGTATGGATCGATGGGTGGTAGGTGGTTGGTTGGGTGGAGTGGAAGTCTTGAGTGTCCGTAGAAGGTGGCCGAGTGTGGCTGAGTGGCCATTGCGCGGGAGAGGCTGAGTGCAGGCAGGCATACGTCAAGCGGGGGGCGGCCCATGCGAGCGGAGCGGGGACAACTTGGCACTCGAAGGTTCCTCCAGCCACGCCTTCCACGTAGGAAGGGGAGGAGTACAGCAGGCGCTCACACTCGAGCTCTACAATGGGCTGCACTGAAGCGAATTAGGATGATAGATGACCACGGCGAACATTCTTGCATTGGTCACGATTACAAAGTCTATCTCTCTGCTCAATTCCCACTCCATTACAGCTCTGGCTTAGCCGGGCCGAACAAGGGCTCCCCCATCATCACCTTGCGCAGGATCTGAAATCAAAATAGAGAGGGAGGAGCAGTGGCCCACCGTTATCAGCACACGCAGCGGTCACTTCATTGTACGATACGGGTCATGCGCGCACTCACATTGTATTCCTCTCCTCCGATCTTGACAAAGATGTAATAGAGCAGAGAGAATGCCGAAACGATCAGCATCGTCCTGTTTGCATAGACGGCATCTGTTGCAGGGACGGTCCGGAGGAGAATCTCAAGGAGGGTCAGAAATTGCTGCAGGCCACGACAGATCACCTTGGGAGGGCACCACTCACCGATGAACCCAATGCCTCCAGCTCCTTCTCCCCTCTGCCATCGATCCCAAGTCTCCTGTCTCTCGTTCTCCTGCATTCTTCTGATCCTCACGTTCCTCTCAATCAGCTTCCTGGACGGGACATGATAGATGGCTAATGTGGGCGCAGCCAAGATGTCCAGCTTGGCCGCCAGGTGCACTCGAGAGTACGGTCTGAGGTAAGACATTCCATCGTCCGTCAGCGACAGAGAGGCATCAATGTCCGTCTCTCCTGCGAGGAGGAAATCTTCCTCGTTGTGAAGCTTTGGAGAATCGGCTAGCACGTCGTTTGCGTCGATCTTGTCGCCCTGACCAGAGCTTCCACTGGGAGGTGATGTCGTGTTCGCGCCGAAACCTCCAGTCACACCTGTACTGCTCGTCTCAGAAGCGGGAGAGGAGCCATCGTTCCACGCCATAGAGACCCAGGGCTGTAAGTTGCAACAAAGCCATAGTAGCGTGAGAAATTGCCATCGTCCCTGCAGCACATCCCTTATCATCGCAGATCTACTTACCTGTCCTCTCACGCCCTCCTTGTACCACTCCTCATCCACATCGACGCTGATATACACCACCTTGAAATCATGGGGATACTGACGCTGAAAGTCGGCCACAGTCTACGAGCGGGCAGGATCGCACAGCACGATCATCAGCACCAAATTTCCATTGCACCACCACCTCGAGTGTCTCATCCTCCTCACTCACCTTCTGGTACTCCTTCAACGGCGCTCCAGCCCACTGACTACTAAAGTAGAGTGCCACTACTTTACAATCTCTAAAGTGTTTCCGCAAATCAATTGGTTTCCCTTTATCGTCTACCAATCGAAGTCTCCTGAGCAGTGGGTCGGAATGCTGGTACTGCTCAGGCGGGGGAAGTTTCCTCGATGAGGGCTTTAGAGCTGGTTTGAGACCGCTGGAGGACATTCGACTGAGAGGTGAGGAGGTGAGGGAGGTTTCGCTTGGAGAGGGAAAGGGAGAGGAATTACCGTTGGGAGATTGGTCTGCGGAGAATTCCGTAATGGTAGCTGCTGAGGGGGAAGACCTGAAGGAGACGGACCTCTTGGAAGGCTGAGCGCCAGAAGGGTGCGATGGCTTTGGCGCTGAAGACTGCGACGACATGACCTTCCTGTGCGACGACAGCTATGGGTTTGTGTGATGCTGCGAATGCGAGAAGATCGATGTACGCGGGATTCCTGCCAGGGAGGACCAAGAACGTGTCGCCTGGATGAGTGCGGGGAAGGACAGGCGCGGAGCTCACTCGAGCTTTCGGGCAACGCGAGAGGCGAGGCGGGGCGTTTGAGCAGCAGCAGCTGGGGCCAATACTCTGCTAGACTTGTGCGGCGACGACGACTACGACGATTCGAGAAAGAGAACAGTGTCCGCCGTGGGATGATCCGCAGTGTAAAGGTCAGAGGTGATCAAGACAGGAAGGTGAGGGCAAGTGTAGATTGCATTGCATTTGTGCTCGCTCAGTCCCAAATCTCCTGCCAAGCCGGGCCGAGCGTGGAGGGGCCGAGTGCAAGTGCCAGTCCGACCTGACACACTCGGCTCTCCGCGTTCCGTGCCGCCTGGAAACATGTGCCGAGGCCGCCGCTCCGCCCATCCTCCACCCTTCATCCTTCTCGAGCATCACTGTTGGGCGTCGCTACGGTAAAGTCAGACACTGGCCGTCGTCCCACTTGGCTCAGGATATTACGGACACCTCCAGGGTGCGATTTGATGCGCTCCACCTCTTCATTCGATTTGGTCACCTAGCGGAGTCGAGGGAGGACCGATGGAATGTCAGCATTCTGATGTTCACTGATATACGCCCAGGCTGTCCATACTCACCAGGTGACCAGCGAAACACAGAGCGTTGAGGCTCAAATGCCCGACCTCTTCATTCTGAGGTCCCTCCTCACCCAGCGGAAAGTCCTCCTTGTCTCGAGGGATCAGGTGCATTGCCTTCCCAGTCAAGAGGAGGTTCCAGCTCCTTGCTCCACGCCGTGCAGGGGCAGGCTGGGCCGAAGCTCCATCGTCGTGGCTAATGGCAGCTGCTTGAGCGCTGAACATGGCATCTAGCAGCTTCATCAAAGCGTCGCTAAGGCACGAAGTGATATCATCGGCTGAACGCGATGAGAGGCCGGGTGGTAGGAGGTGCACGAAGTGCTGGTATGGCAGGGGAAGTGCATGTACAGTCTCTGAGACCAGCACAAGAACAGGTCATGGACGTCAGTGGGCCTTGAAGATAAATCTGTGCAGCTCTACTTGCCCCTGTGACTGCTACTCACCCATCTCCTTGCCATCCTTCTGAATACGACCTAGTAGCTGTTCCACGAGTACACCGCCTCCCGACTCGAGATTGACGAATTGCAGATGGCAATGTGCTTGTGAAGCACCTGAAACTGGCCCGCAATTGTAGAAGCAGAGGATCTCGGTAGACAATGACCGGGACACAGAAGAGAGGATCTCAAAGGCAAGACGGAGAGTATCCGGAGAGGGAGGCATGGTCTGTGGTTGAAAGTCTAGGGTGCGGAAGTAGTGCGGTCATGGAGTCAGGGAGCCAGATCATGGCAACGATATGTAGCTTGACAATGCAGACATACCTCGTGTCACTAGGAGAAAGTGGTGCGGTATCAATGCGAACTTGTTGAGCAGCAGTGTATGGTCGCCCAGTTCGGCAATGAGTACTGAAGAGGACGGAGGCGGTCTTCGGAGGTCAGTCAGACGTCCTTCTACCCGCTCATACCCATTGAGAGCCACTCACAATCTTTATCATACGGCGGAGCGAACACGTCTGAAGGGTTCTGCCCTCCCTTCTGAGTAGCCGGCTCATCTCTTCCACTCTTGGCCTCTTCCTTCCTCTTCTTTTCCTTTGCCTTCTCCCTCAGTGCCTCACACCGTCTCACAGTCCATTGCATCGATGGTCCGTCTTCTCCCTCTTGATCTTTGATGCTGTGCACATCTGATGGGTAGAAGAAGGCAGAGCCGCTGGACAGGGCCGAGTCATATTGCTTTGCGATGAGGGAGGGGAGATCCCGAGGGATGGAAGTGGAGGAAGACATGCTGCAAGCGTGGAGCAATGTGATGCTTTGTGGTCTATGTAGCTTCGTAGTCGCTGTCTTGATGTGTCTTGGTATGCTGTGCAAGGATCTGGTCAAGGGCATCAGCTCTGTTGTGCTGGTCCAATGGTGAGAAGGAGCGGAAGGAGAGGGGGTGCACTGGTCGTGAAAAGCAGGAGGCCCCAGCGCGATTTTTGGCAAAGACCCCGGCTGCGCTTCTTCTCATTCGACGTTGGCATTGGCTTCACTACTCCCCGAACTCCTCCGTCCGGACGACAGGGTACAGGTCTGCTAGTGTTCCATGACATCGCAGTATCCAGCTTCAGCTCGGCTGCTGTGATACTGCCGGCATGAAGGAGCGAGGCTCCTCGCGGTCATTCAGTCGGCAGCTACAGGCAGCGCTACTCTCCTCACAGAGCGACAATTACCTCCACCAGCTCGGTGTTGGGTCAAGCAATGGTGTTGATAACAGTCGCAGTGAGCAGCCAATCGCTTTTTCGTCCAAAATTCCAGCGACAATAGAAATTCAACAGGTCAAAAGGACGACGCAGGACCTCTCCATCGAACAGCTTCTAGCGCCCTCAGAACCGTCCAAGCTCAACAAGCAAGAAGCGAAGTCCTATGGCAAAGAAGAGCCCGGGTCTGTCCAGAATGCTGTCATACCATCAGACGACAAGGGAGATGCTGCCGAAGCTGCAGCCAAGAAATATCTCGTCAAGGCTGCGAAAGCTGAAAGAGACGCTAGATTCCGGGCAGGAGCGGCTCAGTACCAGGAGATACTCCGAAAAGGACCTCCGAAGCCCAAGCCTGGACTGCTAGAGAAAATTGCCATCATCAAGGCGGAGAAAGCTGCTCGAGATACTGAGATGAAAGATGGCAAGGATCTCGCTATAGACTCAGTCGAGCCTGATCTTGACTACCGTCAGAGGGCCCAAGGCAAACCTTCGGTCTGGTCCACTTCGCTTCAAGACCTGAGGACAGCAGACGAGCTATGTCCGGATACAGACACCAAGAAGGGCAGAGTGGGCGTCAAGCTCAGTCGAGGTAGGATCGCTAGAGCAGTTCTCTTTGCAGACTCGGCAGCTGTGCAGAATCAGCGGCTCGATAGACAAGGGGCAGCTTACTTTGACGTGGTCGTGCCGATGTCAAAGAAGCGCTCACCGATCGAAAGCAAGCAGCAGAACAAAGCGGCCAGCAATGGCAGTCTGTCGGCCGCTGACCGAAGTGGACAGTCTCTTGGTAGCGAAGAACCGATTATGGCACCACCCCCTCGTCGCTCGTTTATGGAGAGGCGTATGGCTAGAGGCTGGGCTTATCAGCAGATGCAGCAAGACGTAGTAATGTCTCCATCGACGCCTCAGCCCGAGCCTCAACCCGACCCCAAGGCCAAAGCAATGTCTACAATTGACTCGATTCCTCAAGAATCCGCCCCCAGAAGCTCTGGAACTGTGCCCACAGAGTCTAGCGACAAGCAAACAGGATACGCAGATGCTATGGGCGGCCATCAGGTACCAACAAAGGCGGTAGCTGTGCCCGTTCAATCTGATGGTGAAGCACAAGCTTCCCCTGCCACAACGATCGCGAAGGAAGCCCGCGATGCGTCCACCGAGGGCCTCTTGGAGGCATACAGACTCGAGACGCCCGTCTACCTCTACCTCGCTGGCAAGTGCCAATGCTCAGGCGCAGCAGACGCAGCCCTGGCTTGCATCGGCGAGTCTTGTGGAGCTCTACGTCTCCTCCCGTGCAAAGTGCCAGATTGTGTAGAAGCAGTCGGTGTCGGCTGGACCACGATCGTGGATCTCGAAATGCTGGTTCGTCCCCAGCCGACGATCCGCTTCTATCTAAGAACGGATACTTCACTAGAGAAGGAGCCGTGGTGGTGGCTTCCCGTCTCTCCAGACTCGCGAGGTTGGAAGCTTTCACGCAAGGCCCCGCCAACCACCCATCAGCCCTCCCCTCACAAACCAAGCGGGCTCCTCTCTGCACTGATCTGTTCGTCTTGTCATGCTACCGTGCTTCGGCAGCACTGGCGAGGCTGGACCTGCTCGCATTGTGGCCTTTCCGTAGCAGCAAGGGCCCTCTCATCTGATATTGACGTGGACTGGGGCAAAATGCCAATCTTGACCGAGGGGCCCAGAATGGACAATGGCAGGGTGTTGTGCATTCCCCCTATCTCGCGGACGGATATTAAGGTCTGGGATGACGGGATCAAGGTGGTAGACTACAACCTGCCAGCCGTAAGGTCGCTGTCGGCAGGGATGTCTTTGAGGAACGCAAGTACGGGTGAGGCTGTGGAACAACGCGCTGCCAACGGAAGTACATCGGATGTGAAGCTGCATCACTTCCTCTCTTGTGGCGACTGGAGACGAACGTGTGACAAGCTATTACAGAGGCTGCTGGACCCGGACATGCCCTACGAGCGCATCCTCGGCCCCAATGGTCGTCTTTCGCACTACTTCTCCACCACCTTTTTTCTCACAGCCCATTCGACCTCGCACCATGTCCCCTTTCTGCCATCACCAATCTTGAATGTCCAGGAACACTCGACAGCTGCAGATACTCTCCTGGACGCAGTCGATGAGGTGGAGTCCTTGCTCTCGCGGATGAACATCGAGTTGCGCGACGATGGCGACAGCAAAGGCGATGGCACCGGGAGGGCAGTCACAGGACTAGAAGGAGCCTCACCTCTCATGCCCTTCTCCACCCTGACCGCCACAGTAGCAGACGTAAAAGACAAGCTTGAACTTCTCACTCTCGTTGCACCCCCTCCCAATGCGGGTGGAGAAGAGCCCGGCACCGGTAACAGACAGATCGCCTACCTGCACCTCGGCTCGCCAGCCGCTATGCTCATTTCTACCACCCGGAGGGACCCGCTCGCCAGTGCCAGCGCCGGTGCAAGTGGTAGGAATCGTCGAACCTTTCAGTTGCTCTTCAGCTGTATGGTAGCCCATGGGGACGTGGTGCTGATCAGATGCGGAGAGGGGAGCGAGAATAAGGTCAGTGTAAGGGCCATGAGTGATGATACGAGGAGGAAGAGAGCACAGCGATGGAATTGACTTAAGAGTACCGCCCTCCCCTCTTTTTTCTTCTTTTGAACAGGTCATCGTCGAGACACAAAAGTTGCACGTTGGACTGGTGTTCACGTGAATGCAATGCATTCAATTGAATCGTGAGCGGACGAAACTTGACTAAGGTAACTCTACTGGGGCTGTCTACAAACAAAATCCTCTACAATACTGTCACGTCGCCCTCATTCTCCGTTTTGTCTTGATGTTTCCAGCCCGCCATTGTAATCTAGGCCATTTCAAACTCGTCTGCTGGCCTGGAGGGGAGGCCAGTATACCCTGCTGACTCTCTCCTCCTCATTGCCGAGCTAGGCAGTAAGTCTGCGACCCGATCGAAGATGGAGCGCCACCAGGGCGGGCCGTCTGCGTTTACCAAGGTGGTGGCAGAAAAGGGCGAAGCGGTATTCCATCCTCCCCCTCCCGAGGGTGGCTCATCGCCCAAGGAGAGACTTCTCCGCTCGCGCTTTGCCTTTCCTGCTTCTCCTTCTCCATCATCTCCCTGCGGACCCCTTAGATGCTTCGGTCTCCTCCAGAAGCGCAACGTCAAACTTCCGCCTACAACGCTCACGCTACTGGCAGCCATGGCCGCTCCTGCCATCATGGGATGCATGGAAAGACCCCATGGCAGACCCAAGCCCATTGCAATGGGTAGAGCTACAAGGTTGTATGCAGTGGACCAGGCAAAGTTGAGTCTGATCTGGAGGAAGATACGACGTGCGAGGAGTAGTGAGACGGGTACGTCTAGAAGGGTGTTGCGCACGAGGACGATGGATGAAGACTCGAGTGCGATTTGTGAGCCGCAGCTGAGCGCGATGCCCACGTCGGCGGTGACCAAGGCGGGAGCGTCATTGATGCCGTCACCGACAAAGGCTACGGCTGCTTTCCCACGTGTGGAGGTGGACTGGAGGTGCGCCACTAGCTCGCTCTTGGCTAGAGGCGACATGGCTGCATACACCGAGTCTATCGGGATGCCTACCTGCCTGGCTACTGCCTCGGCTGTCACTTGGCTGTCTCCTGTTGCCAATGCAGTGCTGATGCCCATACTGTGGAGCGCTTCGATGGCTGCGCGAGCCTCAGGCCTCACCTCATCTGAAAGGGAAAAGGCGCAGACAGGTTGCCCATCGATGGCTGCATAGACTAGAGTATGAGCTTGACGCTCCTCAGCAGCAGCAAAGGCGCTGAGAGATGGAGGCACAGCAGCGCCCTCTTTGAAGACAAGACTCCAGTTGCCCACAGCCATCTGATGAGTACTCCATCGTCCATCCGGCAGAGCGAGGCGAAGTCTCCCTCTGACACCTTTGCCAACGATGTTCTCAAAGTCTTCCATGGCTGCTCGACCCGGCTCAGGGAACTCCTCTTGGGGCACACCGAGGACCTGAGCAGCATGGCAGGCGATGGCGTGCGCCAGAGGATGCTCGCTGCGACTCTCCAGAGTACCTATGAGTCGCAGAGCTTGCGAGCGCAGAAAGCCAGACGCAGCAGTCGCTTCGTTGCCATACTCAGCATTTTCACTTGACAAGGAAGGGCCGGGTGCAACCCACTCCGTGTGTGTGACCGCGACCTTGCCCATTGTGAGCGTGCCGGTCTTATCGAAGATGATCTTCTTGATCTTGACGCTAGCCTCTAGCGGTCCACCTCCTTTGATCAGGATCCCATTCTGAGCTCCCACACCCGTGCCTACCATGACGGCGGTGGGAGTTGCAAGGCCAAGCGCACAGGGGCAGGCAACGACCACGACTGAAATGCAGAGCTTGAGACAAGTGGCGAACTTGGAAGAGGTATGAGCAAAGATATCCGGTAAACGCTCACTGTCGCAGACGTGGGCGATGATGAGCCAACAGAAGAAAGTGAGCAGTCCCAGCGCGATGACGCACGGGACAAAGATGCCCGCTATACGATCTGCAAAAGCTTGAATGGGCGCCTTGCTCGTCTGAGCGTCCGAGACGAGTCGAATGATCTGCGCGAGAGAAGAGTCTTTACCGGCTCGGTCGACTACAAAGTCGAAGGTGCCCAGTCCGTTGACGGTACCTCCAATGACCCTAGAGCCTTGTACCTTGGAGACAGGCATGGCTTCTCCTGTCACAACGCTCTCGTCCACGGTGCTTGATCCACGAATGACCGTGCCGTCTGCAGGTATCCGGTCCCCTGGAACAACCTTGACGTAGTCCCCCCGTTGTACAAGCTCCCCAGCGATCTTCTTCTCAACTGAGCATTTTTCTCCATCAGCATAGATCGTTGCCGAAGATGGCGCGAGACCAATGAGGCGACTGAGAGCCTCTGAGGTTTTTCCTTTTGCCGTGTTCTCAAGGTAGCGGCCGAAGCTGACAAAGGTGATGAGCATGGTAGAGGTATCGAAGAAGGTCGTTGCTTTTGGAGGATTTGATTCGGAAGGGAAGAGGAATGTGCTCAGCATGGCTATCACTGAGTAAGTGAAGGAGGCAGTAGTTCCGAGAACTACAAGGACGTCCATCGTTGAGGAACCGTGCTTGACTGCCTTCCACGCTGTACGGTAGAAGCGAAGACCGATGCCGAATTGGACAGGGATGGTCAAGAGTAGGCAGAGGAGGTCTGTCAGCCAGATCCGGGAGATCGGCTGCCACATGAGAATGTTGCGGAAGAATTGCACCTTCGGCAGTACCATGGAGATGAGGAAGACCGGGATACCGAATGTGAGGGCGCCTAGAAAGGCCCTTCTCCACTGCGCAATCTCTTTCACCCGACTCAGAGACTGTAATTGCGTCGAATCCCGCTCGTCTGAGACGACTGCGTCGAAGCCCATTTCCTCTATCCTCTCGACTAGAGACCGAATGCCGACTGTATTGCCATCGTATGTGATGCGAGCTCGCTCCGTAGTGAGAGCGACTTCGCAAGATATCACTCCTGGCATCTCTCGAAGACCATTCTCGATTGATGCAACACAGGCTGAGCAGGTCATACCGTAGATGCTCAGCACGCAATCTTCCACCTCTGGAGGTACTAATCCTACACTGCCTCGTGGCCCTGAGAGCGCACTCTTTGTGACGTCGCTCTCGAGGAAGGCATCGAAACCGATGTCCTCTATTGCTTCGCCAACCTTCTCAGCAGTCCAGTCTGCTGGACTGTACTCCACGACTGCCTTCTCTGCTAGAAGAGCGACGGAGACATTGATGATGCCGGGTTGAGTCCGTAGCATCTTTTCAATGGACTAGACATGGGAAGCGGAGGCGGCAGGTCAGCATAACTTTACGGAACTTGCAGGGAAACCCGCAATGGGATTCCACTCACCTCTACGCAGGCTCCACATGTCATTCCTTCCACCCGGATAGTGGCTGTGGCGGAGGGTACGGCATCTCTCTGATCGTCCTTTTCGGCCACAGCCGAGCTAGAGGGGCTCTTCATAGACGCCATAATTGTCGAGCTGCTCGCTCAATGCCGTTGCCAGATGGAGTCGAAGGAGGTCGAGGATGTTGACGCCAAAGCTTGCCCACAACGAGCAGAAGCTCGTCAAAGACAGCCACCAGGTCCTTTCAGACTCCCAAAGCGTTCACTTCTTGAGGCTCTGATTGACTGTGTGACCGTCCTAGCAGACCTTGTGAGGAAGACGGAGCATTCAGGAGGGTTGGAGGATGTCTGGGGAAAGAGTAGCAGATTATCAGATCTGTGGCGGCACAAGATCAAAATGCGGTGAGCCAGGTGTTGCCCTTGGACTCAGGCACATCGACGCGATTTCACTCTCCGACGATAAATGAACACAGACGGAAGTGGCACCTCGAAGCTGAGGCACAACCATCAAACCATTACTCGCCCTCCGACCGCCAAGGACTGGTATCACTTGCGGTAGCCACTCAGGAGCAGGGGAGTTTCCTCCCAGCAAGTCGACATTTGAGAAAGAGGAAGAAGAGGACAAGGTCGCCATGAATTGTCTGGTGAGTCACACAGTTGGCGCGCGGCAGCCTGGAGACGATGCTTGGCCCCCTCTCCTCCTCCTCCTTCTCCCGTCTAAGTAGCCAGACGAGCTGACGACCTCTTGCCACCCATCTCGCCACATTCCTAGTCCTGGTGGCTCCCCATCTTGGTCTTGCCGCTGCCTATCTGTCCACCAGAGCTCTTTGTCCTCTTCCTGATCGCTTACGTGCTTCGGACGAAACCATGGTAAGTTTTACCCCCCCCCCCCCCCCTCCCCCCCTTTTCTCCCTCGCCTAAGGATCGTCGCCGATTCCTGTACTGATCATTCCTTGTCGTGCCGTGGAACCCGGCGCTTCCCCCCACAGCGTCTACTGCTGTCTGGTACTCTTTGGCCTGTCGATCTCGACATTCTACTGGTCGGAATTAAGCTTTCTCACTAGCAAGATGGCTACGGATCATCCTCTCAGGGTCTGGAATATCGCATTGCCTGCCGTTTCTGGTGCACAGCCAGCCGGTTTTCAGCTGCAGTGGGGGTGGCCGAGCGGAGGGAGTGCAGCGGGGTAAGGGGAGCCTAGGCTGATGTCCTGCTGTTGATAATGGCATTTGTCTGTGCCCCATTTCGCAATCGGGATGAGCCGCCGCCTCGGTGCCCCGATTCTGTCCCACGGCTTCTGCTGCATCTCCGTTCCGACGTGTCTACGCCACGCCAGGTGGTGCTTACGTGCGTAGACAGATGTGCCGATCATGTCGTGCCTCGGTTGTATTTTGAGGCCATCTCTGGCGTGTAGGCGAATCTGCCAGCCCAAGTCACCGGTCCCTTGGCAGAGCGATCGAGAGATGGAGTATCCCCCCACTTGCGCCTGCAGAGGAAACGCAAGGGATGGGGAGATTGGTGGGCAGAGGGGGGCTGGAGGGGGCGCGGCGAGGCGCTACTCTCTCTGCCTTGGGCCCTCCCGCGGTGAGGCGCGCTGAGGCGAGGGCGCGAGTGACCTGCACCTCTGCATTAAGGTTCGGAGATGCCGGGACGCCATCTCCGCCGCCGGTTGCCTTGGCGCCTTTGCTCTTGGCCGCACAGCCGATCTCTCCTCTCTGCCGCTTTCTCACGCATCCAATCTTCCGGATCCCACCGCAAACACCCGTATCTCCCCCCCTCCTCCTCCCTCACCCGATCCCTTTGTTCGAGCCGAGGAAAGGAATCAGTACACACCATCTGACTGCACATCACAGTGACTGACAGCCCGTCCAGTCTCGGCGTTCTTCCGAATTCATCACCCTCTTAAGACCGCCCTGGAAGATTTCTCCATCGAGCACACCCCTCATCACCTTCACCAAAATGCTCAACCACAGCTGCCAACGCTGTCGGTCCAAGAAGCTCAGATGCGATGGAGAGCAGCCATGCTCCAATTGCGCCGTCAAAGGTCTCGATTCCTCCTGCACCAGACCCCTTCGAAAGGAGAGGCCCAGGAGGAAGGACGGTCCCCGGCAAAAGCTGCACATTGGCCTGTCTTCACGCGTGGGCCACGAAGAGACGAGCTCCCCCAGGAGCAGCAGCGAAAATGTCAGCGACGGTCAAATCGCACCCATTGTTCACAGCGTGGCCGCGACATCGCTCGGCCATCCTCGTGATGGACGTGTCGTGTCGCCGAGCGGATCTCATCAGTCCTATCCTTCTCCCCCTGTGCCGGGCTCCGCCTCAAGCTACGCTCGATCAAAAGTGTCTTCCGTACGCAGGACGCTCACAAGCGGGCCCTCGTACGAAGACAGGACGATGCATGACGTTGCTTCCTCCTCTCCCAGTGGCCTCTCCAAGCCTATCAAGTCACCCGCAGAGCAATTCACAAGAGCACCGTCTTCAATGGGCGCGTTCAGACTCACATCTGCTCAGGTCATCGAAGCTCGTTACCTACTCGGCTCCATCCCTGCAGCTATCAGGATCTTGAAGTACATCTTCGCATGGAGATGTCAGAGCACATCACACAGTGCAGTCCATGTGCCAACGCTCAAGCGAATCATTCGACAAATCTACGACGATGAGTGGGCTCAAGAGGTGACGCAAGATCAGCTCTGTCTGCTCCTGATGGCCATTGCTATCAGTATCCAATTCGCGCCTCGCAAAGGTCCTTATGCTCACGTCTGGAAGCTCGTAGAGGGCATGGGACCAGCCATCGCCCCTGAGGAGAGGCAGGGAAAGCTTCACTACATGGCAAGATCCATCTTTGAGAGCAGACTACAACCCTCAAGCTGCACACTGGAAGGCGTACAGACTGCAATGCTTCTATTGCTATACGACCTCGACGAAGACAACTTCAAAGAGAACCTCTTCAATTGGTCCATCAAAGTAGCCAAGTCTCTGCGGCTCGATCACATCGGTCGGCCCTTGAATGGAGTACCAACGGTGGAGAATGAAATGGGAACTCGTGTCTGGTGAGTGAACCAACGGAAGCTGGGAAGCTCGGGTCTTGATGTGTCCACTGATCTTTCTTTGCCATTCTGTATTGCTTCAGGTGGTTTTTGGTCTGCAGAGATGGCCTGGCAGGTCTCAGCACAGGCACATTTGCCATTGACCCCTCGCAATTTACCACTCGAGTGCCTATGCTCATCTCGGATGATGATCTGGCCCACGGTAAATTGTCAAACAGAATTGTAGCCGAATCCAGCACAGTCGCCAGTTCCCTACCACTCATCAACCTTGCAGGGGTGGTACGGCGGCTGGTAGACATCAAATCAAAAGGCGACATCGTTGGTCAGGAGTACTCTGATCTCGTAGCGGACGCCTTTGATCAATACGCTGAAGAGCTTCCCGCCATCTTCAGTCTGGGAGCCTCAGCGATCAATGTTCCCAGGACCGGTGACGACACGAGTGTCTACGTCAGACAGCGACTCGAAACGGAGCGATGGCTACTGCACCAGCAAATCTTCCATGCTTACCTGCAACTCTATGAGATCCGTCTCGATGTCAAGGTCTGCGATCAGGTCGTCGGATTGGCTCTTCATATTCTGCATTTGCAGGACAAGGTCCGAGACAGGTGCGCCATCGTAGATGGACTCAGGATCAATGTCACGGGTGTCATGAGAGCCATCACCGTGATGACGATTGACCTTCTCCAGAAACACAAGAATTCCAAGGTCTCCCTAGTGCGACAATTGACATTGGGCAAGATACACGAGGCCATTCGGAAGTGTGAAGAGACTTCGAATCTGGCAGAGGGAGATTTGGATTTCGTCAAGAAGCTGATGGAGTGGGAAGAGATGGCATGGAGGGACAAGACGAAGAGCACGATGCCCTCCAACTCCTTCTGCCTTGGCAGCATCCTCACTGCTCCCATTCCGGCCATGATGGATCGAGCTTCGACAGCTTCGCTATCGCCTTCCTCTGTCAATGATCTGGGAACTGGTATGACCGTCTCTCCCACCCTCTCCTTCGCTTCCTCTATCCAGCGTGGTGTGGACAAGGGTGCAGCAATGGGAGGAGCGCCCTCTTTCGGATCGGGCGGGAACAATGACGGTGGTGGGCAGTATGGCTCGCCACAGCAGCTGCACAATCGACTCTACCATCAAGAGAGTCGTACGAGTATGTACTCGAATTCTGTGCCGGCCAGCAGCACCAGTGGTGGATCACCTTCAGGTTCCATCGATCCTTATGGTGCCGATAGCACTGGCAGGAGCAGTATGACTCCTAACGAAGAGGTGGTAGACAAGGGCAGAGCGGGACATCAAGGTGTCTCTCAGCGCTCGCCCGCCCACTTCGGACACCCCGGCCGCGGTCAAGGCGGTACAGGAGGCTACACGACGCACGAAGCGAGTTCTGGCAATTCGCTTTCCTCTTCCAGTCTAGCCCAGCCGTCAAGTCATGGAAAGGCTCAGCATACTCTCCTTGCTCAAGGATCGGTTCCGCAACCGCGCCAGCAGCATCCTATGAATGTTCACTCGATGAACGATGAATCTGTGCATATGCGCTCGCGTCAGTATCCTACTTCTTCATATCACTATGACCAGCAACAACAGCAACATCAACAGCAGCAGCAGCACTTCTCCAGTAATAACATCAACAACATCACCAGTCAAGGCCCCATCCATCCTCAGTCGCACACAGCTGCGCAGCCGCGCACCTCGCACATCCTTTCTTCCAATGACCATCAACAACAGCAACAACAACAACAACCACCTCTCAGTGCCATTAACGGTATGCAACTCAATCTCTTCCCCTCAGACACGGCCTTTTCGCCCCTCTTTGCCGCCAGCAATCAGATGAGCTTCCAGCCTACTTGGGAAGAGATCTGCGCGACCTTTCTCGCTGGTTCGGGGAGTGCAGGCGCGAGTGCTGCTGCTGCCGCTGCTGCCGCTGGCGGTGGTGCTGGGGTTGGAGGTGGGATGGGAGGTGGAGTTGGAGTTGGAGTTGGAGCGGGCGCGGGAGCAACACCTATTGCGATGGGGAGGATGCTCTAGTCTCACCACCCTCTCTCGCTCTCAATCTCTCGATCTCTCCCTCGCTCTTATGAACCCAGGAGGGGAGGTCTCCAGCACCCATCAACTTGGTCATCCCCCTCTTATATAGACGCTCTAATGCGAACATCCTCTCCTCGCGCGTCCTTGTACGCATCGCATATGTACATCGGTCCCTTTGTTCCCATCATGTTGCGTCGCATCCTTCGTTCTCTGTACTTTTCTTGTAATAGCCTCTGCTTACCTACCTACCCACCTACTTACCTTGGGTTCGGGTTCGGCAGCTGTACGAATGATAATCAAAATATATAGTCTGACTCTCTTTGGCTCGCTCGTGCGTGCGTGAGGGCGGGGAGAAGCATGTTCGAGGGGGTACGCTACTGAGGAGAAGTACTTTGATTATCCGGAAGACGCTGGCGAGCGGATCTCTACTGTCACATGCTGCCTCTAGGGCGTGCGGTCTACCCTCGCAAAGTACCGCCGATCGTCTCTGTCCCACGACTCACGCCCTACGGCCGGCCAAAACACTACATGCTGACGAACGCATCTTTTCACTCGTCAAAGTCCCACCTGACTTCGATGGGGTCGCACTGCGAAGCCCTGGCCCATGCCGCCTTCTTGAGTACAACATCTCCCACGTCCTGCTTTTCGGCGCTGTCAGGCTCGTTCCGCTTCTGACCAGCAAGGCCAGCGCCGCCACTCCTGTTGCCGCTATCATTGCGACTGTGAGCTCGAGGAGTACATTCGCCGTCACCGCCAATGGCCTTGCTGTTGGTCTTGTGCATGGCAGGCTGAAGAACGCTCTTCTGTCGCTTTGGAGAAGCCGCAGGAACCTCTGTAGCATCGCGCTGATCAGTGAGACTGCCGGCTCTAGACGCAGAATTCTTAGCAGTAAAGGCCGCCATCATATCGTCAAGCTGCTTCTGATATGCAGTGAAGATGGTCTTCTCTTTGCCTCCACCGGGAGAAAAGTACTCGTTTTTGAACCTGCTCTTGGTAGCCCAAGACGTGTCGAGGACGGTCTGCTTAGTAGCTCGTCGAGTCTTCTTTGATCCAGCGCCGCTGCTGGTCAAGAATCCTTCACTAAGCAGCTGACTGTACAGCTCTCCGGAGAGACCAGTCGTGAAGCCAGTGAGCTTGCTGAAGGCAGTGAGACCTCCATCAGGCCAAGAGCCGGCGCGGTGAAGCTCGTAGAGTGCTCGTCGTACAAAGGCAAGGTGTTGAAGCTGGCGATACGTATCACCTCTGATGACGTCTTGCTCAATTGGGTCAGATGCGTGGCTTGGCAGTGCATGGTCCCAGCAGCTGAGTGGCACCTTGCCGCCGTCTTTCCAAGCGAGATGGCCATAGCAGGGAAGGTGAAGGCGTCTATCGCATACAGAGCACTTGCCGGCGTGTGCAGCGTGCAAGACCGGATAGCCACATGTGCAAGTCTCTTCGCTCTTGTCACTTCGCTTTCGGCCACTTCGAGCTTGCTTCTGAGCAGCTGGATCGATAGAAGCGAGGGTACTCGCGTCGGTTCGTGACAGCATTTCTTCTTTCGCAGTAGAGGGAGTCTGTCCAGGTGTTTGAGCGGCAATTGAGCTCTGAGAAACGATGTTGGGGGTCATGGCGAGTGACTGAATGGAGTCGTGCTCCAGTGCGTGCTCGTTTGAAGCGCGAGAGTCTTGTGTGTCGATTATGATCTGGTCGTCTGACCCCTCAATGGCCTTTTCTGACTCATTCGCACTCTCCACGATAGAAAGAGACTGTGACTGGCCTGGTTCAAAGTCCAAAGAGACCGCGTTGGGGGCAAAGCTTCTCTGGGTGCAAGGAGGAAGCTGTAGACTCATTTGCGTCAACTGGGTAGGCTCGTCCAACAAAGCAGTGCCATCCATCGAGCCCTGATAGAAGGGCGAGATGATACTATTAGCGAGCTCGGTCGCAACTGGCTGATCTTCGAAGCTACGCTTTATGGCTTTGGCGACGAACATCTCCACGTCTGCATTTTCCTCTTTAGAGGCTTCATGACCCTGTCGCTTCGAACCTTGCCCTAGCTGGAATTCTTCAAGAGCACTTGGTGGGATCGGAGCAATTCTACCATCACTCATCCTGTAGCCGATAGGCGCCTCTGGCTCATAGCGCTTGTTGATGCCGAGCAGTTGGACCTTTTCGTGCTCTTCCTTCGAGAGTGAGTGAGCTACAGCAAATGCCGATTCGTCGTATTCAGGGTGTGTCTCGAAGCCATCCTCAGCTTGCTGCTCTGCATCCCAGAGTACCGATCGCTCAGCTTGGTCCTTGAGCTGGAGTGAGATCTGGGAGTGGATGTCATCACCTTCGGCGACCTCGGGCAACAGCCCAGCCACAGAGGCGATCGAAGCCCTGACTTTGTGATGACCCGTCTCAAGCTCTCCAAAGCGCATCTGTTGATCGAACAAGGTACAAAGGCAGCAGAGTCATCATACCATCGCACGAGCAAGAGTGATAAGCTGTATATCGACACGAACCTTTTCGGGTCTTTCTGCCAGGTTGCGCGTAAAGAACTGAAGGCGGTGCTCTTGCGCAGGTCCAAAGTAAGGCGGCTCGTACTCTTGGGGACAGTCATTGTTGTAGTGGACTTTGAAATAGAGGAACTTCTGGTCAGGCAGACGCTGAAATGTCTCAACGTAAGAGATCAGAGACCTGATGATGCTCTGTACTCGCACTCGGATCTCAGCTACTGTGGGTGCAGCCACTTTGGGCTCGTTGGTGGAGAAAGCAAGTCTGTCGAGTCCATCTGCGGAGGGTTAAGCAGGTCCCCATCTTCGGCATCAGTCAATCTGCAGCGAGGCCGAGCGTATACAAGGCATGTCCACTTCTCTACTCACCGGTGATGTCCATGATCGGTATCTGCGCAAAGGGAGGCGAAGGTCAGAGTGTTACAGAAACGCCAACATGGATGCGACCGAGCAATATAATTACAGTGTTGCCTTTGTCATCCTTCGTGTAGCTGAAGTTGAAGGTGTAGGTCTCCACCACGTTGCCAGGCTGCTCTTTGTCCAAGTGAATCGCCAGGATGAGTGACGACAGGTAGCGCTTCTCCAGCGCATCGTAAACGCCCAGCTCCTGAGGGTGTACAGTGAGGAGCACGGTGGTCAGCCTGGAGCCGGCTGAGGCGTCTCAAGCCCATATACTCACGAGGTAGTCGAGCAGCTTATCTACGGCTGCAAAGCTGCCTCTGGCTAGCTTCTTGGTCTGGTAAGAGTCAGGACGGAGGCGGCCGTCAGAACGAGGCGCATATAGCGACGCATTGGAAACCAAGCGCAGTGGACCTTCTCTGGTAGCGACTTACCGTGACGTTGGACTTTGGATTCGCGGATTTGCATATGTGGTTCTTGTAGCAGTCCTCTGGGAAGATGTCTCTGCAGATGAGAGGAGGAGCCCAAGTGATGGCTCTTCTTTAAGCCATGCCGGTCTTCTCTGACGTCGGCGCTCTACCTCTGCAGTCAAAGAGCGCACCGTAGATAAGTGAAGGATCCAATCGATATCTCGATGAGATCTTTGACAGTTTGTAGGCTCTCCTGCTGTGTCAGAAAAGCCTATGCTCGAGGCGGATATACGGAACAAGCAACATTTGAGCTCCAGCACTAGTTCGTACCCTTTGCTCTCTCTCCATGCTCACCTGGGTATTCTGCACGGCTTGTGCTTGGCCAGATACGGCTGCAAGAGACTGTGGCCGGATTCGCTGTCGACAGTGAGGGCCGGGGCAAGCAGATTGCGCAAGAAGTGATCAGTAGTCTGTGGCAGGTGCATGTGCAGACCCGATTGCAGCTCAGCTGAACTCACCTGCATCTCGTGTAGCGAGGCTGGAAGGACTTCGATAGAATCGAGGGAGAAGGCTGGGAGGAAGGAGACTGGAGGTGAAAGAGAGGATAGAGAGTGGACAGGAGAGAAGGGCAGTGAAGGAAGTTCGGACGTCCAGCCCAAGTATCGTTGCCTTTGTTCCTCCCGCGTGGCGTCAATATACGCCCGAACGTCGTCCGGACGACAGTCGGGGTTTGGCGCGGCAGATTGAATTTGTGCCTGAAAATGGTATCAATGAATGAGATGACAATCAACCGCAAAGACACATCATTTACCCCTTTGCGCTCTTCTTCTTCTTCTTCTTCCGCTTCTTAGCGCTCGTGCTTTGGCCACCACCCTCAATGACATCTCCATCGTGACCAGCCTCATCGTCCTTGCCCTCGTCATCCTTCTCCTCCTCTTGGCCATCGTCCACGCCTTCGTCTTCGGCGCCATTCTTGTCATCTTTGCTGCCGATAGCATCATTTTGAGCTTCGTTGGAAGCTCGCTGCTCCGCGGCCTCCACGACTTGCGAAGCTGTTGTCGCACTGGGCACCTCGCTAGCACTGATTCGGGCCTTTCCGTCCAGAGCTGCCGTCTTCTCAGAGACCCCATTAAGCACCATTGCTGATGCAGAATCAGTGCTGACTTCATTGTCGCCGACGGGAGTGGGAGTGGGAGGAGCACTACCTGACTGAGCAGCTACCGACGCCGCTGCTTGCCGTTGCCTCGCTTCTGCCTTGGCCTTGAGCTTCTCAGCCAATGTCAACTTCCGGGCAGGAGGGGCGGCTGACACTACTAATGATCCAGCTTCGGAGACAGGCGTCTGCGTCCCAGATGCAATAGGCGTTTCTGTCGAGATCGAGTGGGTCTCGTCTTGCTGTGCCACTGCAACTTCTTTGGCGGCGCCCTCTTTGTCTATTGAGGGTGCAGTTGCCTCCTTCTCTTGTGTCTTGATGTCTCGCTCCTGCTGTGCTTTCTCTTCAGCTGCTTTCCTGAGAGCCAGTCCTTCAGCCTCTCGCTTGATAGTGGCTTCTTCCTCTGCGGCCAGACGATCTCTTTCCATCTCGCGCTGTTTCCGCTCCTCTGCTTCTTGCAGCTTTTGTGCCTCCTCCTGTGCTCTCCTCCCCTCCTCCTGTGCCTTCTTCTTGCCCTCCGCCTCTCTTATTCTCTTCTCTTCTGCCTCTCGTAGCCTCTTCTCGGCTTCCTCTTGCACTCTTCTCTCTTCCTCTTCTCGTGCTTTCTTTTCTTCTTCTTCTCGTATCCTCCTCTCTTCCCGCTCTCGAGATAACCTCGCCTCCTCTGCTCGCACTCTCTCCTCTTCCTCACGGACTCTGACTTCTTCAGCCTCCTTCTCCCGCTTGGCACGCTCTTCTTCCGCTTTCCTTTGAGCGTCCTTTTGACGCTGGGCAGTCTCTTCTTCTACTCTCAGCCGCTCTTGTTCAGCTTTGCGGCTCTTCTCCGCTTCGGCTGCCTGCCGATCCCTTTGCAATTGCTGGATCTCCAGAAGCCTCGACTTTTCGTCGGCCCTCCAGGCCGCCTTTGTTGCCTTACTCCACTCTGTAGCGTCATCTGATCGTGGCGATCGAGGTGGCAGAGGGTCCGTCGCGCCGAAGACCTCTGTCCAAAGACTTTGCCGAGCGTATGGAATGAGGACATTGGCGAGGTGGTCTATCGCGATGGCGGCGAGCAGACGCTCCGCCTGGGTCCTACGATGGACTGAGGACGCTACGTCTGGGACATCGGTACCATTTGCAGATCCGGCTATCTCCAGATCAGGCAGCGAAGTGTAAGGCAGGTTTGACAGACTTGAGCTGCTTGCTTGCTCTGGCAAATTCGATGCGTAAGAAGCCATTCGAGCGGTGACATCAGCAAAGGCTTGGTCCAGCAGGCTCAGAGCATGCTCCCGTTGCGAAAGAGGTGCGAATAGACGAGTTGCATTGAGCCCAATGAGGATATCGTTGAGCAAGAAAGCCAGAGGAGGGAAGGAGGCAAGAGCTCCGACGTCTCTGGGATCAGGCTGTCTGTTTTGGTGCGATATGAGCTCTGCAGCTCTGCTTTGGCTGACCAGCCAGCTTGAGGGCAACGTCAATGGATTGGATGGCATGCGTCTCTGCATAGTCGCGCGAGATCTCGCCAGGGGCACGCTCAGGACCTGCATTGCCGATCGTTCGAGGCTGTAAGCTCTGTCTGATCCGGACACCAACGGGGCAATGTCTGCGCCCCACTTGGCAAGCGTCTGAGCTGTGAACGCCAATTGTGTGTGCAGAGCCTGAATATCGGATGCTACAGCCTCAGCAGCAGCAGCCGTAGCAGCCGCAGACGGTATAGAAGGCAACCGTGAGCTGGTTGGATCGAGCGACACAAGAGGGGCCGTGAGCTTTCCGACTCCTTCTGCTAGCTCGTTCTGCAGTACTGTGATATGGATTTGGATGAAAGAAGCCATCATATTCCCTTGCGATGCATTGCCGTCCTGAAAGACACCTGAAACAATGGCACATGTCTCGTCAATTCCTTGTCTCCAGGCACTGACGTAGCCTTCCAGGTGGGCAGCTGCGACGTGTTGGGAAGGTCGGAGCTTTTGCTGATGGGCGAAGGGTGCTGAGAGAATCTCGCGTAGCACTGAAGCTCTCGAGCGAAGCAAAGAAAGGGACAATTCCTCTTCGGAGAGCCCCAGTGCAAGAGCTCCAATAGTAGGCTCTGGCACATGATCGAGCTCTCTCAATTTACGAATCGCCGCAATAGTCCGTGAGGCCGATGCTATGGTAAGTGATCGAGTCTTCAAGCCCTCTAGTAGTGAATCTCTGAAATCTCGCAGCGCGTTCCAGGCTTCTTCTCTGATGGCGCGAAGGGCCGGTCCCCCTCCCAGCTCTGAGGTGGGTTGGGCAAGTCGTGCAATATGAAGTCCAAGCTGCAGCGTCTCAGCAAAGTGACCTCCACGGGCGCAGGTCCTGATCAAGTTCGGCAGATCCAAAAGGTCAGACAATAGCGATGTATGAGCCTCCAAGAGTCTGTGTGCCCTGTCTCTTGCTACCAAGGTATCATCGGCCCGGGTAGCAAAGGAAGTTGCGGCTTCAGCTAGCCGAGGCAAGGACTTCTGTGCAAGGCTCGCCAGTATAATTCTCTGTTGATCAAGGCTGGAAGGTAGCGAACGTGTCGCCTCGTGTACTTGTACCAAAGGCCCGACCTGCCGTGTACACAGAGCGGCCAGTTGATCCTGAAGCTTGACAGAGGACGATGCCAAGAGTTCGGGCTGAGACTGCAAGCTCGCCAGCGGCTGCGTCGTGAGCGATGCGAGGTAGGCGGATACCGAAGAAGAGGGGTTGCCGAGGTTCTGGGCCAGTTGAAGCAAATTCTCGTCTTGATTCGCCCCTTGCTTGGCCATCTCGCCCAGCAATGAAGGGAGGGATCCACCATGATTGCTCACTGCGAGAGCCAGGCTGGCGGCACCTCGGCGATGGCGGACCGGAGAAGTGCCATTGGGCGCTAGTGAGCTCAGCCTCCGCTCAGGCGACGAGGTGGACATGTCTCGCCGAGAATCACGACAGCTGACTCGGCAGACAAGGTTGAGGTATGAGTAGTATGGATGATGATGGTGGTGGGTGGGATTCTAGGAACGACCCGAGGTGCGGTTCCGCTGTGGCCGATGCGCCGGGACCAACACCTCCAATTTCGGCCCTTCCGTACTTCTTCTTTCGTACTCGTGACGCCCAGCCGTTTCTTCTTGACTCCACTCGGCCAAAATAATCTCACAAGATTGCCCGCGGTCCATTCTCGTCATCCCTCCTATCATATTGAGCCCCTGATGAGGCGGTGAGATAGCTCACGAAGCGAAACAGGGCAATTCATAAAGACAGTGCGGTGGCCAGACAGCGCATAAGTCCCAGAGTCACCTTTTGGCGGGCCTCGTCTGACTCTGCGATATGTTCGAGAGGACATTGGACTCCTTGATCAAGGGACTCAGGTCACACAGGGGTCAAGATGAGCCGGCTTTCGTTGCTACCTTGCTGGAGGAGATCCGGCATGAGCAGCGATCGGGGGACATGGAGGTCAAGGCAGGTGCAGTCCTGAAGCTAACCTATGTGAGTAGTCCCATTGAACAGTCTTGGGAAGGAAGTCAGCTGACAGCCCTTGCTTCTCCTTTGTAAAGCTTCGGATGCTTGGCTATCCATCGTCACATGCTTCCTTCCCAATTCTGGAAGTCATGGCGAGCTCGCAATATCATCTTAAGCAAGTTGGCTATCTCGCAGCCACTCAATCCTTCAATCAAGATACCGACGTTCTCATCTTAGCAACAAATCTGATCCAGAAGGTACGCGGATGTGACGAGTCCTTGAGTGTGATGTCTTGCTAGCTTGACGTAGGATCTGACTCGCCTTCTTCCTCGCTTCGTACAGGATTTGCACTCAGCCAATCCTTTAGAGGTAGCTGTCGCTCTGAATGGCCTGTCCCACATTGTGACTCCAGACCTAGCGCAACACCTCACAGGAGATATTGTGGGGATGATGAACCACAGCCGGCCCGCCATACGAAAGAAAGCCATTCTCTGCATCTATACCCTCATCCAGCACTACCCTCCAGCATTGGATCAGAGTTGGCACAGGCTCAGAGAGAAGCTCGAGGACTCGGATCCTGGGGTCGTATCGGCAACAGTCAACATTATCTGCGAGCTAGCCCGCAAGAATCCTGTTCCTTTCCTCGCCCTTTCTCCACAGCTCTTCCAGTTACTGACATCCTCATCAAACAATTGGGTCCTGATCAAAATTGTCAAGCTCTTTGGAGCCCTGACTCCTCATGAGCCGAGGCTAGTCAGGAAGCTGCTGCCTCCAATCAAAACGCTCATCTCAACGACACCGGCGATGTCGCTCCTGTACGAGTGTATCCACTCTGTCATCAGCGGAGAGATGCTGAATGGACCTGGTGGAGATGAGCTGGCTGAAGCTTGCGTAGAGAAACTGGCTGCCTTCCTAGACGACGAGGATCGCAATCTGCGGTATATCGCTCTGCTGGCCTTGGTCAGAATTCTCCCGACTCATCCTCATCTTGTCGCTCGCTACCAGCATCTCGTCTTGCCTTCCATCAATGACCCGGACCTCTCGATCAGGCTGCGAGCATTAGATCTGGCAGCGGGAATGGCCTCGCGCCGCAACCTGCAAGAGATCGTACAGCAGCTTGTAGCACATCTCGAGCCAGATCAGGCTGCAAAGGAGGTCAAATCTGCCACCGCTTCCTTGCGCTCAGCGTTGGCTGGAATATCGAGAGGGGCAGCAGAGAAGAGCTCTCTGTCCTCAAAGGCTACCTCGCTGCCTAGCTATCGCCTGGAAGTCGCCCGGAGAATCCTTTCTATTGGAGCATCGGATACGTATGCCAATATCGCAGACTTCGAATGGTACCTCTCCACTCTGATTCGGTTGGCTTACATACCGGCTATACCCGTCGGCAGGGAGGTTCGCGATCAAATCATGGAGGTGACATCGCGAATCAAGGCAGTCAGGCATTTCGCTGTGAAGGAGATGGTCCGCCTTCTAGAGGACGAGTCGTATATCGTCGGTAGCGATAAGGACGGCAAGGAGCTTCTCCATGCCGCTGCTTGGGTATGCGGAGAGTACGCCGAAAGCGTCGACAATCCTCGCACGGTCATTCCCCTGTTATTAAGGTCTTCATTGATAGACTGCCATGCGTCTACCTTGGCGGCTAGTCTCCACAATGGCGTCAAGCTTCTCGCTCACTGGGCTGCTTCGCTGTCGGAAGAATGGGATAGCAGTCGTCTAGATGAGGTCAAGAACATGACTGCCCTGGTCGCAGAGGGACTGCCTGCTTTCTTCAAGTCTTCCGACCCTGAGGTGGCAGAACGGGCTAGCGAATTCCTGCAGCTCTTGCAGTTCATCGAGAAGGATCTCGACAGTCATAGGTCGGCCGCGGGAACTTCCACTCCGGCTGCATCCAAGCCTGCTGTGACGCTGCCCGCAGACAACACGATGGACTCGTGGGGTGCATCTTCTTCCAGCTCGCCTCTAGGTCCTGCAGCCAAAGGACCCAAATCTCTTCATCTCCTCGCTCCGCTCTTCCAACCTCATCCGATAGGACCTGTGGCAGAAAAAGCACAGAGCAGGGTCCCTTTTCCTTCAGATCTGAATCTACGAGCTCCATTTTACTCTGAGCCATGGGTGATCGAGGGAAAGAAGAAGGCGCCCGCGGTTAAGGAGAAGATTGAAGACAGCGCAAAAGCTCCTTCCTCTACTACGACGGCGGCCAGCAAAGGAAGGAGCTCACAGGCTCGCAACAGCGAAGAAGAGAAAGCAGCGAGTGCAAAAGTGAGCCGACTTCTCAATGGAAGAGGGCCAAAGGTAGACGAATACAAATGTACTGACAATACATCATCCCCGTCCCTGCTCTTACAGCGCAAAGCGGAGCGAGCTGATCGCCTCAAGACGGATCCCTTCTACATCTCCGAGCCTACTCCCTCTTCCTCCTCAAAGTCGAAGTCGAAGTCGAAGGACAAGAGCGGCAAGAAGGTCAAGAAGAGCAAAGGCAAGGAAGCCGGCCTCGACCTCCTCACCAGCCCACGCTCACAGCTAGAGGAGGAGGACGACATTGACGATGTGCCCATCGTGCAGCTCTCCTTGGACGATCTTGGGCTTGATTCAAGGGAGGTCGAGGGCGGAGAGGCGGACGCTTTGAGGCAGGAAGTGGAAGAGATGCCAGAGGAGACGCAGACTGGGGGTGTGGAGCGGGCGATCTCGAGCTCGAGGCGGAGCGCTGGAGAAGAAGGACAAGAAGACTCCTCGCTGGCTGGAGATGGACCGTCACCTATGGTCGTGACGACGAAGAAGAAAAAGGGCAAAAAGAAGTCGCGGGCAATTGTGGAGTGAAGGAACGCATCCTTCTTGGTCTTATCAATACATTATTGGCATATAGCATGCTCTATTGCGAGCTCCTGGCTCCTCTGCTCCTACTCGCCCGTATAATCAGACACTCCCTATCCCTTCTTAACCTTCTCCAGCGCCTTTCTCCACGGCTCCCATCCCTCTCCATACTTCTCCACCAATCGTCTCAACTCCCTCTTCTGCTCCTCCAACACCCTCGGCTTCTCCTTCCACGTATCCTCAAACAACGTCTCGAATGGGTCTGGTTGCGGGGCTTTTTCAGCGACCGAGAGGGCTTGAAGGACGGATTTGCGGTGGGAAGCGATTAGTGAGGATTCGGAAGAGGAGTCCCACCAGGAGCGGGACAGTAGATGGGCGCGGAATCGATGGAGAGGATTGTCCAGCTGGCAGAGGGAGAGAGGGGAAAAGGATAGAGCAAGGCGGAAGGACGTGTCAGCTACGGTACTGAGGGATCTCTGATGCTTCGTGTTGCGCTCGGCTGTACTCACCTTGGACCACTCCTCTACACTGCTAGTCGGTCTGTAGCTGCCGCTATCGTCGCTCGTGGAATGGTGTCCAATACGGTAGGTCATGAGCTCAATCAATACGGGCCGACTCTCCCGCAGTGCCCTCTTCTTTGCCTCAGCTACTGCCACCTTGACCGCCAGCACATCATTCCCGTCTACGCGGATAGTAAGCGTCCCATACCCCGGTCCACGCGAGGCGATCCCATCGCCTCGGTACTGCTCTGTGGCGGGTGTGGAGATGGCGAATCCATTGTTCCTCGCTAGCCAGAGGACGGGACAGTGGAGCGTACTTGCGATGTTGAGTCCCGCGTGGAAGTCGCCCTCGCTACTGGCGCCCTCGCCGAACCAGCAGGCTACGACATCTCCCTCTCTACCTGGTGTACGCTTGAGAGCATAGGCAGAGCCTGCTGCCTGTGGAATCTGCGTAGAGAGTGGCGAAGAGATGGTATGGAAGTGGTGCTCACTGGACCCAATGTGCGTGGGCATCTGTCGTGCCTTGCCTTTGTCCATGTGAGTGCCAAATACTTGCGCTAGCAGTTGGTCCAAAGGCAGGCCACGGTACAAGAGTAGCCCTAGCTCTCTGTACTGGCTGTAGACTTCGTCGACGGATGAAAGGGCAGCAGCAGTGCCAATTACGGCGGCCTCTTCGCCGTACGAGGTCATCCAGAAAGAGATGCGGCCCTGCCGTTGGGCGGAGTAGAGGACTTGATCTAGCTGCGGGAGCAGCATCATATAGCGGTAGATTTGGAGAGCTTCTTCTTTTGAGAGCTGCGAGTGTAGTGTAGTGGCCAAGGACCACAGGGGAATCAATTGATGCACTCTAACATACCATCTCACCCCTTTGCCCAGGCTCTGCCTCCATTCGCTCTCTCACTCACCTCTTCAACCCTCGCCTCCGCCTCTTTACTAACCGCCCTTCCCTTCCCATCAAGCAACCTAAAAGTGGGAATCTCCGTCAATTCATTCCCGGCTTTATCCTTCCACACTCTCATCTGGTCAAAAAAGCAGTCGTCTAGATCAGACAAAAAGGCAGAGCCGGGCTTGTTTGGCAGGTGGCCTGAGGCGAGCTTGGAGGGAGCGGGTGGAGGACGACGTGAGGAGGAGGGAGAGGAGGCGGAGTGGCTTGAGGTGGGTGAGGGGTGATGGCGCTGCGAGGAAGTGGAGAGATGGCGAAGCGAGTGAGAAGGGTTAAGGTCCAGCTTGGCCCTCTGGGGCAGAGATGCGCCATTGATGCAGGATATTGGAGAGGAGTGCGAGCAGGACAGAGAGGAAGGACAGCGGGTCTGCCTCACTCCCCGCCGGTGGGAGTTGGTGGCAGCCCGCCAGATCATAGGATACGACGACGATGCTGAAGACGCAGCCATGAGAGTGAACATGGTAGGACAATAGACGAAAGGGGCAGAGGCAAGGCCTTGCAAGCCACAAGGTGGGGTTCTGACAGCCCTTGATCAAGGTCCTCGCTTCACTTCACGTCGGGGCCCCGCCCTGTGCTCAGCTTCGGGTCAAGGCGTAAAGAAAGCCGAGGACCCGAAGGCGGGCAGCCAGCCACGCCACGCCCAAAATAATGTGCGGAGGAAGGTCGGAGCGGAACGAAGACGCGGGTATTACCAGGCGGGAAGGGGGCGGGTCAGGTGTACAGACTGAGGATACCTGGGGCTATGCAAAGGTCACGAATCTCAGAGCGAATCGCCTGTCATCGCTAGACGACTAACATGATTGCAACTGCTGGGAGGGGACCATGTACTCAGACTCCTCGATGAGGCGGCCGCTTGCAACCTAGAACATCCTTCACACCGGAGAAATGACATGCTGACACTGGAGGCTTTGCTGCTAGTGAATTACACCTTATTTGTGTGCGTCTATTTGCGAGAAGTGACTGGAGAGATGTGGAACGATCCGGACGTAAGGCAGGACGATGCAGGATACTCAGAGTCATGATCTAGACCATGCGCTGGGAGTCGATAGAGGCCAGACCAGGCGAAGCAGGTGGTTCGGGCTGCGAGGTTGGTGATAGAAGATGTAAGGCAGAATCGTTTGGAAAAAGCGGAGTAGTATCATCTGTGAGCATTCTGGTCCTTTCTTCTGTCTCGTCTGCAGTCTGCCTGCAACTCACCTGGTCTGCCATGGATGTGCTTCCATCGGTGTACTTTGCTCCTGCAGGTGCCGCCGCCTTTTCAGGGTGCGATCCCTTTCCACCGCAACCATGAGAAGCCTCTATGCTGCTATTGGTCTGTCCATAATTCTGCGCCGAGCCACGACCGCCAATGCCAGAGCTGGACCTGTTGGCGATGGCCTGTTCAGAGTGGTTCTTGTCGCGGTGTAGCTCACGTAGCTCCTCGTGCTTGTCCGTAGATGGCTTGGAGACGGCCTTGTTGGGAACGCCATCTGACCCTGGTGGGTGGGATGCGTCGGCGTAGCTCTTGTTGATGCTCGATGGACCGGTCATGAGGGGCAGTATAGGATGAGTGGAAAGCGCACGGACAGGGATGCAGCGAGGATCAGACAAGTGGTGATGAGTGCGAGAATGCTTGTAATGGGAGGCAAGGTATTGTGCTTCCTTGATGATCTATCGGCGCGGCGGTGAAGATGGGATCCTTCCCGATGAGCCAGGCAGGGCCAGGCCAATTGTCCTTCTTAGCGAAAGTGGAGTGGAGGAGGCGCATCTCACCGAACGGCGTCGCCCGTCTTTGTCATCGGGCCAAAGGTGTTGCTGGCGGAGTGTGAATGTCACGCGGCCAGGTGCGTGCGTAGACCGCGTTGAAGTCGCGTGGTCCGTGGTAGCAATCAATGAAGCGCCGCCGGGGCTTGAGCGTCGCCGGAGCAAAAAGGACGATGAGGATGGGAAGGGCGAAAGGCAGCAGAGGCAACAAGATCAGGGGGCGCAACGCAGGAGGGGGGAGGGACAAGAAGGCACAAATGCAAGAAGGTCACCATCTCACCATGACTCCTACTCCAAGGCTCCCATGCCACAGTCATAGCTCGAAGACGTTGCCTTGTCGACGACATTCTGCAGAGCGCCTCTTGGCGGCTGAGGCCCAACACTACAGCCCTGTGTGCGGCTTTGCCGTCCATGATACATCACACGCGCAAACAGATCAACTCACCCATCCACTGGCCTGCCTGGCCCGCTACGACAATACTACCTCCGGCCTTCCTCCTGACCCTTTACACAACCTCGCCCTCCTCCTTCACCCCCATACCACCCTGTCTCCCACTCACCTATTCATAAGCCATGCCCGATTCGATATGGGCGCCACGCTCCGCTGCTCGAGCGCAACCCGGCCACTTCATACCTGACACCAGTTGCCATCCTCATCTCCTGTCTCCACGACTCCACCTCTCCGACCATCCACCGGAGATACCCGACTCAGCGCTCGCCAATGGGCCGCTGAAGCCATTTCGTCCGATCAAGTGAGCAGCAAGGAGTGCTGATCCTGCCTACCTATCATCGGAAGCAATCACACTCACAGTCCTCCTCCTCCTCCTTGCCATTCCTCGGAACCAGAATCTGCATCCAGAGGGATAGCACAGACGCTCTGGACGGCGGGGGCACTTCGGGAACAATTGAATTCCAGAACTTTCACAGTGGTGAGTGGTGAGCGGGAGCAAATACCACTTCGGCCATGACGAGAGGTGGAAGAAATGCCTCCGTGACCAGCTACATAACCCCCCGAGCTGAAGTCGTTTGACTCCCCCCTTTCTTGACTCCACCCCACTACCATCCGCTCTACTACAACTCGATCCACTCGTCTACACTCCCTCCCTCTCCACTACAATCCCACTCACTTCAGCTGAGAAAGCTCTAGCGACCATCTCGACTATCTCCCTCTCCATCAATCCCCCCGGCGCCTATCAGGTACCCTCCTCTGCCACACCTGTGTGGGTCCGAAACCTTCCCATCGACGTTGACGAGGGCTACCTCTTCGACCTCTTCCGACCTTTTGGACCACTACAGAGTGTGCGTTGCATCAAATTGGGCCCCAGAGACGACGTCTTGGGTACCGCAAAACTCTACTACTTCCGAGAAGAATCTGCACGATTGGCTAAAAGCATCATGGACGGTACTGAAGTCGAAGGTCAGACCATCAGCGTCACCGCTGGACCTACTGCTCCTGCTACCCAGCAAGAGACTACGCGCACTGCCCCTAGGAGTAGCCCTATGTCGGCTGCCGCGGCACCCTTCGTACCTCGGAACAGCCTCCACATGAGTCCACGAGCTCCCCATCTTCCGCCCTCCCTGCCCGCTACTCCTCCCCCCAGGGTACAGCAGGAAGGGTTTCAAGCTCTCTTGGCTTCTCCCAACTATATGCCAGCGATCCCCTTGCCGGCTCAATTGCATCCCATCAACGGGCCTATCCTGCCTGTCCCGGGTACCAATCTCAAGTACTCTCCTCGACAATCGACGTACATCGATCCTCGCAATCTCTATTGTAAGAATCTCGACCACAGTATCGACGACGATGCTCTCACTACCATCTTCCAAGAGTTTGGTCAGATCGTCTCTGCTCGCGTCATCACCGATGACAACAGCAACAGCCGCGGACATGGCTTCGTCAGCTTTCACTACGCCGAAGAAGCCGCTCACGCTCTCGCAGCACTCAATGGTGCGCTCATCCGAGGCCGACCGATGTACGTCCGCCTTCATGAGCCAAAAGAGCCAAGGAAGAACAAGCTCGCTAGACAATTCGGCGTTGGTGGCTCAAGCGGATCCCCATCCGATAGGGCAGGCACCAGCAACCCTTCTCAGCCTAACACACCTCGCCGTGGTCCAGCAAATGAGCTTGCCGCTGCTGCATCAGCCCAAGGCGACCGCGTACAGCCGCCAGGCGCAGATTTGAGCATGGACAAGCCTGAAGGCGTGGCGCCGATCGCCCGCGAGGAGCGAGAGAACCCTAATTGGCCAGGTCGCCAGCCCTATCTCCGCAACACCTTGTTGGGACAGATCAGCGTTGCACCAGCTGCTCTGAATGGGACAGCTTCAGTCAGGGATATCGTTGACGCATTGGCTACTCTTCAAATCGATGACCAGCTCCGCGCCATGATGAATCCAAGTGTCCTGGAAGAGAGGGTAAGTGTCACTGCAACGAGAGAGGGGGGCCTGTCGACAGGTCTTCTGAGTGCTGACTTTACTCTTCCTTGCGTCATGCCAGATCATCGACGTCCACGAAGGCCGACTGGCTCCTCCCACCTTGTCAAGCAGGGCTGAAACCGCCCTCGGTCTTACTGGAGTTCCCAGTCCCCACGCTGAGGAGAATCCTACTGCAGATAATGGTCTGACCACCGAAGCCATGCCTCTCCCCGCTGGAGCGGGAAACGCTGAGCCTGCAGGCGGTCTAGAGTCTCAGAGCAACGCCCTTTCAGACGAAGAGAGAAAACAGCTGCTGAGCGCCGTTACCGGCGCTCTACCTGAAGGTTCTCCGGTTGATGCCGTCACGGACAGGCTCGCCTCGCTGGACTGGAGGGATCGAGCCTTGTGCCTGCACAATGATGAATACCTTGTGCTTAAAATTCGAGAAGCTGAGAGTGCTCGCAGCATTGTCGCTGGCCCAGAGACTTCTACTGGTCAAGTCGGTGCTGTCGAAGCCAAAGGTACCGCTCTTGGCATCTCACAACCGCCCACTGAGACTAGTGTGAATCACCTTCAGTACCGCTCCAAGGCAAGCCAGACCGAAGAGTCGTCTTTCGTCATCCCTCTGGAGACGCTCGCCGAAAGGAACTGCAGGGAGATCATAGCTCTTGTCGAAGCAGCCGCTGTGAATGAGACGATTGGCATGGGCGGCATCCACCCATCCGAGCTTCCTCTAGGACCTGTGACCAACGATCAACGACGCGATGCAGCCCTCCGACTGCAAGGTATCCTCAAGGAGCGTCGCCATGTCGACCAGAAGCAGCGACTAGGCGATATTCTGTACCATGAGATCAAGGCTGCCCTCAAAAAGTCAAAGTACCCTTGTCATCGCGGCTACCCTGCAAAGATCACCATTGCTCTTCTTGAAGAGGGCATCCCGGCTGCATTCGGAGACGACCATGATATTGATGAGAAGCAGGAAGAGCAGCCTGATGCTGAGAGCACCGAGAAGGAGGACAAGGGCAAAGGCAAGGCAAAGGAGGACACTTCCGCGGTAGTTGTAGAGTCGGCACCTGTTGAGCCCACTGGTAGCACGAGTGTCAAGGATGAGAAGACTTCCATCAAGACTACAGAGGAGACGCCTGCAGGCCTTGGTACCAGTGGCAGCACCAACCCCACTCCCACTGGCGAGAATGCAGACGACGCTAGCGAGGACCGCCCACCCATCTTCCACATCCCGGCGACTCAGCAAGTTCGTCGCCACCTGGACGCCCAGCAGCACGTTCTGGAGCAAGCAGAGCACTCTGAACATTTCCGAAGCATCGTACAGGTCATTGTCTTCTACCCTGATCTGTTCCGAGTAAAGGTGTTGAGAGAGGCCAGGAAGCTTGGCGCGAAGCCGGTGGGAGAGGAGTGAGGGAGTGAGTGAGGGCACGCAACTCGCTCGCTGCAGGAGGCATAGAGGGATGGAGGGATGGAGAGATGGAGGGGAGAAGGGAAGGAAGAAGGAGGAAGGAGGAAAGTGCAGAAGTCTTCGTTGTCGTCGTCGTCGTCGTCATCATCTTTATCTATGCCCCCTAGCTTTAGTCCTAGCATGTCGCACCTACTTTGCAATGTCTATGCCCACTGATCCAAAAATAAAGCCAAAAAGGTCAGGAGTGAGAAGTCGATATTGAAGTCGAAGTTAGTGGAGTGGAGCGAAAGAGGGTTTGCTTAGAGGCAGAACTATAAACGAGTAGAGAAAGAGAAGATCGAAGGTCGGACGGACTTGATTGGGTTTTGCACATGACGATGCATGGTCATGGCCCAGGCTAGGGACGGAGAAGGGACAGAGTCAACGATGTCGTACAGTACAGAAGGGTATAAAAGATGATTTACGGTTCTGGGTTTGGTGTTGATTTTGGTTTCGGATTTGGTGTTGATTTTGGTGTTGGTTTTGGTGTTGACATTCACGTTGACTCATAGTCATTGAAATGGTCTGGTACTCTTCCTTTCATCTTGCAGCGAGAAATGGCATTACTGTACTAGAGATGAGATGAGATGAGGTGAGGTGAGACGAGCTGAGACGAGCTGAGGTGAAGCCCCAAAGACTCGAGGACTCGAAGACTCGAAGATCCGGGAAACTGAGATCAGACCAGACCGCACCGGACCAGGAGAGAAGAGCAGGCGACCACTGGGAGGTAAAAGAAAGTATGTATAGTGAACAAAGAAAAAAGGGGAAAAAAGGGAAAAAGGGAAAAAGGGAAAAAGTCCAAAAGAGATCTGTGTTGCGTTGTGTTGTGTTGTGTTGTGTTATGAGATGATATGACATGAAAGGAACAGAAGGAAGGAAGGAAGAAAGGAATGATGAAGAGAATGGTTGCACGACTCCGAGGTGGGTTTGTGATGTGTGCCTTTTGCCTCCTTCGTTCATGTCCTCCGCTTCGCTCCGCTTCGCCAAGCCATGCTTCGCCTTTCCGCATCGTACATTGTTCTGTGTTCCGCTCTCGAGGGGTACCTGATCCGGCTTCCGACGCCCCATCCTCTCGCAACCAATCCGCAACTTTATAGCAACTCTAGCTCTCTTACGTTCGCTCCCACGCTCAGTACCTCACTTGAACCAGCTCTTCTTCTTCTTCTTCCCACCCTCGTCACCACCACTCCCTCCTCCATTCCCATTTGCCCCGCCAGGGGATTGAGCCTGGGAGGCTGCCCTGCGTTGTTCCAAGATCCTGGCACGCTGAGCAATCTGTGCCTGTGCCTGGGCATCAGAGTCTAGCCCGAGCATACTCTGCGTCATCAGACCCGTGTCGCCCGAGAGGGATGGCTGCTGGGGAGGACGAGGTTGCTGCTGCCCTTGACCAGGACCGGGGAAGCCATTCATGCCAGGACCAGCGCTGGGTCCTGCGCCAGGGGGCAGGCTACCATTCGGGCTTCCCAATGGCATCCCGCTAGCCCGGTTCTGCGATGAAGGGATCCAATCAGGCCGCTGGGGCTGGAAGTGCTGTTGAGAGGGGGGACGCTGTTGCCATGCTTCTGCCGAGGAGGAAGGCCCTTGACCTTGACCCTGACCTTGTCCTTGTCCTTGGCCCTGACCTGGTGGACCATTGCCGGGCTGGAAAGGTCGACCCTGCTGTTGACCTGGCGAGAGAGGCCTCTGCGGGGGGAAGGGTCCCGGGAAGCCTGGATGTTGCCCTCCCGGTGGCGGCGGACGCTGGCCAGGGAATGGTCCTGGTCGACCCTGTCCTTGGCCCTGTTGCTGCTGGAAAGGAGGAGGTCGCTGACCAGGGAAAGGCCCGCGTGGACCTCCCTGTTGCTGGAAGGGCGGCGGTCTCTGTCCAGGGTGCGGGAAGGGGCCAGGGAAGCCTTCGGGTCGCTGAAACTGCGGAGGAGGTGACATCTGACCTGCCTGGCCACCTTGTTGAGGAGGCGGCCTTGGCCGCTGGAACTGCTGAGGCGGCGAGAATTGACCTGGTTGACCTCCCTGCTGAGGTGGTCTGGGCCGCTGGTACTGCTGGGATGGTGAGAATTGGCCCGCCTGCCCTTGTTGCTGCTGGAATGGTGGTGGTCGCTGCTGCTGCTGTTGTTGGGGCGGTCGCTGCTGACCTTGTCCGTTGAAGGGGTTGAGGGAAGGAAGAGGTGCACCTCCACTCCTTTGCTCGCCATCCGACTGCTGACGACCAGGAGAGGGGCCCTGCAACGACTGCAGCTGAGACTGCTGAGGTGCACCTACAGGACTTTGGCCTGTAGCAGACGTTGACGGAGAAGCTCTTTGTGCTTGCTGCTGTTGCAACTCAGACTGAGGCTTCTGCAAGCCCTGAGACGGAGATGGTTGACCAGTTCCAGCCTCCGTCTGACCTGGAGGAGCAGGAGGAGCCCCCTGCGGTTTCTGAGGTGTAGGTGCAAGCGCAGCTGCCGAAGGTGCTTCAACACCAGCGCTCTCAGCCTGAGGCGGTTGGCCAGATGAGGTACCAGGTCGAGATCCTGATCTCTGTTGCTGCCCAGAAGGAGAATCTTGCGATGTCAGTGAGGGCTGAAGCTGCGGAGCTGCTCCTTGTACGGCACCAGCACCAGCACCAGGCATCTCGCCTTGCGGTTGGGATTGTGCAGAAGAGGTTTGGCGAGACGTCTGCGCTTGGCTCTGCAGAAGCGGCAATCCCTGAGGTTCGGCAAGACTGGTAGGGGACTCGACTTGTTGCTCTCCAAAGATGCCCGACTGGGAGATCGACAACGGAGCTAGCTGAGGGATCGCCTGCAATCCAGACGGAGGAAGTGGAGCGCCTTGCGACCTGTTTTGGGCCGGAGACGGCTGTCGACCTGCTGGCGATTGACGGCCCGGTGTCATAGCTCGCTGAGGCGAAGCAGGAGGAGGTGTGCCCGACTTGCGCGCTACAGGGGAAGACTGTCGCAGTGCTTGCATGTGCGGCATCTGGAAGGGATCCCTCTGCATCGGGGGAGGAGTCGCGCTAGTCTGAGATCGCTGAGCTACAGGTGAGGACTGTCGAGACGACTGCAGCTGAGAAGGCGGAGGTGTACTCCTCTGAGGTGAGGGAGGAGGCAGAGAGCCGCCTTGCTGGCCTGGTCGCTGAGGGTCCGACTGCCTTAGCATCTGCAGGTGCGGCTGCTGAGGTGGTCCATTCATGCGTTGGGGAGAGGTGGGTGGAGATGCAAGACCCTGTTGCAGCCCCTGAGAAGCATGACCATTGCGATTGTCACCACCTGGCGGCGGTGTGGCTCTGGCTTGGTTTCGGATAGGACTGACGGGGGCTCCTGCCGGGTAAGATGGATAGGCCGGGCTCATGGCAGAAATCGGTGAGATCATTCCACTGCCTCCATTGAGTTGAGCACCGCTGCTGGGAGGTGCCATTGACATGTACTGTTGTATGCCAGAGGTCCTGATGCTAGGCAGAGTGGGTGGGCCATTCATGCGAGTAGGCACGGGGGCAGGTAAAGGCTTCATGTCAGCTTGAGGTGGTGGTCTCGCTTGCGACTGCTGCTGCTGCTGAGCCGGCATGTTGTTGACCTGCTGAGAGAAGCTTGGATACCCCTGTCCGTTGGCAGGTGGTGTGCCTGCAGCACCATTGATCGCATTGCTAGGCTCTGTGCGAGCCAGAGTCGAAGTAGCCGGGGGAGTAGCCGAACGCGAAGCGGCGGCAGCAGCAGCCCTAGCTTGAGCTTGCTGGTGAGCAGCCACATTGGCCAGATATTTAGTCTCCCGCTGGAGCGACTGCTGATCACGCATCGTCACCGGCGAAGGGTACGTCGTCGCCCCTCCACCTGCCGGACTCATGCCCGAATTTTCGATCCTGGAAGGGAATGGAGCATTGATCGGCTGAGTGCGACGAGAGTTTGGCAGTGACGCGTAGTCGGTGACGTCTGCTGAGCCATGCTGGCCTGCTTTATGAAGACCTTTCGCATTGCTGTCGTTCATCCCCGCCCCCTTGGCCATCTTGACGGTCGGGGCGCCCAGGTGCGTCAGACGCTGGTTGGCACGATGATCGCCGTGCTCAGCAGCACGACTGAACCAAGCCTTGGCTTCCTTAATATCCTTCACTGTACCGATACCCATCTCTGTGAAGTAGCCGACTGCGTACTCTGCCTTTGCCAGTCCTTGCTCCCCCGCCTTCTTGGCCCAAAGATATGCTTCAGTGTCACTCTGCGGCAGGATGCCTGGGGCACCAACCAGGTACCAGGCAGTAAGAGCGAAGCAGGCTTCTCTATGGTTCTGCTGCGCAGCAATGTTATACATGTGAATGCTCAAGCCGGCATCCTGAGGACAGCCCATCCGTCCGTACTCGTAATTGACTCCGAGCTTGTAGGCAGAAGGTGCATAGCCCATCTCTCCAGCCTGCGCAAGGAGCTCACAAGCGTACTCGGGATCGAGGAAGAGGACATTGTCGATTCCCCGCTCGTGGAGGAGAGCGAGCTCATGGAGTGCGTGAGGAAACTCTGGTGTAGCGGCATCAGCCGATCTCTTGAGCCATTTCACGCCCTCCTTGGCTGAGCGCTTCAGCCCCAGCTCGCCGTTCAGCTCGGCAGTAGCAAGTCGGTACATAGCTCCAGGATGTGACTGGGCAGCAGCCTTGCGGTAGAACTGCAAAGCCTTGCCATTATCCCTTCGACAGCCCCAGCCCTTCTCATAGCAGGTCCCGGCTCGATAAGCGGCATCCGGATGACCATGCTTTGCAGCGAGTACGAAGAGCGGGTAAGCACGATCGAAGTCCTGCTTGTTCTTGGGTGTACCGATCCCGTTGGCATAGCAGTCTGCCAAGAAGTATTGCGCATCTGACTGCCCACGCTCTGCAATCTTCTTCAGCAGGCCAATAGCCTCTTTGATAAGCTCTTCCTTTGAGCCTGGCTGAGTAGGTCCAGGTGGTGAGTCAGGCATCGACTTGCTAGCATCGATCATGAAGACGGCAAACTCATAGATGAGATCAGGATCATTAGTCCTCTTTGCATTCACCCGGTAGAGCTCCAATGTCTTGATGTGGGAGAGAAGAGCGGCCTGTTCACCAGGCTTCAGATGGCTGTGGTCCAGCAGAGGTCCAGATGTGGATGAGGCGATGGTCTGAGGACGGCCAGTGGCGAGGCTGTCTCTATACGAAGACGACGATTGCGCAATGTAAGCATTGCCTGTTCCTCCTGCTAGTGTGCTGCGATTTTGAACAGAAGCTGAAGAGGCAGAATCTGAACGAAGGTTCTCGTTCCTCTGATAGGCAGCAGCAAGACGAGCAGCTTGGCTTTCCCCACTTTGCTGATCGGCAGAAGAACCAGAGTCCTCGGTACCTCCTTGAAAGAAGGCATCGTTGTCATCCGCCATATCGGGATTGTTCGGGAAGAAGTCGGAAGCATTGTCGTCTGTGACGTCTGTGGACGGCACGCCGCTGTCTTCCCTCAGCATACCGTTCGAGCGAAGGATCTCTGTTTCCAAAGGCTCATCACGACCTGGGGTACCCGGAGCAGGCACTGGGGGATGCAAGCCAAAGAAGCTGTCTGGTCGGTCTCGCAGACCGACCCCGCCTCCAAGCTGCTCCGTTTGATGCTGTTCCCGTTGCCCCTGACCTAGCTGCCAAGGGAAGGACGCCTTCTGTCGCTCCTTCTGCTCTTCTGCGTCTCGTCGTGCAAAGAAGTCTGGAGGGTCTCCAGGACCGTGCAAGACAGCCTGGTGAGCCTGGACACTTCTAAGAGGAGGCATGCCGCCGGCACTTGATTCTTCGGAAGCGGCAAGGCGGTTGAGGTTGAGTGCATTCATGTGAGCCGGAAGGCTCTGCCTGGCCACAGGGTCTACCGCTGAAGCAGGTTGTGAGACCGATTCTAGCGAAGGACCGGAGGGGCGTGAAAAGTTGATCGAAGCATTGCTGCCTGTGCTCTGCATGGCAGCAGAAGCGAGCCTCGAGCTGGACACAGAACTTGAGCCGGCTGGCGAACTAGACCGCGGGAGGCGGGCAACCTCGGCCTCAGCGCTGGGCACTGCAGTCGAGGCTCCTGAGGGGCCGACAGGATGAGAAGCGTCTCTTGCTTGCGGAGCTGCTCCGCTTAGCTCTTCTTTCGGCTGCTCAAAGCCAGATCCGCTGAACATGTTTGAGAAGTTGTGGGTCGATGACGTCGGCAGCATTGGCAGTCCACCTGCGGGCGCAACATTCAATGTTGATGGCTGAGCTTCCCTTGCGGTATCTGCGCCGTCGAGCTGTCTCGGAGGCGAAGATCTGACTTCCATTGGTCTGGAGAGCTCCCTAGGCGGCCTGGGAGGAGCGGACAAAGGAGGTTGCGGCTGTTGCTGCTGAGCTGCAGGAGGTAGCGGAAGAGGCTGGCGAGTAGAGCGCTGCTCCTCGCTCTCAGTTTGTTCGCGAGTTGCCGATTGTGACCTTTGTGAATCGACCGAGTCGTCAAGTTGTCCCTCCCGAGCAGACGAGGGGCCCTCTTCCGGATCCTGCAATGGCGGTGGTAGTCGCTCAGCTTGCCCACCCGAGACCTCTGTGCGTTCGCCCGGCGAAGCAGAACTTCCTATCTCTGGAAGTTGCCACGGATACCTCTGCGCCAGAGGAGGCTTACTGCCAGGGTATACGGCAGGCTGCTGCTGTTGCGTCGAGCTACCTGAAAGCGGAATGGGTGCAGCAGCAGGGGTCTGCCCTTCAGGAGCTGAGGATCGGTGAGAAGACTCTCCTGGGGCATCGACCTCGTTGTTCGGCGTTATGCGAGGCGGGAGTACGGCTTCCGTCTGAGCTGCTGCTGTTTGCTGCTCTTGGCCGGGATTGCTTCCAGACTGGGGAAGAGGGCGGATAGGCTCTTCTGATGACTGCATGCCCGCCTCTTGCGGCTGGGAGGATGTGCTGGCTGAGGTATTGGGGTCGACCGAGCCAAGACGTTCGCCTGCTCCTACATCTGCACCCGCCGACGATGTGTCTCCAGCCTTGTCACCGAGCCCAAAGATTCCACGTCCGATGTCCAGAGGGGGTGCCACCTGGCCATGTAAGGATGACCTCTGACTAGGAGCCCACGTCTCTGGACTAGCCCGCTCTGACTTTTGACTCTCGGCAATGGAGGTATTGGCATCGACTGGACTGGCTAGCTGCATTCCCGCGGTAGGGGAGGAGCGTGCCTCTAACGACTTTGCACCCTCTGCACCGCTGCTGCTGGGTCGATTGAGAAAGGCTCCCAGGCCTGTATTTTGACTGACGCCTAGAGCACCAAAGTCGGAGAACCCAAAGGTGAATGAGGAATCGGCTGCTTGGCTATTGGAAGTGTCTTGGTCTTGCGAAGTGCTGTGGCCTTGTGAGCTGGTGTTGTTGAAACGATTGTGGAAATTGAAGGCGGGCAATGTCGGCGACTGTTGTTCGTCGGTCATGATGCCGCGTGTCTCCGGCGGAGACGATGAAGGGGGAAGAGGCAGAGTGATGGGACGACCAAGCTAGCACCTGTGTGTTAGCGAGAGATGGCTAGGGGGAATGCCAAAGTCTCGCGTGCGTGTACGATCTACCCTCGGAGGAGGAGGAGCAGTCCCGTGCGATCGCAAAGGCTCAATCGGAACGGCCCCGATTTGGCAGGCTCAGAGACAGACGTAAAGGGCGCGAGAAGGATCCGAGCTGGCGCTTGCTTGCTTCGTGAGAGTAGTGAAGAGGTCGTGGGTCGTGAGAAGAGGACGTCGTGTATATGCTCGAGGGCCTGGACACGAGGCGGTGGAGAAGGAGAGGGGGGGGAAGGGGGGGGGGAGGGTAAAAATTTACCGATGAATGCCGTTGTGAGACGTGGTGCCAAGGGAGTGTAGTGGAGGGGTGTTGTGTTGGGTATGATGTTGAAGACGAGGCCGAGGACGTAGTCTCCTGGCCCTCTCTAAGAGATATGAATGAAGTGAGGTGAAGTGAGACGATCTGCCTTCTCCCTCGAGTGTGGTGTGGCCTACGAGATCTTCAAGCCGCTGCCGATGGGATTTCCTCTTGGTGGTGAGCCGCCGCCTACTGGATTCGACTTGATCGATGTTCGTGACGGCGCGGCGGTGCGCTCAAGTCCGACGGGGGGCAGAACTTGGCCCGAGAGGATTACAACCCACGCACGTCACTCGCGCAGGGCCAGGCGAGGGAGCAAAGGGGCATGCGAACGAGGAGACGGGCAGGCAGGCAGGCAGGCAGGCAGGCAGGCGCACCCACACACACACACGCCCAGCCCCCAAACACCGGCACGGGTGCAGTGGCCTCGAGGTCTCACCTCACCAAACCCTTCGCGGAAGATCACAGCCACACACGCCCCGCTCAGCCAGGCACGCACCCACCCACGCAGGCGGCCAAGCAATGCCGGCCAGGGGCGCAAAGAGAAGCCTTCCAAGAGCTGCACAAGACCCTTCTTCAACCAAGGCGCACATCTCTGCGCTCCTCTTCATGCACAGGCAGGCACCACACAATCCTTCCAATTGGAAACGGGGGCGGCAGGCAGATGCAAAACAGCGCACACAAGCAAAGGAAGATCAGACAGACGGTGGTACTATTACAACAGAAAGGGTACATGGACAGCAACTATCAGCTCATATGCACACCGGCGCCCCACAGTCACTTTCGTCCCACCCCGCCCTGCTAGTCCACCTCGGCCACCGGTCCCACGCCTGCGCGCACAAATGCTCGCGTCGAGAGCCACATCGCACCCTCTGCCGTCCTCGGATCGGGAGGCAACTCCACCACTTCTCCCCGAGCCGTAGCCTCGCCTCCCTCTGTAGAGAGAAAGGAGCCATGTGTGAGCCAGGGATCCTCAAAGCATTCCCATGCACTGCCGCGCTTGTTGGCGTCGCGCCGTAGCAGCCGTGAGACTATGTGCTTCGCATACGGCGTCACCAGTCGATTGGAAGAGGGACATAGGCTGGAGGGAGGCACATCCAGGGACTCGTCGTTGGTCTGAGAGGGCCACCGCAGATCGCCCTTTGCAATTCGTAGCAGGTGAGCCTTGCGCTTGCGAGCATCCACCTGGGGATCCGATGCGTCAGCACCAGCGCCTCGATGAGGCCCTTCTCGCGTGCTATTGGTCACCATCTGCAGATTGGCAGAGGTGGAATTGACTCCAAAGCTTCCGAGAGTCAACGAACTGGGCGAAGTAGCAGTCCCCGGTGAGCCCTCTACAAAGGGCAGACCTCCACAGATGAGGGAGTAGAGGACCACCCCCATAGCCCAGCAGTCCGTCTTGCGCCCATCATACTTCTTGCCAATGATCAATTCTGGCGCAGCATACTCTTCTGATCCACATCGAGTCTCTAAGAAGGCCTTGTTGGGGTCCATGAATCTGCTCAGACCAAAGTCCGTCAGTTTCAGAAGAGGTACTGACCCCACAGCCGATGGCGTGAGCTCGCCGGGCGACATGGCCGTGAAGAGGTCTCTGGTGAGGATGATATTCTCCAGCTTGATGTCCCTGTGGACCAGGTGAATGCTGTGCATCCATCCCACCGCATTGGCAAGCTCAGCGAAAAGCCTCCGGATCAGCCACTCTCGCTGAGCCAACTCCGAGTGATGAGCCGAAAGAAGATCGAAGAGCTCCCCTCCGCTCACCCTCTCGAGGACGAGGACGTGATGCCGGGGAGTTGAAAAGGCGTTGATGAACTTTATTAAAGAGGGGTGCTCAATGTGCTTGAGAACTTCCACCTCTCGGACCCAACTGACTCGCATGCGCTCATTTTGATCGCAAGGCTGCCGCTCTATCATTTTGAGAGCCACCAGTTCCCCACTGGTACTGACGTCCTCGTTCGTCATGCCCGGAGTTCCAGGTCGAGATTGTAAGAGGTCGAGGGCAGCTTCCTGCGAACCCGATCTGGAGTGGGCACGTGAAGCCGGCAAGTTGAGACTACTCGATGCTTGCGATGTTGCTGGGCTTGTTGTTCTTTTGCTCAGAAAGCCCCTCGAGGGCGATCGGGAGCTGGAGTCCGCACTCAGATGAGACATCGAAGACTTACGCCAAGGCCGTGGCCAGTGCAAAGCCCTCAACCGCGACCCTGTAACGTCCTTCTCTTTGGCCCCGCTCTCTACGTCTTTCCCATCTTCGCTGTGCACGGAAGGTATTGGCAACGGAGAAGATACTCTGACCAGGGAAAAGCCCGCTGTCTCGGATGGCAGGGGAGCACCGAGGACAACTCGGCTGAACGCTCCAACTCCTAGAGTCCGCTCCACTCGGTACCTTCCCACACGATTCGTGGCTTCATCCTCCGACTCTTCCATAGCAGCATCGTCGTCAAGAATCGTGCCAGACCTCCCTCTACCGCCTGTACTGGGCACAACAGTGCTTGGAGAATGAAGTGGAGCGTCCATATCCGAGGTACTATCCATCCGACCTGTGGAAGGAGGTCTGCGCAGTGGAGGTGTAGACTTCGCTGACGAGTCTGCTAATGTGGGCAGCCTGCTCAGAGACGATTGTGAAATTCCATCTGGAGAACCTCCTCTCGGCGGCATAATGCTACTGTTGGACATTTGCTCACTGGGGCCCTGATTGTGACCTTCTGTAGGGCGTTTGTCCACTTCTGCGGATCGACTATTGGGCGTATCCAGCGCAGATGGCTGGGGAACAAACTTCAGGGGAGATGCACTCGAAGAAGAAGCTTGGCATACGGGAGAGCCTTGCGAGCGCATGATTTCTGCATTGGACTCCTGGCCAGCTGTCCTTGTTGTATTAAGTGGGCTTGAAGTGTAGTCCGAGGTCCTCTGTTGGAGATCAGGCCGCTTGCTCCAGAGAGAACCGGGCGGCGAAGCCAGATGAGAGCCTGAGACAGTTGTGAAGCTGCCAGTGGACTGTGGCAGGTCACTGTCTTTATACCGCAATGGTAGCCAAGGCGACTGAACAGAAGTCGAAGCTGCAGATGGAGGCGATTCCCACGAGGTGTTGCTCGTACCGCTCTGATTGCTTACGCTTCTTACATGGGCCAGCTGCTCGCTGCCTTTCACCGGGGTCCGAGCCGGCGGAATTGGCGTGTGCGATGCCGTGAAGAAGTTTTTCGTCTTACTGATGGAGCGAGTGGCCATCTCTGTAGACCTATAAGTTCCAGACTGCTCAGGATGGTCTCTTGCCGTTGGGGAAGAGAAGCGTGTGGAAGCGCCAGAGAAACTCGCTGAAATCTCCGGAGCAGTCAAGAAGGGCGAAGGTCGTATCGAGAGCAGGTCGTCTCGGCTTGACACACTGTCTTCCCCATTGAGATTGGGCAGGCGGGTCCAGGACGTTTCTGAATGCGTACCAGCACCCCGGCCGTGGCTGTATGTACCCGAAGTATATGCGCCCGCAAACATCGAGTCCCGCGACTCCATTTCTTCTTGACCAATACCTGGACTGGGCAGAGGGGTGATCGGCTTGCCTTCAAACTCGTCCCAATTCCTACGGGATCGAATGGAGCCTGCTGAGCTCAGCGCCGATGTATCATAGTAATCTGAAGGACTGGACAGCTGAATCGCGGCTGTTCTGAAGGAGGAGGGTCGACGCTCATGCTGACGTCTAGAGCTGTTCTGTCTCAGCGGGTTAGAACTGCCTGCGTCATAGGTATGATAGTCGCTGTGAGGCCCAGCATAGCCGTTCGTAGCACTGGAGCTGCTTGGCGAGCGAAGGAGGTTGGCAGGTGGAAGAAGTTGGGGAGGGATGACAGACAGCGACTGGAAGGAGGAAGAGCTCCCGTGTCTGGCATGACTTGAGCCAACATGAGGTCTGCTGGTAGATGGAGCCTTCAGGACAGGACTCGATGCAAAGAAGCTGGCTGTCTTCGACGCGCCGAGAGACTCTATACTACCATTTGAGTCCAGTCGTGGAAGACCAGATGAAGCGGCTGCATCGTCAGCAGGTTCGTTCCGGACAGGAGCAATGCGAGTTCCGTATGCATTGTCCTGTTGCTGGTTGGCAAGCTTAGATCCGGAGCTGCGCATCTGATCCGACCCTGCCGTATCCAGACTCAGTTTGGGCAGCTGGACGGGATCAAAGTCTTCGGGCATTGCCCTCTCTGTGCCGAAAGATTGGTAGCCTGACATCGATGCGGACGAGACCATTGGCTAAGCGTCTCGCCGCTCGACCTGAAAGGTCTACTGAGCAGGGCAAAGGTGCTTCCGTGGCACGAGTGGTCTTTCGAGAGGCAGCAGATAACCGCGGCGGATGCGGGGAAGCCGTGTTCTGGACGCGTAGGAGAGGGGACAATGGGGCCACGAGATTGGCGAAATTGTCTGAAGGTAGGAACCACGGGGAATCGGCGATGGGGCAGCGCTAGAAGGTCATATAAAGCCTCTGTAAGTGCAAAGGAGAGGAAGAGGAGGAAGGAGAGGAGCGGCAATGAGGTACAACAATCTGGTACACGGAAGCAGGATGAAGGTGCCTTGGCTCTCGTCTGACCCAGGGCGACGGAACTGCGCGACTCAAAAGTGCCCGCCCGCCGCCACGCCGATTCGGAACATAGGGACGCTGTCGGAGCAGCGCCGCATCCAAACGAGGAATGTTAGCTGGGACGATGCGGAGGAGCAAAGAGGGGAGGCTACATGGACAAGCTTGTGTGGCTATGATGGCTCATCAAATATTGCGATGTTAAGTATGCGATTGCGAATGGCGCCGGCGTGAGGGATCCCGTAGGCACACCAGAGTCGGGGTCTAAAGTCGGTATCATGATTCTGCGCCGACGCCCCGCCAGATGCTTGCACGAACTTTGATACATATAGCGTAGGTTTAGGAAAAAAGAAGAACGGGGTGGGACAGATAGAGAGGTACGTGCAAGGCCTTCGCTGGCTCTGGACACGCGAAGGCGCTAGGTGACACCGATGAAGTAGAGGAGGGGCATCACGGCCGCACTCGAGGAAATTGCCGACAGGCATACGTATAGCAACACACTTGCGTTTTGCAGTTCTTCTGCAGCCTCTTGTTCTCCACTTTCATCGTGACTTCATTGGTCTACCATCTTCATCGCTGCCTTGTACCCATGAAAGGGAGGCGATCGCGGAATTTCTTCGCAGCTGGCGCCCCCGGCCCTGAGGAGGGAGCCAGATTCGTAGAGACGCGTCGCTGGAAGAAGTAGGTGCCACCTGCTGCTGTCCCCGCCACCTTCTCTCTGGTGCCATTCGGGGAGCTGGGAAGGCTTCTATGGGTATTTGACCCCAGATCGTTGCCTCCAGTACCATCGACGTGGCCTCCAGACTTTGCGTACGCCGAAAGTGTTCGGAAGAGGGCGTTGGGCGCTGTCTTGCGCCTGGCCGAAAGTGGTGGTCTTGGACTCACACACGTCAAGTCTATCGTCTTGGGTGCGTCGATCATATCGACTCTAGATCGGTCGCACGTCGATTCAACCAGCCGAACAGCGGATTGACCTGCGATAGCCTTGAGGCTGCCGCTGCCGTTATTGCTGCCGTTGCTGTAGGCGGTAGAGGAAGCAGATACCGAGACCGAGGCTTGCAGGTCTTCGAAGCCGCTCATTACTGAGTGCCCTACATTGAGATGTCGCGTGTCTGGGCCGACAGTCGTAGAGCTGGCAGCGCTGACGGCAGGAAGGGCAAAGTGAGCCGAGAGCGGGCTGGCAGGAACCAGAGGGCTTCCACCCGTTGCTGCACCTTCCGCCCAGTGGGGGTGCTGGTAGTTCGGACTTCCCCCTCGGAATTGGCTGAGAGCAGGCATCCCAGACGGTGGAGGCAAGGACCCATTCGTCGTCTCGGTCCACTCTCCACCGGCCGTGTTTGCAGTCAACGACCGAGAAGTAGAGTCCCTTGATGAGGAGATGATGATCTTTTCGAGTTGTCGCTTGAGAGCGCGGGACTGGTCGATCTGACAGCAGAGTAGCTGCAGGCTGTAGCCGTCAGGGTCGGCTATAACCGCGTACCCTTGCTCGGTCGTGCCTGGCTCCAAGATAGTCACTCCCATGCTCTGCATCCTACCGAGAGCTCCCTCCAAGTCCGTCACATTGACGCAGAGATGACAAAAGCCCGATGCTCCGTGTCGAATGCGGAAGGCGTCTTCGTTCTCGCTTCCTGCGACATGGATAAGCTGAAGTAGTCCCCTGCGTTGTCCGAACTCCAGCTCAGGCGTCTCACTGTCGATAGGGTTTGGGAAGGCTAGGAATATCATTGTGACGTCGCTGAGAGGAGGAGGCATTAGGCATTAGTGGGTCACAAGTTTGATGTCATGCAGGCCTTCAGCCATGGATTGACTTACTGGCTTTCGGTCTCCTTGACCACGTCCATTCCTAGTACCTGGGTGTAGAACCATTTGGACCTCTTCTGGTCTTTGATCTGTAGAGCGCAAGAATGGAAGCCAAATCCCTGTGTTGCTTCCTTGACTTGCCTCTCGGAGGCTTTCTTGGCCATAGATTCGAAGACCTTGTCCTCCATAAGGCCCTTTGAGTTGGTGGGAGAGCTTGACATGGATGATGGAGTGATGGCCATTTGGAGGAGGGTGCGAGAGAGAGAGTCTACGATACAGTGCCCTTGGTTCTCGGTCTATTTGATCAAGAGATGCTGTCCGATAAGCCAGTGCAGCTCGAGTCTGGTGAGCTTGCTCGGACAGGAAGTGTCGAGTCCCTCTTGCGAGGAATAGCTTCCGGTGGAGACACAAGCAGGGACAAGCGACCTCAGCCAGGATCTACTGGTGGAGAATCAGGTGTCAATGGAGTCGTGAAATGTCACGCGGAGTGTTGCAGACTGGTGTAGAGCTCGGATGGGGGAGAGGATGGTGTGACTCTCGTATGAACCAAGTGTTGAGGGGACTGGAAGGGAAAGGGCGGAGGCGGGGAGAGAGTGGAGAAGGCGATTTAGTGCTCGTTCAGTAGCGGCGATTAAAGCTCCGCCAGGGCGCATTCAGGGCGACGACAGGCGGAAATTCTCGTACCGGGCGGGATAGCAAGCGCTTCAAGGTAGACCGTTCATTCATTCGTTGGTTCGTTCGTTTGATGATGCAATAAAGTACAGGATGACAGTCTGCATGAGAGTGTTGGGGTATCATTGGGCTGGCTTGACAGGTGGGACAATGTCGGCAGACCCGAAACCATCCGATTCTATTCTTTCACTGTCCTCCACTTTGCTCCTCACTCGTCTCTCCTCACGTGGCCTTAGCGGCAGTCTTGAGACGAGCATCTACAATGGCCTCTCGCTCCTTCTGTTGAAGACTATCGACGAATGTGCCCAAACCTCCTTCCTCTTCCCCTTCCATGAAGGCGTCGAGGCCAGAGAGGGACATCTGTAGACGGTGATCCGTTACCCGATCCTGAGGGTAGTTGTAGGTTCTAACTCTGTCTCCTCGGGAAAGGCCCACAATCTGCTCGCCTCTCAGGTTCCTGGCATCCTCCTCGTCCTGCTTCACCTTGAGATCCATCAACCGCCCCCGAAGAATGGCCCAAGCCTTGACGCGGTTCTCTTGTTGAGATCGTGAATCTTGCATGGAGACGGTTATGCCAGTGGGAAGATGAGTCAAGCGAATAGCTGACTCAGTTTTGTTGACGTGTTGGCCGCCAGCGCCTCTACTACGCATCACTTCTGTCTTGACATCCTTGGGGTCGACCACGTCGTCGACTGTCTTCTCGCTGGCACTTGCATCGTAGGGCAGAACGACAATTGCAATTGTACTGCTTTGCAGCTTCGCCACCTTGGTCGTCGCAGGTACTCTCTGCACCCTGTGGATGCCCGCTTCGAAGCGTAGACGGCCGTAAGCACCAGGACCCTCGATCTGCAAGATTGCCTCTCGCAGGCCAGTCAGGCCTGCCATGGAAGAAGACTCTGGCTCGATCATCGACATGGTCTGTACTGACCAGCCCGGTTGAGCGCTACACCATCGCTGATACATCCTCGTCATCGATGCAACAAAGATCGAAGACTCTGCTCCACCGATGGAATTTCGTAGCTCGATGATGGCGCCCGAAGCATGGAGAGGATCTTCGGGAAACATTGCCTCAACGAGCTGTTCTCGGCACTGCTCTTGGCCTTCAAGCAGACTTGTGATCTCCTCCTCAGCCAACATTTTCATGTCGGCATCCGCCTCATTGGAAAGAATTGCTTCAGCACTTTGTATTTGCTGTGGGAAAGAAGGAAGACTTCAGCATCAAGTGCTAGATCAGCGCGAGCGCGCCAATGAACGCTCCACAACTCACTCTCTCGTAGTCTTTCCATGACTTCCACACCTCCTGGAGAGCTCTTTGGTCGCTCAGTGCCTTGGCTCTTTGGGCATACTCCGCACTGGAAGGGTCGAGTGTATCGAGCTCAGTCTGAGCTGCGCCTTGAGATTCTGCATCCAGTGTGAGCTGCGCCAGTCGTATGGCAGGGTCTGATGATGCCGCATGGGAGGAAGACTGGCGGACAGGAAAGGCTGGAGACGAGTGACCGGTGCGTATTGGCCAATTGCTCAATGATCCTACTGCCTGGGCAGAAGGAGAGGAGTGCAGGTGGTGGACAAAGCTCCATGTCCATGCTGCAGATGTCCTGGCAGGCCGAGGGAGGGCGTGTGCTCTCCCTGTGGCTCTGACAGCCTGTGTGACTGCTGTTCGCGAGCCATTCGAAGTTAGCATCGCCTGGCCGCGAAGTCGTAGCCGCCTGTCTGAGCAATGTAGAGATCTGAAAGAGGAGTGATCCGCACCACTGAGAAGCGGAAGGGGCCCTGCCCGGCCTTGACTTCTTCCAAAGCAACACACTGGCTGGTGCCTCGGCTCATCCCGCGCGCAGACACGCTGGACAGTCCGGCGGAGCAACAGACAGCATACAGGCAGCCAGCTCGCCTTGACCAAGGAACAACTCGTCCACCACCAACCTCTTACTCCAACCTCGCCCTCATCACCACGCCCCCGACGAGACTCAGGAGAAGGGGTGACAGCTCCGCGACCATCCCTTCTGACCACTTCGCTCGTGAATTACCCCCCGGACCACGGTGGCCTTTCCTGCTGCAGCTTCTGGCTTCCTTGCCTCGAGACGTGTAGTCCCCCGCATCACGACCTGGTCCCCACTTCTTGCGTACTCCATCGGATTTACGCCCCTCTGACCATCCTCAGACACTGCCTGCACATCACTGAGAGCCTATAGAACACTGCAATATGGACACAACTGCGTACACGGTCGTCGCGCCGACCGAGGACTCTGGCGTTGAGCTCACTCCGTCCGAGCTTCGCGGCATCCTCCAGAAAGCTGATGACGAGGTCAAGTTGCAGACGCTTCGTAGGATCATCGTCTCGAGCCTCAACGGACAAACACAACCAACATTGCTGATGCCAATCATTCAATACGTACTCCCATCGAAGAGTAAGCAGATCAAGAAGATGCTGCACTTCTACTGGGAGGTGTGTCCCAAATACGACGAGAAGGGGGAACTCAAGCAAGAGATGATCCTCGTTGTCAATGCCATCAGGAACGATCTCCAGCATCCCAACGAGTACATTCGCGGCTCTACGCTACGCTTCCTGCAGAAGATCAAGGAACCAGAGCTCCTCGAGCCCCTCGTCCCGTCGATCCGTCTATGTCTTGAGCATCGTCACTCTTATGTGCGCAAGAATGCCGTATTCTGTATCTACTCGATCTACCAGCGTCATGAGGCCATGATCTCGGATGCTCCAGAGGTAATGCTCACCTTCCTGGCAGCCGAAGCTGATTCGACCTGCAGAAGGAATGCCTTCATCCTTCTCTCTCACACAGCACCTACCAAGGCAATCGAGTACTTGATGGGCGTCTTCGAGACCATCGCCAGCATGGACGAGCTGATGCAATTGGCGGTCATTGAGCTGATCCGGAAAGAGTGCAAGGGAGAAAGTCGTCACAAAACCAAGTACATTCGAGCCATTTCGGAATTGCTCTCGGCTCCTTCCCATGCTGTCAAGTACGAAGCAGCCATCACTTTGACCACCCTGACACAGAATTCGGCTGCCATCAAAGCCACCGCTAGCGCTCTCATCGAGCTGGCAGTCAAGGAGTCCGACAACAACGTGAAGCTCATCGTCCTCTCTCGTCTTGACGTACTGCGTACAAAGCACGAGCACGTTATTGACACCCTTGTCATGGATCTGCTGCGAGTACTCACAGCTCCAGACATGGAGGTGCGGCGGAAAGGCCTAGGCATTGCCCTCCAAATGGTTTCAAGTCGTAATGTCGAGGAGGTGGTCCTCCTGTTGCGAAAGGAGCTGATGAAGACAGTCGAGAATGCCAACGGTGCAGGAAATACCACACAGGAGCGCAACATCGAATACCGGCAACTGCTCATTCAGTCCATCCACCAATGCGCCATTCGCTTCTCAGAAGTGGCATCGAAGGTGGTACACACTCTGATGGAATTCCTCGGGGACTCCTCGAATCCATCCGCCATCGACGTCATCGTCTTCGTGCGAGAAGTCGTTGAGAAGTTCCCTGACCTGCGCTCGACAATCATTCAGAAGCTCCTTCAGACATACCCACAGATCAAGAGCGGCAAGGTCTTCCGCGGAGCTTTGTGGATCGTCGGAGAGTACTGCGAAGGAAAGGATGAGATTGAAGATGCGCTGAGTCACATTAGGCAAGTGGTGGGAGATGTGCCTATTCTTGCCGCGGAAGAGCGTCTTCTTCAGCAAGAGGAGTCAAAGGAAAGCAATGGTCAGCCCGACGATGAGAGCGCTGCTGCTGTGACGTCGGCAGCGAAGGGGTCAACCGCACGAGTACGGGCCGACGGGACTTACGCAACCGAAACTGCCTTCAACTCGGAGTCGAGCGTGAGCGCACGACTGGAAGCGGTCAAGAATGCTACCAAACCGCCGCTTCGCTCGCTGATTCTGCTGGGAGACTTCTACACAGCTACTGTTCTTTCGTCGTCCCTGACCAAGCTCATCATGCGCCTCAACGGTCTGTCAGAAGTCGACGCTGGGCACAAGAACGCACGAAGGGCCGAGGCGATGCTGTTGATGACTTCGGTTGTCCGGGTCGGTCAGAGCAAATTTGCGGCCGCTACTATCGACGAGGACTCACAGGAGCGTATCCTGGAGTGCATCGAGACGCTGGCCGGTCTGCAAGCCTCTGAAGGCGGCAGTGTGCAGGACGATGATGCTGTGCAGGAAGTGTTCCTGCATGATACCAAAGCAGCATATGCTAAGATGGTAGAGGCAGAAGAGAAGAAGAAAGCAGAAATCAAGGCGCAAGAAAGCAAGGTGAAGCAAGTGCAGCCCGACGATATGATCTCTTTCCGACAGCTGGCCAAGAAGAGTGCAGCAGAAGCCGAGGCAGAGGACGCCGAGCGGGAGCTTACTCAGGCCACTGGAGTCTCAGAGAGGGCCAAGGAGGATTTTGTCGGCAAGCTCAACAGGGTGGTACAACTTACTGGATTCTCAGATTCGGTCTATGCAGAAGCCTATGTCAACGTCCAGCAGTTCGACATCCTTCTTGACGTGCTCATCGTCAACCAGACATCGGCAACATTGCAGAATCTGGGCATTGAATTTGCTACCTTGGGCGATCTCAAGTTGGTAGAGCGCCCATCCACACACACGCTCGGCCCCTACGCCTTCCAGTCCATCAAGGCCACCATCAAGGTCAGCTCGACGGAGACTGGAGTTATCTTTGGCAACATCATCTACGAAGTTACCGAGAAGGGCCACAAGACCTCGACGGCTGCTCCTGAGAGCGCTTGTGTCGTTCTGAACGACATTCACGTTGATATCATGGACTACATCAAGCCCGCCTCGTGCACCGAGATGCAGTTCAGGTCTATGTGGACCGAGTTTGAGTGGGAGAACAAGGTGAACGTCAACACGACATTCAGTGACCTCCACAAATACCTGCAGCACATGATGAAGTCGACAAATATGGCCTGTCTCACCCCTTCAGCCTCCTTGGCCGGCAGCTGTGGCTTCCTCTCTGCCAATCTTTACGCCAGGTCTCTCTTTGGGGAAGATGCGCTGGCCAATGTCAGTATCGAGCAGCTGGACGATGGGACTGTCCAAGGTCATGTGAGGATCAGGGCGAAGACGCAGGGCATTGCTCTCTCGTTGGGTGACCGCATCACTGTCGCTCAGAAGGGTCCCTCGGCAGATGATGACGAAGGAAGGGATCTTGATGCCGAGGACGTTGGAGACTTGCTACTGTGATGCCGCCTGATTGAGATGTTTTCTGTACTTCTCTTCAGCCAGTGCCATGATCAACATATCCGATCGATATTAAGTACATTGAGAGAATCTGTATGTAATGAATGATAGTAGTACAGATGGCGTGACGTAGCGGACCTCTTCTCTGCTCTGGGCTCATTGCTCCAGCAATACATTCGCTGGTGGCTTTCCCTGCGTCTCACTGTTCAAAGTCGCAATCATTCCACGTCAGTCTCTCGATTGCGCTAAGGAGAACGCAGCCGTCGTCTTCTGACTCACGTTAGAGCTCCCGGTAGGATATAAGTGAATGTTCCACTCTTCAAGGGAGGTGGTGTGACCTCGTAGCCTAGAGGCAGGTCGCATCTCGAGCAGTGAAATCGGTACTGCTTCTCTGTCTTTCCATCGGGCCTGGAGGCCGAGAGAAGAGCACTGGTGAGTAGGCTGTCAAGACAGTAGCAGTACCACAGGCCTAGGTGATCTGGATCGCCTCGCCCGACACTTACCTCTTCATCATCACCTGTTTTCCCTGCCTAGCGCTAATTTTGAACACTCTCTTCACCTTGATTCTCCCCCTCGCATCAGGCGGACTATCCAGACATCTCAGAATGTGAGCTCCATCCAGTGGCCGAGTTGGGACTTGAGAGAGGGGCCGATCGCATACGAGGGCAAAGTCTCCACAGATGCAGTACAGGACGCGGAGAGGTGTGGCCTCTTGGCCTGCGTCGTTGGATGCTGAGATGGTGGATCGCGAGATGACCTTGGGCATGGCGATTGGACGATGACAGCGGGGGACGAGGGACCACACGAGTAAGAATGTGATCACGATGGAAGGTCGTGCGTGCGTAGAGGTGAGGATGCGAGGTGGGGGGGCCGACGGCGGAGATGCGCGGCGGGACGGAAGCAACTCTTGATTGCTGCCGTGCGATGGCCGCCTCGTCTTGTCCGCAAGGCGACGGAGGATAGCTTCCCCAGTATCCTTTGATCTTCCTACTACGAACACTTGTCCCTTCACTACCCATACTTTCTCCTCTTGCCTGCTAGAACCGCCCATTCAGTCGGGCGTATCACTTCGTCACGCGAGCCTCCCTACCAACCCCAAGCCTTTCTCTGGCCTTCCTTCTCCATCTTTGATCAAGCTCCCAAGACTGCCCACTGCATATCGTTGCACTGCAACAAAGCGAGCCTACTCCTCTCCGCCTATACATCGAGCGGTCCAACTCTCACATCGCTCGTCGCTCCATTGCCTGCTTGTTCATTCGAAACACCACCATTCTCCTCTGCACTCCTACTGCTGCCGCGGACATCTCTCTGTAATCGTACTCATCGCAACTATCGGCTCGACCGGCCCTTCCATCAGCCCCAGCGTACTCCCAAACATCACAGCATACCTTCATCGCCTATCCGAACGCTCGTTACAGTACCTTCATCTGCGACACTCTTACGCAAAGCTCCAGCCTTCCTTTGCCTAAGCGCACGCGCACTAGTCTCTCCAGACCTCGGAACACCTCTTAAAAGGACCACCTACAATCGCCCGCAGATCAGCTCCAACACTCAGATAGACCACCTCTTGCTTGTCCTGCTTAGATGTCCAACCAACCGAAGGTGAGTACATACTGTAAAGACTCTCTGCATCCGTGCGACAAGAAGCTAATTGCATTTCATGCCTGCTCCTCTACAGTCGGTGCCGCTGACATGTTCAGGCCACACAAGACCAGTGGTACACTTGGAGTTCTCAGATCTGCAGGAGGATGGGACTTACACAATGCTGTCCAGCTGCAAGGACGGTAATCCAATGTGAGTAGACGGTGGACTGTCACTGCATACAGCATGTGCTGTGACTGATTCCGATCTGCTCTTCTGCGTGCATTGCAGGCTCCGCGATTGGCTGGGTGACTGGGTTGGGACCTTCCTTGGCCACAAGGGTGCCGTCTGGAGCGCCAAGCTATCTGGTGGCGAGGCATCGAAAGCGGTGACGGGTAGCGCCGATTTCTCAGCGTGAGTGACGTGTCTAGACGAAGAGGCAGGTCTGGTTCCAGGCTGTAGCTGACTCCCACCCGCTCGGACTGCATATCAGTAAGGTCTGGGACACTTTTACCGGACAATGTCTGCATACCTTTCCCCACAATCACATTGTTCGCTCCGTCGCAATCGATGCTCAGGGCAGCCGCATCTTTACGGGCGGCCACGAGAAGAAGCTACGCCTCTTTGACCTCAATCAGCCGGACGCTGCGCCTGTAGAGCTGACTGGCAGCTCGTCGAAGGGTACGGCCCACGATGGTACCATCAAGAGCGTAGTGTGGCAGAGAGGAGACAACGAGAACACTGTCATCAGCGCTGGAGAGGACAAGGCGGTGAGGTGGTGGGATATAAGATCTGGCCAGGTCAGCCACGAGATGACCTTTGAGGATCCTATTGTGTCGATGGAAAGGTCTCAAGGTGTGCTCGGCGAGCTGATCACCATCGCATCGGGAAAGAAGATCACCTGGCTGGATGCGCAAAGGTGAGTCTACAGAGCAAAACCAGGCTCGCAGCCTTGGGCGTTCTACTGACCCACTAACATCATCTCTTACTTTCAGTCGCTCGATCCGCAAAGAATTCACTCTGGCTCAGCCAGTCTCCTCAGCGTCGGTCCATCCCATCCTGGCAGACCGGTTCATCGTTGGCTCTACGGGAGACGGGTGGGTGAGGATCCACGACTTTGAGTCGGGAGAGGAAAAGGAGCTGCTCAAGGGCCACCACGGTCCGGCCCATGTAGTGAGCTATAGTCCTGACGGGGAACTGGCTGCCAGTGGTAGTGAGGACGGTGAGTTGCGTGCGCTCGCTGAAGCTGATGGCGCCAGGGTAGCTCGCTGACAGTCGTCCCTCTTCTCTTCTCGCTACGACGACAATAGGTACAATCCGGCTATGGCAGACCTACCCCGGAAAGAAGTACGGGCTGTGGATGTAGACATGTTTCACCTGACCTAGGCGATGACGTAGCCCGAGAGCTTCTCACCATCACAATCACAAGCAATGACACTTCAATCACACGTCCATCTATACGTGCGCACAGTTGTGTGGTCGAGCCGTCTCAGTGACTGACTGACGACGATGCTCGGACTGACATGGCCGAGAGCGTGACGAAGAGCAAGGATGGATAACCCGCAGGGACGATTTTGCTTGGGCGGGCAAGATGTGCTGATTCCAGCAATGTGAAAGCCCACTAGCAGCAGCAGCATCAGCAGCAGCAGTACATCGGCAGGACGGGCCTCCTAGGTGCACAGCCATGCCATGTCTGCGGGACCTAAGTGAGCCTTGATGGGAAAGGGGGAACGCAGCGGACGCGATCTGACCGTGCCGTCCGCACGTCCGACAAACAGGCCCATAGCGTGAGTCGTTGGGCTGGATTGCTTGCTTGTGGGTACCTTGGCAGTCGCACAGCCTACCCGGGTTGATCAACGAGTGGCCCGGGTGAGTGGGTGTGTGACAGACCGCCTAAGGAAGCAAGCGAGGGCCTGTGGGAGATGGACTGTTGACAGTCGTAGTTCCGGGGCGGGAATAGAGGGCGGAAGCTGAGCGCTGTTGGGCCACTCTTGTCCTTGCGATGACGGCAACGTGCACTTGTGTGGATTGTGCTGATAATGGCGAGCCTTTGTTGATGAGGGAGTGACAGGTCTGGCGATATCTAAGCCGGCCGCTTAGCCCGCCAACGTCACATCTCTGCACGTACAATGCAATCTGCTAAGAAGAGACATTAAGCAGCACCTTGATTCACATTGGTCAGAGGTTGCCTTTGGTTGCAGCATGCACAAATAGTCGCACGCACCCTTTCCTTTGCGCCCCGTCTGCAGTTCACAGACTATGCTTCTGCTTGTGCACCGTACAAACAAATGAGAAGGGGCTTGAGCGGGCAGCGGGGATACCATTGAGCAAGCATTGGTCAGGCGGGAGAAGTCTTCGAAGAAAGAGCGGTGAATAGGCAAAGCGAGGCACTGCTGTGATGCAAGTCCATTGATGAGGGCGTGACGTGGGAAACAAGTAAGTACAAGGCCATGAGGCGCACTCTTGCTCCTTCTGTGTCGCCTGATTCGCGCCAACGACAGCATTGTGACTTCGAATGCAAGCAAGCAGGCTTTTGTTTGGTCTTGGTGTCCCACTGGTGTAGTGTCACCGCACATTGATAGAGCAATCGAAGGTCGAGCGCCAGCTATCTGATTTGTTCTCTCTTGGCAGAAGGGACAAAGCAACAGTATGGAGGCGTTTGGGCGTGGCGTTCGCGGTGACGAGCTGCGCGCTTTGACCAACACGGACGTGGCGCAACACACAGGGATACCTGAGACGACAAACAACGAAAGACGCCAGCTGTGCATGCTATGCGAAGCGGTTCGGGCGTACTTGCAGCAGAGATGAACGTCGTACTTGCGTACAGGGCCTCCAGCCATATGTAGGGCTGTGCACGGGGCAGCTTCTCGGCGTAGCGAGCAACATGGCAATCAAAGGGGCTACTGAGGCGTCAAGATCGGCCGCCTGAGGTGCACCATCTTCGGCAGAAACAGAGGCGGTCCAGGAACGACGTCTGCCTTGTCATCTCTCTGCATGCCTCCTCGGAGCTCTCGTCCTTGATCGGCGTGCTACCTCCGCATCTCACTCCAAATGGGCCGGAAGCCCGCTCGAGCAATCGCCCGCCCGCTCGCCTACCCGCTCTGCCTTGCCCCCCGCCATTCAAAGCCCGGCCGGCCTGCTCAACCCCTGAGTACAATGGCGAGATAGTACAAGGACCCACGACTGGCAGAGCTGCGTTGCTTCAGTCACTTATATAGTCACAGCCTCATTCTCACCTGTCGGACCATTCCATTCCTTCCTCACCAGCTCTCACCTCCCAATTCTTCTCCTCAGTCTCAATCAATACCCATCAGTTGCCTCGTCGATCTTTCTTCATCCTCAATCATTTCTCTTCGTGGGCTACACTTCCCACAATGGACATTCTAGGTGAGCTTCAAAAGCTCCCGCCAAGTACTTCCTCTTGGCTTCCCACACCTTCTCACACCACCGTCTCCTTTGACTCTTTCCCTTCACAGAGTTGGTGCACGATGATCAGCGAGCAGAAGACCGCCCCTTCGAGTGCGGAGAGAGTGGGTGTAGCAAGGCTTTCTCGAGGGTGAGTGGTCGTGACAACGACGAAGCAGCTGTACCACGATCAGCTGCGAGCAAGACAGAGAGAGACAGGGGCACTCAGCGCACGTCCTTTCCCGTGGACGTGCAGTGTCTGGTCTGGGGTCGGAGGAATGGAATTGTGCCTGCGCTCCTGCGCCCGATCAGAATTGATGCTGACATCTGTCCATCCTCTCGTCCCTTTTTTTTTCCCTTTGTTCCCGTGTTGCTCCCTCTGCTCCACAGCGGAGTGATCTTGCAAGGGTGAGTGTCATCGTCGCATCTCTCGAGGTTGAGTCAATTGAGAGGTCCTTTGCGTCGGGGCGCGAAGCGTGGCGCAGATTCCACCGAAGCCGAGGTCGAGATCCGGGCGGGAAGCCAAAGGACGCTGGGCGGAGGTGCAGGACTTGTGCTGAGATTCATGCACAAAGCGCAGACCCTAAAAGTCCCTTTGTTCGTCGATTTTAGATGCGAGGAGCGACTGCAGCGCGGCATAAAGCGGACACTCTCCAGGAGAGGAAGGAGGAGAGTGGGGGGGGGGGGGGGGGGGGGGAGAGGACGATCAGCAGGGACGGACCTCGATCATGGCACATCCGTCCGGGACGGAGCAGCAGCAGCGGATCGCCCGGAATCCCCCGCACGAGGCACGGCTTCTGAGGCTGACCTCGCATACCCGCCATCCTCATTCGATCAATCCAGCATCAACGCATTCACTCACAAGAGAGGCCATTGTAAGTACGGCCTTTCGGCGATTGCCCTTCAGACTCCTCTTCGCTGTGTGCTGACACGTACGCGGATCTAAATCTTCCCCCTTCTCTTACATCAGCCAATGCCCGTACAGCGCATGTGGTAAAACCTTCATCCAGCGTTCGGCACTTACAGTGCACCTGAGGATACACACTGGAGAGCGGCCTCATGTCTGTGAAGTCTGCTCCAAGTCATTCAGCGACTCTTCTTCCCTCGCAAGGCACCGAAGGATCCACACAGGCAGGCGGCCCTACCGATGCGACACATGCTCCAAGACTTACTGTCGACGCGTCACGCTCAACAGACACGTGCAGCGGGCCCACGGCACGGTGCTCAAGAAGAAGAGTATTCGCGGTTCCAACACAGTGGTCAGCTCACAGCAAGATGCCGTACTAGCCTCACAGTCCTTTGACCGGACGGTGCCGACTACCCTGCGGGCAGGGGGTGCTACAGCTCCATACTTTTCCTCGCCTTCGGGGACACATGAGTCGCAATGGTACCACATGGCAGGTACATCAATGGAGGCACCGCAAGTAACTTCTCACGGCTTGCACTATGGCGTGCCCTACGGTACGCCTCTGACTCTGCAGACCAGCGATGGTAGCCGGGACGAAGAGTCGCTTTCGGATCTCTCTAGCGGCACGACGCCTTCGCACCCACATTCTCCTCACACACACGATGGAGTCATTGGCCACCCTTCTTATGGCAGTAGTGGCCACTCTTTGATCACGTCACATGATGGTTCGACATACACAGCCATGCCCGGCAAGCCGTCAGCTTCCTCGTACGGCCTGCCAGGTTCTCACTCGTCTGCTACCCCTCAGCACAACCAGCTCCTCTCTCTGCAGCATCTGCACCCTCCTCAGCCTCAACACTTTTCGCATCATCAGCCTCACTACCAGAGCAGCATCGGAGCTTGGGTCAACAATGTTCCTCCTGCGAATGAATTCGCCCAGCAGCCCCTCACCGCACAGGCGATGGAAAGTCTTTCATTAGACTCGCAGCATTACTCCGAGAGCAGCATGGCAGCTTGGTCGGCCGCAAATCGGGGCGCTCATCCTGCCTACGGCATGGGCAATGTGAGCATGCGATCACAGCCTCAACAGGGCCAAAATCAATTCTCGCCCCTGCAGCAGCACCAACAGGCACAAGCACAACAACAAGGTCGACGTCAACAACAACAACACCAACACCAGTTGTCATCAACAACACACCAAGGATACCCTGGAACACATCACTTCCAGCAAGAACACTCCCAGAACCTCTTTGCGATGGAGCAGAGTGGTCACCAGACCTTCTGATGCACCAACCTGAATGGGGAAGGCCCGCGCCTCTTTCGTATCCGCCGGTAGGCTTTCTCCTACTACGTCACCAGCTCGACCCCATCTTTCCACTACCTTTCCATTTCTTCCCTTCTCTGTTGTCACTCTTGTCATGTTCGCCCTCAGGTCTCCCTCTCTTTGTATATCCGGATCTGCTGTGCATGAAATACCTAGCTGCCTGCCTGACCTTTCACTAGGTATCGATCGAGCTCTCTTTGTAGATGGGAGGACCCCACACAGCGATGTCACGTCATGAAGTGATGGTATTGTTACGGCCAGCCGTACAGATTGCTCCAGATTCTTGTGCAGTCCGCCTCTTCCTCCAGCGCCGAAGCCAGCCGATCCAGCTTGGCCACTGCCTCCTCGTCGACCCATCCGGCAGTGTCCTCCGACAATGCGTCGGCCCCTTGCTCCTGTTGAGCCCCTCCTTCTGCGCCATCTTCAGGGCCTTCCTCGTCGCGTATACGTAGCCAAGGGCCTGAGGGGAGGGTGCGCTGCTCGGCCTCTAGGAGATTGTACGAGGTGAGCTTCGAGGATATGGGATCGATCTGCGAAGGCTCGCAGAGAATCTGTCATGAGAAGGAAGAAGGAGGAGGCGTCAGTCGCTCTGCTTTGCTCAGACCCGTCTAATAACGCTGCTTGAGCTACACTCACCTCAACGATACTCCCTCCTTCCTGAACAATCTTCCCCTGCGCCTCGTTCTCCGCCTCTACCTCGCTCACCTCCTCCGCCCCATTCTCCAATGCCACTTCAAAGACCTCATCAAACTTCCCTGCCTCTCCACTAGCAAGCGCGAGTCGTATTACTCCCCTCTTCTGGAAGAGATGACCAACAGAGGAGAGTCGATAGTTGGAAGAGGCAGACTTGTTGAAGATTTCCTTGACTTTGGCGTGCGTCCGTCCGGGAGAATCCGTCGAGCATTCGATGATCAATGCGACTGCTGCACCACCTTGGGCGCTCGGTGGGCCTAGCGCCTCGTACGTCACGGCAGTAAGTGTCTCACCACTCTTGTCTGCTTTGGCAAAGGTATTCTCCAGTCGGTCCTTGGGAAAGTTGAGCTCCTTTGCCTTCTTCAGCGCGACAGCTAGACGGGTGTTGCTCTCTGGGTGGGGCCCGCCAGATCGAATGGCAGCGACGAGGTCCCGTGTGAGGCGACCGAAGACGTTGGAGCGGGCAGAGTCTTGAATGGCCTTCTTGTGACGGATCTTGCTCCAGCGATTGGAGCCAGAGGGGTGCGGAGGGGTGCAACTGAAGGACCGGTGTGAGGAAGGTGAGGAGCAGGAAGTTGACGGGCGGAGCAGAGGTGGCAGCAGGGAGACAGGGCTTTTGACCTGCCGTGAGCTAACAGTCGCCTGCCACCTTGAAGGGCCGGCAACAGCGCAGCGAGGGAAGCACGCCATGTTGTTGCTAGCTTGTACCGAATGGGTGGCAAGGATACCAGGGTGGCCAGGGAGATCATGTCAACGAGCGGAAGCTTCAGATCTTCGGAAAAGGCTCAAAGTGATTCAATCTCCGCGTCAGGTGTGCAGAAGCGTCAAGTCACGTCGCGAAAGATGCGAGGATTTGACAGAGTGTTGGATTGGGCCCCTCTCCTCTCCTACATCACCTATCCAGCAGTTCCGTATCAGTCATGTTCCGTGACCTTGTTGAAACATGAGGCAGGCTCAGTCTTCCTTCGCCATCATCTTCTCACAATCTGCGCCTCGATGCTTCTGACAGTACCCTCGGCTTGAGCACGGGCGCGCCTCTTTGGGCGCCTCCTCCACTAGGATGGGGATTCAGGGCCTGCTCCCCCTGCTCAAGGACGTACAGACGCCGACCAACGTCTCACAGTACAAAGGACAGACTTTGGGCATCGATGGATACGTATGGCTGCACAGGGGCGCCTATGGGTGTGCAGAGAAGCTCGTACTGGGCGAGGCGACGACGCAGTGAGTACAACAGACGGACGCCAGGCAGTGTGGCAAGCGCCGCACAGGCTGACCTCATGGTCTGCCTTACTCCTCGGGCAACAGGTACACAAACTATGCTATGCATCGTATCCGCATGCTCAGGCACCATGGCATTACGCCGTACGTAGTCTTCGACGGCGACCGTCTGCCAAGCAAGGCGGGCACAGAGGAGGAGCGTGAGGCGCGCAGAAGCGAGAATCTGGCGAGAGCCAAGTCGCTCATCCGAGATGGCAGAAAAGGATCTGCCTTTGAGGCATTTGCAAAGTGCATCGACATCACGCCAGAGATGGCGTACCAATTGATCAAGTGTCTCAAAGCGGAGGGTGTACCTTACGTCGTTGCCCCTTACGAGGCTGATGCGCAGCTGGCCTACCTAGAGAAGACGGGAATGATCGATGCTGTAGTGACCGAGGACTCGGACCTCCTCGTTTTTGGCTGCCGCAAAGTACTCTTCAAGATGGATTCCAACGGCGACTGCATCGAGATTTTGTCCTCGCGCTTCACAGCTTGCAAGACACTCTCTTTTGCAGGCTGGACCACCGACCTCTTCCGCCAGATGGCCATCCTCTCTGGCTGCGACTACCTTCCGTCGATTACGGGCATGGGTCTCAAGAATGCACACAAGCTTCTGCAGCGATACAAGACGGTCAACAAAGTTCTGCAGGCCGTACGACTGGAGGGCAAGATGAAGATTCCACCAGACTACCAAGCAAAGTTCGAACAGGCTGAAAAGACCTTTCTCTACCAGAGGGTGTGGTGTCCGCGCAGTGAAACATTAACAACTCTGAATGCTCTCGAGGCTGATGAGACTGCTATGGACTATGTTGGTCCCGAGATCGCTCGGGACGTGGCAAGAGGTATTGCTCACGGAGAGATCGATCCGATCTCAAGATCAGCTATGGTCGACATAGCCAAGGGATTTCAGCCAGGTGCACGAAGATCAGCAGCGGCCGTCGCATCATCGTCCAGGGCAGCCTTTCGCAGGAACACAAGCAGGGACAGTCTGCCGCCTGCCCTCCCGCAAGGCCAGACTACGCTGCTCAACTTTGGCAAACGACCAGCAGGCTCAAAGACGAGCAAGGCCGTCTCGCTCCCTACTATGCAGACACCTCGGCAGCCTCTTGGGATCAGAGACGTTAACACGCTCACTAGCAATGTTGGCACCTCGACAACCGTCAAAAGTCCCTTCTTTGGAGGCAAGCGTAAAGCTGCTACTCCGCCAGCACAGGAAGTCATCTCTCCTGACCCTGTTGAGAGGACTCCGGATACGGATTCTGATTCCGCGATGCTCACGCAGCACCCCAATGCTAGTCAGTCACCCATCTCTGGCATCGGCGACTATTTCTGCGAGCTGGATGGGGCTGATCCCAGATTGCTGATGAGCGAAGATGAGGGTGACAAGATCCCTGCCTTCGCAGCTCTCATCTCGGAGAAGACGGCCGAAAAGGTTCGACCCGGGGGAGGAGCGGCGGAGGAGGAGGAGGGGGAAGGCTTCGAATGGGCTGTGAGGGATTGCGCTAGTGAAGTCTCCTCAGAGGATGCTCACGCGACGCCGAAGAAGCGGAGTGGCTGGCAAGAGACGTCATCAGGAAGCTCGGCATTCTCGTCGCCGTCGACCGAGGTAGGGGAGGCGAGCGTCAGTCCAGTGAAAAGGTTGAAGAGAGACGGGAGCGGAGGGCAAACAAGTGGTCACCAAGAGGGCTTGATTTTGCGCGAAATGTCACCTGCAAGTCCAAAGGAGGACATCATCTCTTCGCCAGTGCAAGACAAGGAGACTCCTCCAATAGCGTCTACTGCCCGCTTTGCTGAGCCTGCTCTGCCTCTTCAAAAAGAGCGCACTGGGCGCAAGCGATCTCTATCTGCCGAAGACGTTGACTTTGCAGATGAAGAGCGAGAAGAAGAGGACGAAGAAGAAGAAGACGGTACGGGATCAGCACAGGCTGAAGCAAGCCCCTCCCTGTGGGCTAGATACCGCCACCAGCCTCTTCGGACGGCTCAAGGCGACAATGCAACCCCAGTCCGGCCTCGGACTGTGCTGCGAACGCCTAGCAATCGGCCTCTGCGCTTGTACGCTTACCAGAGCCCGGCGGAGAATACTCCCTTTGCTGCTCCGGTGACTGCATCGACCAGCAAGGCTCGCACTCCTGTTCCAGTCGGCAAGAGAAGTCTCTCCTTCCAGAGCCGTAACGATGATGCGGAGAATGTGCCTTCTCCCCAGTTGCTTCCGACTTCGGCGATCAAGAGGATGAAAGTGGACAGTCCTGCCGTCGCACAGCCCAAGCTGACAACAAGCAGGAGCTTGTCCGTCTTACCGCTTTCGGCTCGCTCGTCCAATAGTGGCGCAGAGGATGGGCAGATTCGCCAGCAGTCCCCACTTTCGGCGTTCAGGTACGTGGGTAGCCCTAGCGAGACGAAGAAGAGTTTGAGTCTAGGCGCAGCGCCTTTGTCCTTGCAAAAGGAAGAGGCCGGGAGACAGAGAGCAGGGACTCTGCCTAGTGGTGAGGAGGGTATTGTGGGGGAGAAGAGCAAGAGGCAGAAGCAACAGCAGCAGCAGCGAGGCGTCTTGCAATTTGGAGGTGCTGGTCAGCAGAGGCAGACGGGAGACGCGGTGCCTAGTCTAGGCAGACCGTCTCTGGACAGATTCAAATTCAGGAGCACCTAGAGACATTTGCGTAGACTTAACAGCTCAAGTAGCGGGCGGAGCAGATATCCGCACCCTTTGTATATTTCTTCACGAGTTCCTTCACATCGAGCATCATCACTCTGCATTACAATCGTCACAATTCATATTACTACATCACGAAACCCTCGTAAACTTAAAACCAGACACCCATACCCATACCCCTGCCTACGTGTACAATAATCGACGAGCTACTTCTGCTTACCCACCCCGACCTTGCGCCTCACAGCAAGCTCCTCAACTCTCCTTTGGTCCATCTCCTTGGCCTTCTTGAAATCTTCAAAGGTCAGTTCGGCTCGACCTCTCGAGGCAGAAAGAAGACGCGCGACGTCCATCTGTCGTAGGAGGTCTTCCTGACTTGCCGAAGCAGCAGCAGCAGCAGCCGATGCATTCGTCGAGGCGCTTGCAGAGGAGCGCGATGCGACAAAGTCTTTTTGAATCTCCTCTGCTACGACTGCTGGTACGGCTAGTGTGCGGGCGAGTTGGCGAGCTCGGAGAAGGTGGTTACGCAGTGCAGGCAGATCTGCATCGCTGCTGTTGCTGCTTTGCTCGGTCTTTGCTGCTGAGCTGCTGGCAGAAGAAGGCGAGACGAGGACGTCTACATCGCACTTGATCAATCCACCGCTCAGCGCCTTCTTTCCACCCTTTGCCTCCTCCTCTGCACTCAGCGCTTCCTCCTGGCAGAGGATCACCACGCCCAGATCCACTGGCAGCATGAACGGCGCTGGGTTGAAGGGGAAACGATAGCCTAGCTCGCTCCGACCTACTACCTCCTGCAGACACTCCAGGTTACTAAGACCGTGAGCGCCTAGCTTGCCCTCGGAGATGGCCTCTTCCACGAGGAGCGTCGTGCCGCGGGGCAGTTGCAAGTGGCCAGCGCGCAGCCCTGTGCTGTCTGGAAGGGAGTGAGGAGGGTAGGAAATGGAAGGATCGTTGAGGCTCTTGAGGGTGAGGGGCAGAGGCACGACCGAGGGCAGGAGGTGGGAGAGTAGAGCAGGGAGCTCGGAGGGGCTATTGGAGGTCGGGAGGTGGAGTCGCAGGGACAGGTGTCCGAGGGCAAAGGGCGCTTTGCGGGTGTGGATACTGGCGATGAGAGCGAGCAAGAGCCATTCTGCTGCCGTCTCATCGCCGCTTAGAGTGGCGGCCAGCTTGCTGATCAGAGCCGCCCGGGTCGTCTCAGCAGTCTGCGTTGAGACAGCCGCGCTGTTCGAAGTTGATGCAGAACTCTCAGCAGGCTTAGAAGACCAGACGTCGGCGAGCTTATCGTGGTAGAGGACGTGAAGTGTAGGATGGAGCTGTTCAGGCACCGCGGAATCGTCTGCTGCTGAAGAGCCGGAAGCCCACTCTGAGCTCGGCAGAGGTCCAAAATCGAGAATACCAACGACTTCAACCACGTCGCCTGCTTGAAGTGCCTCGGCCGCTGTGATGTCGTAGACCTATAGTGGAGGTTGCAAAATGAGAGAGGCGGAGAGAGCTGTCAGACAAAGTGCTTCGCGATGCTGGAACCTCTTGAGGGCCAGGACTCACCTTGAGCAGGACACCAAGTGCATCGGATGAGTCTGACATTGGAACCTTTTCTTTGACGCCGAAGGATGTGGCCGAGCTAGTACTGGCCTCTGGGGCTTCTGAACTTCTCACACCCTCCGACCCTCCTGCACTGAATGCCTCTTCCAACGCCAGAGCTGCCCTGTCTGCGTCCCTCGCCCAGCTCGATCTTCCAGGGAGGCTGGCTGCATACAGCACAGATCTCTCGGTCAGATCCGATCCAGAAGGAGCGCCAAAGGCTTCCGTTGCTGCTTCCGATCCAGCTGCACCTTCTGTAGTCAGAGAGTCCGCTCCGTACAGAGCACACTTGGGCTCAGACGAACCTGGCAGTGTAGCTAGCACAATCTCATTGCCCATGGAATTGTCTTGCACCATACCCTTCCATCGTACCGTCTTTCCTTTGAGCTGCTGAAGATTTCCTCTGCTCAGGTAGGGCACTTTGGCCCGCGTCTCGCTGTCGGGGAATGCCCGCCTGAATTCGTCAGATACCGCTGTTGGCACTTCTTCCGAGGACTTTCTTGAGCGAGTGAAGATGTCCTGGATGAGACTGTATGGCGACGATAGCGCAAGTGCAAAGGGTGTGTTGGTGGGCACCATGGCGATTTGGGGGAGTTGGGTGTCGATGTTGGTATGCAGGGTGCGGAAGTGTTGGTGTCTGGGAGGCGAGATATTCTACTCATTTCTCCTCCCTTGGCGCGCTGCACGTCGGCGACGGGTGGTGGACGCGTAAAGTGGGCCACGTGGGAGTCGCGATTCAGCTGCACGCTTATATACTCAACTCGAACTCCGCTTTCCGTCGAGACCAATATTCGAGAATGACACTCACAGTCGTAATTTGTGAGCAACACCTCGACCCCTTCTCCATCGCAGCCTCTTCCTATGAAGCATAGGGATCGATGAAGATGACATCCCCCTTTCCCCTTCTACCTTCGCCCTCTCTGCTGATCTCATCGGCTTTGTTGCTCCTCTTGCCCGCTCTGGCCCACCTATTCCGGCCTCCACCCAACCTCCTCGCACTAGCCCCTCCCGCCACCCTCTCCCGGCTGCCAGGCATTCCCTCGTACGTCTCCCTGCCCTTCCTCCCCTCTCCCACCCTCTTCAAGCATTGGCTATCCCTCTGCTGGCGTCTTCAAATAGCCCCATGGAAGCTCCGGCGGCAAGTCGTTAACGCTGTGGATGTAGACTGGGCTGATGAGGCGCATGATGCGAAGGAGGGGAAGCTGCTCAAGGCCTGGGATCGCGTTGGGTATTGGCGCAAGGAGGATGGCTGCCTTGAGTTGAGAGCTCTCAGGAAGTGAGTAGAGTATTACGTGTTGTAGAAAGGCCCCTTTGCTTAGAGCATTCACTGACAGTACGGTCTCTCTGCGTGCTCGCCCAGGTGGGAAGCTCTCGCTGACCCACTTGCGGACACCGCCCTCCGGTCGATCCTATCACAACCGGCCAATGGCGAGACTCCGACCAACGACCTTCTCGGTCGCCTGCAGCCGTCTTCAGATGCTCCAGAGCTATCTCGCTTCGCTTCCCTTGCGACACAACGGCGGCCACCTAGAGGTGCAGGTGTCCTTCCGCTACAGTGGTATGCAGAGCGCGATGCTCGACGCGGCGTCAAGACGCCTGCCTGGCTATCAAAGGAGCAACGATCTTCGCACGAAGACTTGATACCTGATGAAGAACTAGAGGCCGGCTATGAAGGGGAGGAGGCTTGCTTCGAGCGGCTGCAGCAGCTCACCTCCTGGCACGATGAGGAGTGGAAGAGCCTCTCGGAGGCAGAAAGAGCAGAAGAGCTGGCTGAAGAAGCTCGACTGGTTGAGCTAGGCCAGAAGGTCTTCTATCGCTATTCTGGCGGTATCCTCATGTCTCTGCTGCACTTCTCGCTCGCTGGCGGCTTTGCAAGTCCCCGATTGACGGGCGTGTTGAAGGCCACGAACTATCTTGTCCCTGCCGAGCGACAGGGTCTTGATGAGGAACGGCAGGACGCCATTCAGCGCAAGGAGAAGAGCGAAAAGGAGAAGAAGAAGGATGTCGAAGAGGGTGACAAGACTTGGAGGCGGTTAATGGAGACCACTCGTGAGTCTATACCGATGTGGAAGCAGTTGGAACCCAATCCGGAAAGTGCACAACTGACGCTACGTGCCGTATTGCTTGCCTATCCATCTAGAATGGGTGCTAGATGTCATGGAGACTGTAGATACTCTTATACCGCCGGGCGATGGCAAGCTTCAAGGCTCTGACAGTAGGAGCTCTTCTTTCGGTGGCCCAGGTCGTGAGGCAACCCTCTCGGTACGACTGCTGCATGCTCGCGTACGCACTCGAGTCGCCTCGAAGCTCTCCCTTCCACCCTCATGCCTACCACTGAACCAAGCCGATCTTCTCGCAACCCTGCTCTCATTCTCCGCTGCGCCTCTAGCCTCCTTGTCAAGAATGGGTCTCACGCTCACACCAGAGGAACGCGAGGCGTACCTTGGCTTGTGGCGCTACATTGGCTGGTTGATGGGCGTCGATGATCGGCTGGTCCGATCTTGTCTCGTAGACTGCTCTAGAGCGGATCGAGCTCTCTGGTCCTGCGTGCTCAATCTCTTCTCTGAGGAGGATGTAGCTCGACAGGCCGCTCCCACCCTGCGCATCCTCACGTCCATTGCGGCGCGTCCACCCTTCTACACTTCCCTCCCGCTGCACATTGCCCTCTCCTCTTCCCTCCTCGGTCAAACCCTCTCCACTGCGCTTCGTCTTCCGCCTTCCTCGAGAGGGACGAGATTGCGCGTGGCACTGACGTACTTGGGAATGTATCTCACGACCAGCTTCTCCAAGTGGTACCTTCCCTCTACACGAGGCAAGAAGTGGGAAGAAACACGCGATCGCTCCACCCGCAAGCTGCTGCGAAGGCTCATCGTCTGGAATTTGGGAATGCGGCGCTCTCACTTTCATGGCGGGAGTGAAGGGGTTGAAGGTATGGAGGACGTGCCCAAGGATGAACAGGCGGCGATGGCGGATGTGAGAGAATACCAGTGGATGATCAGGGAGATGATCGCTGTACACATTCTTGTTGGTTGCGCGGCGGTGGGAGCACTGGGAATTGGCGCTTGGTATTTGAGAAGCGTGTAGCGCTATACTCATTCGGCTTAGAGGGCATCACACGGAATACCAGCATAATTTGTCCGACATGTTCATACAATGTAGCCATAGCTCAAAACTATCACGTGTCTGCTGCAGATGAAGGTTCAGATCATTGAATTCGGAAGCCGGTGACGCGAAGAAATGTACAAAATAGAGATCTAAAAGAGATAGGTATGAAGTGTTGCCTCTTCAGTCTCGGAGTGTGGCGATACACAGTATCTATGAATGCATAAGAGAGAACACACGATGACAAGAAAGATAGATGGATGAAGTAGGAAGAGACGACCGAAGGTTCATCGGCAATGGCGTCGAGAATCGTCTCGTACGCGATCGCCTCACACGCTTCGCCGCCCTCTTCTTGGTGCTGGCCTCTGAGAGTGGCCGGCCGATCTAAAGGGTGAAGAGAAACTTCAAGTCCTGGACAGAGAGCCTGCCCATGGCAGAATCGTCGTCGGCTAGAGCCGCGTTGATCATATTGGACTTCTTCTGCTGCAACTCTACGATACGAGACTCGATGCTGTTCTCGATGATCATCCTGGTCATGACGATGGGTCGATGCTGACCCAGTCGGTGGATCCTGTCCATACCCTGCAGCTCTACACTTGGATTCCACCAGGGATCCATAAGGTAGACTCGACTGGCCTCGGTGAGATTGAGAGCGACACCTCCTGCCTTGAGGGATACGAGGAAGACAGTAACATCGGGGTTGTTCATGAAATACTTGACGGTTCGATCTCGGGCCTCGGGGGTCATGCCACCCTCCAGACGACAGATCTTGAAGCCGGCTCGCTGGAGGCGGAAGGCAATGAGGTCGAGGAAGTTGACGAACTGACTAAAGACGATGGATTTGGTGGTCGAGTCCTCACGACGAACCGAGTTGAGCTCTTCAACGAGAGCCTCGAGCTTTGTGCTGCTGCGCCACTTTTCGGTATCGATTCGAGCAAGAATGCCCTGCCTGGTGTTGCTGCCGTCATGCGTATCCTCGAGAGCCTCCTGCTCGAGATCGATCGACAAGGTCGAGTGGCAGTAGGGGCAGTCAGGAGCCTGATCTCCGAACACCGAGTCAATATACTGCTGAACACACTGTCGGCAGAAGACGTGGCGACATTTGCTGACGATAGGCTCGGTGGCCTCTTCAGTGCAAATCTTGCACAGATGGAAGCTCTCGAGAGCAGCATCCCCCAGCAGCTTGTTCTTGAGACCAGTCTTGGAGCGCAAGACAAGATCAGGATGGCACGCAATCTGTCGCATTCGCGTCAGCAGCGTGAAGATGTTCGAGTAATTGTTGAGAACAGTGCCGGAGTCGATGAATGTGGAGAACTTGCGCACGCCTTCGCCGTAGAGACTGTCGTACAGGTCCTCTTCTTCTTCGTTGAAGTAGTCCTTTCGCACTGTGATGGTGCGAGGTGGAAGACCCATGTCATCCACACGCTCGAGCTTCGTGCGTCTAAGCATCAACTTGTCCAGAAGAGTTCGCAGGCGCTTGAATGCGTCCTTGCCCTCACCTCCAGAAGTGCCATACTTCTGGATGGGCTTGAGAATGGCAACGTTCCAGAGACAGACGTGATGCATGGGCGTGTGACCACAGCTATCGCAAGATCGTCTGTCCGAGAACGACCAGTGCAAGCTCTTGCATGGACAGTACTTGCAGTAGTAGTAGGCGTAAGGATCACCGCCGAGGAAGCGAACCATCGAGTAGAGCTCTCCGACACGATTCTGAAGAGGTGTCCCACTGAGCGCCCATCGATAGGTGGTCTGAAGAGTAAATGCAGCCTTGGCGGTATTGGTAGCTCGCTCCTTGATGTTGTGAGCTTCATCGAGAATGACCCTGTGCCAGATGACTGAATGCAAAGCTGACTGTTCTTTGACGATCAGTCCCTTTCTCTTGAAACCGATCTGCTGCTTTCGGAAAGAGCTCTCCATGACTGCGTAGCTCGTCAAGACGACGTCTTGCTCTCGTAACTTCTTGACGTCTGCCTCTCGGGTAGCTCCATGCCAGACTGTCACTTTGAGCGCGTCATCGGTGTACTTCGCGATCTCATTGCGCCATTGCAAGATGGCTACGGTAGGTGCCACGACTAGCGTTGGCTTTTTGCGGTCGGAAAGCAGCAGAGAGATCATCTGCACGGTCTTGCCCATGCCCATTTCGTCGGCAAGGATTCCGCCTTTCCACTCTCCCTTCTCTTGGTTGATGAGCCAGTTGAGTCCCTCGAGCTGGAAAGGAAGGAGCGGGCAAGACAGCCCAGCTGGCTGCTGTGCCTTCGTCTTCTTGTCGTTGTCGGCGGAATTGGCTAGTCTCTTCCAGACGCCGCGAAGCTCCGGATGGTGTCGCTTCAAGGCGTCATTGGTCTTCTGGAACTGGGTCCTGGCCTTCTTCTTGGCCTTTCCCTTCTTCTTACGGTTCTTTTCGATTCGAGCCTGTCGTGCTTCCCTCGCGAGCCTCTTGTCCCTTTGGATCTTGGTCTCGTACTGCTGCTCCTCTGCGTTGATGCTTCCGCTAGCGACCGCGTTCGCTGGCGTTCCCTCGTCTGACCCGGAATCATCGTCATCATCGTCATCATCGTCGTCCGTCGTGTCGTTGAAATGACTGGTGGAAATCTTTGCTCCGCCATGAGGGGCTCGCTGTCGCTTGCTTGCTGGGTATGCTGAATCGTCATCGTCACCAGAAGTCTCTGCGAGAAAGTCTTCTTCGGCGTCCTCACTCTGGTAGTCATCGTCATCGTCATCAGAAGCAGCCTTTGCCTTGTATCCAGCACGACCGCGCTGCTTTGCCGGAGTCTTGCGACCTCGAGACGTTGAAGCCGCGGACGACTGAGCTTTCGCCTTACCCTTACCCTTGCTGATTGCCTTCTTGGGAGCTGCCTTCGCTTTGGTAGCCGTGTTCCTCTTGCGGCTCCTTGAAGGCTCCTTGAAGTCTTCATCCGAGTCTTCCCAGGCGTCTTCAACGTCATCGACATCATTCTGATTGTCAAGCATATTCTCGAATGCGTCGTCGTCATCGTCCAAGATGTAGTTTCCCAGCTCATTGGCGATGCTGTCTGACTTGAGTGGGACTTTCCCTTTGTCGAAGTAGTGAGAAGTCTGTGATGTCTTCTTCGTCGTTTCTTCGTCAGACAGATCGTCATCGGTATCGACTTGCCTCTTGATAGCAGCATTGGTTGCGATGCTACGTTGCTTGCCTTTGCTTACGGAAGCCGGTCTCGCTTCAATGAATTCGACAGATGACTCTCGCTCCTGCTTTGGGACGACATCGTTGGGATCTTTGCGTTTGCGCTTGCTTCCTGCTGTGCTGCTATAGGGGGTTGCCTTGACAATCTTTGAGGCCCTGCTAGGAGCCTTTGCGCGAGTGGACAACCCCGCTTCGACCTCTTCCGAGTCGCTGAGAGAAGCAGCTTTCTTACTGCTGAACTTGGTAGCGCTGCTCTTGCTGTCGTCATCAGCGATGCTAGTGGCAGGTGTATAGGCTGTTCTGCTGCTATTGCCGGTAGGCATATCTGGAGTCGAGTCGGAGTCATCGTCCATGTCGTTGTCGACGGTGTATGCTGCCTGCTTGGAGCCAACAGCGCTCAGCCTGCCGCTGGTGCGACGACTGGCCATACTGGGAGGGGGAAAGAGGAGGAGTGCAGGAGTGGTACTTGTTGGGAAAGGAGATCTAAGGGGGACGAGAGGAGGGGGATGTAGGGGATGGACGTCGCTTGCTGGCTTGCTGTTTAGAATTGGAAGAACTGAGTGGCAAATGTAGCGTACCTTTCACCCCACTGTACCGTGGAGCGGGTGGCGGACCCTGAACTCTCTCTTTCCGTCAGGCACCAAATAGACGCGCCACGGAACGGAAGCAAGGCGGATCCGAGCACGGCTAGCTTTGTCCATGCCCTACTGGCGAGAAAATACCGCTCCGAAGAGCCGACACTTGAAGCTGGTAGCACCACTGATGGGCCCCAGCGACTACTCAAAGCCAACATTGTTCACTTCTGAGATCGCCGGACACCAGCTTTAGGCAGGCTCATTAGACCTCAGAACGCTGTGGGGTGAGGGACTCATATTTGAAGCCTCATCTGAGGTCCTCTGCTCCGAGCGTGGCCTCAATTCCACCGGGTCAGAGCTACATATTCGACTCGTAACCGGCAAGACATTCTACTCCAGCTTGGACCGAAGCGACGGAAGCCGAAGGGCCGCTGAATGTCATCTTGCAAGCAGCCTCACCGCCTGCCTCTTTTCAGTGTGCCCCTGTGCTCGGGCTCAGTGATGATTCGCATGCTGTGTCATATGACTCATTGTGAGCAGTGCTGTTGCCCTGACCCTCTCTACATCCTGCCGCGATCGTCGGCGAACGTCGATGTTGTGACTCTTACAATGTTACGGGCGTAAGAAAGGTGCTGGAGGAGGGGCGGGCGGACTTTGAACTGCGGTTTGGCTGGCTTCCGCCGCGCTCGTGCAGCCGCCGCCCGCCAGAGAGCGGCAGAGGCGGGCAAGGGGGCGAACAGGCAGGCAGGCAGGCAGGCTGGGCGGACGGGCGAGCGCTGCTGCCCCCCCTCCCTTGTGCCTCGAGGAATTATACGCCTCATCCTTCCTCCCGTTTCCTCACATCACCCCGTCATCCCCCCACATCATCAGCAAAAATGGCACGACGACCAGCAAGGTGCTACCGATACTGCAAGAACAAGCCGTTCCCCAAGTCCAGGTACAACCGTGGTGTACCCGACCCAAAGGTGAGGGTCATGACCTGAGGGGAAGGTCCATTTGAGGGAGGGGGCGACTGAGCGTTGGGATGGTTGGCGTGCAAAGGAGCATCAGAAGGTGCTCCAATGACATGGATATCAGAGCGGACCTTTGTCTCTTCAAAGAGTAGGCCAGAAAGGCGTGGATGGGAGGCGGGGCAAGACTCGCAAACGCAGAGGATCTGCTGTGATTCGCAATGCAGGTGGTACTAGTCCCTAGGCACGCCACTGCCCATGATGGAGTCAGGAGGGGTGGGAAACCCGGTTAGCGAGCCAGGACGAGCACAACTATAGACTTGCCTTGCCATCCACCATGTTGCTTACACCATTCCACTGCTACTGCACTCCCCTCACACAGATCCGTATCTTCGATCTGGGCCGAAAGAAGGCTTCCGTCGATGACTTCCCCTTCTGCTGCCACTTGGTCTGTGACGAGCACCAGCAGATCACATCCGAGGCTCTCGAGGCTGCCCGTATTTGCGCCAACAAGTACGTGACCAAGACCTCTGGTAAGGACTCGTTCCACCTGAGGGTTCGTGTGCACCCCTTCCACGTCATCCGAATCAACAAGATGTTGTCCTGCGCTGGTGCCGATAGGCTGCAGACTGGTATGCGTGGAGCTTACGGAAAGCCCTACGACACCGTCGCCCGTGTCGACATTGGTCAGATTCTCCTCTCGGTCCGAACTCGTGAGAGCAACAAGGCCGTCGTCATGGAGGCTCTTCGCCGATCGCGATACAAGTTCGCCGGTCGTCAGAAGATCATCATCTCAAAGAAGTGGGGTTTCACCAACATGAACAAGGAGCAGTACCAGACCGCACGCGCAGAGAACCGTGTCATGAGGGACGGATGCTACCTCCAGTACCTCAACGACCGTGGACCGCTCGAGCAGAACCTGCGCCTCAAGGCCAAGGTCGCTGCCTCGAAGTAAATCCACCCAGTGGCGATTGGTTGTCTGATGAAGGATGGACGGACATAGGTCAGGTCTTGGACTTGTTCAGAGTTCAGCATGCCTCTCGTCTTCCTACTTGGATGACCCCTCCCGCGCTCCCTCTCCCTCTTGTACACTGTTCCCCGTCTTTTCCTTGACATTTTCAATCTCACTCAGCAGCGCCTGCTCCAGCATGAGCCAGCTAGCTACTTTTGACATGACGTAGCATGGTGTGAGACGGCACGACACGGCAGGGCAGCGTACTTCGAGGTCGTGAAGGGGCGAATGAACGTGTGATTGAGTGCATCGATTGGCAGGAAGTCGGCATTGTCCATTCTAATCAAGATCGTCGTAAAGCAAAAGCAGGCGAGAGATACATACAAAGGTGGGGAGGAGGGGGGGTGGGGAGGAGGG